CTTGCGGGTTGGCCTAACATTCAAGGAATTACCTAATTTGTAGTGCGAATTTGGCGTACTTTTCAAATCCTAGGCAAAATCAAGAGCAAACAAGTTCATGTTTGTGACATGAGTCCTTGGATCAGCAGGATTGAAATACCTATATATGTTTTTCCTGGCCATAGGATGGACTTTTCTTTTCGCAATAGTTGCTTTGATTTTTTTATTTTTTTATTAGTCAACATTATCCATGATTTTGAATTTGTCTCACCAAATAATAAATAATAAAAAAGAAAAAGGAAAAGGAAACTTCTCACCATAATTCTATAAATGATTCTGATCTCCTTTTCAAACAAATGACATGAGTTCTTGTCAAAAAAGTTTATATAATTTTTCAAACATGCAGAGGAAATCAATTAAGACCACGAGACAAGACTGATAAGATGTGCATGAATCGTGCTTTTCTATGTATAGTTTTACACGCTATGGGAAGTCAAGACTCACCGCATCCGGTATTTGAAGAAGCAAAACAAACAAGGGAAGATCTAATTAAAAACTAATCTAATAAACTTAATTTGGTGATTCCACAGCACTTATTTTGGTATTTGAGCACATTTGAGGATGCAATTGTCGTTATCAAATGGCCACGTTTCCACCAAAAAGTTGCTTTTAAATTATATAATTAGTTATTTTTAAATTATATAATTAATGAGATATGTTTAATCGTTATCTTTATCACAATTTTATAACGTTTTTAAAATATTTAATTATTATTATTTTAATATTATAATAGATTGTGTTTCCGAGATAACAATCACGATTATTTTTTCAACAGCATGTGATTTAAAACTATGATCTTTATGCAAATCTTTAATAAATAAAAAACTCTTAGATATCGTTTAGTTATAAAAAATATAAAAATTAAAAAAAAATCAGAAAAATATTTTTATTTTAATACTACATCTGGATTGGAGATTCTCCACACACATACGCAATAAAATAAATAAAATTGGAGAAACCAATTAGCCAGCAAAGAAACGGTAATATTTCATAATAAATGGCCTCGTCAATTCTAAAAAAAACAATAGTTTTTAATTTTTAGTTGATTTCATTTACTTCAAATTAAAAATAAGTGTTTAAAAAAATTAACGTTAATGTTATTCGGGAAAAAAATTAAAAAAAATAAATTGATGTAAAATTGAACGATAAAAAAATTGAATCCAATCGAGATGAAAAGTAGGATGATGATCTCATTCTTAATACATTTTCCATTGAGTTTTGGATATTTGTGAGTCTAACATGAATTTCACTTGGCACCGGCCATGATTTTTTTTTTTTTTATGGATGGTTAGAAATTAATTTTTATATTAATTGAAACTAATTGTTTCTTTAAACAATTTTAAAAACACGCTTCAATATCGGCCTATGAATATTCAAAATTATAAAAAAAGATGTAAAAACAAACAATTAGAAAGCCAAAAAATTTCTTATGAGCTTTTAGCAATCATAACAAAAGTAATTTTAAAGATGAATTTATATCTATGGAGTTAATTACCTCAATTAACTTTTTACTGTGTTAAAGATGTTTTGCGACTTCAATTAGTTTTAACATCTATGGAGTTTGACCTTGGTAATTCGATGGTAAGTTTCCTACCACTCCATATCATTTAATTTCCCTTTCATTAACGTATGTATTTATTTTATTATTTTATTATTACTAAGATTTGATAATTTTAAATCTTTAATTTATTTAAATAATTAATTTTTAAAATTAAAAAATCTAATTAATTTATTTTTCAAAACAGAACCTATTTATAATTTACTCCGACAAACGTAGCGTCAATGCTTGATGGAAGGCGCAAATTGCTGGTAGATAGATCTTTAATGTTTTCTAAAGCACCTTTCTTTCACAAGTAGATTAAATTATATATCAATCTTTCTAGTTTTAAAAAATAAATAAATAAATTTTTTTATATTGTTATACTTTATTATAATTTTTTTTTGCTTATTTAATTCATTTTAATTTTTTATTTTAAAAATATAAAAAAAATTGAATAAAAAATATTATTTTTTTAAATAAAATAATATTAAATTAAACATAAAGAATGTCACCATATAGTTAAATAATTGATTTATTTTTTAAAAAAATAACGTAAGTAATTTATAATTTACTTTTGAAAATTACTCCATGTCGTCATCGGCTCAACTACCTTTTTTTTCAAAAGCACTCCATCCATTTATCCAATACTTATTTCAATTTCATTACTCGGAAACCAATGACTCATAGCAAAAAGGAACTATCATCGTTATAGCCTTTACCTTAGTAAATTATAAATTAGTCATTTTAGTTTTGACAAAAAAATTGATTTAGTTCTTTTTGTTTTAAACATTAATTATTTAATTCTTTGTTGTTTATTTTATTTTAATTTTTTTAAAAAAATATAGAATAGATAAAATAGATAGATATTATGATAACATTGATAAGAAAAGAGGATTTTTTTTTCTTGTTAAGATTCTATTTTTTTATAAAAATAGATAAAATAGATAAATTTAGTTAATATTCTAGTTTTTTATATGAAAAAAAAAATAGTTACCATTGTCAAAATATGATCTATATAAAATTACATAGTGATTATTTGTTAGGTTTCAAAATTAATAACAATTATAAAAAAAATTGAAATTAAAAATAATCTAATAAAAAATAAAATTAAATATATTTAAATAAAAAATAAAAGTATGTATAAATTCTCAATTAGAATCAAAATAAAATATTTATGTTCATGTGGTGGACGAGTCAACATGTTGATGTGTCAATTTAATAGTTATGTCAACATAAATTTAATAGAAATACTTGATTAAAAAAATTAAAAATTTACATTAACGACAATCTAGTTAATGCTAGATTTAAATATTTTATTTATTTTTAATCCGAGTTAACTTATTGGTTATGTCAACATGAATTTAACAGAAATACTTGATTAGAAAAAAATTAAAAATTTATATTAACGACAATCTACTTAATAGTAGATTTAAATATTTTATTTTATTTCTTTCTAATCTAGTCAATTTAATGGTTATGTCAACATGAATTTAATAGTAATACTTGATTAAAAATTTTGTATTTTTATTTTTTGTATTTGATTATTAGTACTTTCAAATTTTTTTGATGAGTATTATTAATTTTAAAATCGAATAAATAACAACCATACAATCTTATATAGAATATATTTAGACTCAATCAACTCAATTTAAAAAAAAAAAAAAAAAAACTAAAGTGTTAACGGATAAAGATTACATTTGCCAAAATAATAATAATAATAATTTGGAGTCTAATTAATTTAAATTCGTATTAAAATTCAAAATTATCAAATCGTAATAGTTTAGAAGCAATTTATGCCACTAAATCACCATAATTCTATACAACTCAACTTCTTTATTTTATTTTTATAAAGGGGAGGACTTTAAGTTCTAGCTTGCAATTTCTCACTTCTTGATTCTCTTTCGCAACAATGTAAACAAAATTTTAATGATCTTCTCTAAAAGTTTTCTTTTTGTGTTTGAAAAGGGATAATTGTTAGTATTAGCTTTTAATTTTTTTAAATCTTTTATTTTTTTTAGTAAACTAATTTTTCAAAACTATCAATTAAGTATATCTATCAAACTTCTATCAATTATTCATTTATTCAATATTGAGTCCTTAATCCCAAACTATTAAATTATGATTTTGTCCTTTCACTCTTGAAGAAAATTTCATCTTTTGGATTACTTTGTCATTCTCTACCTTTTGAATATAATGACAGTTTATTATATAAAAAGTAGAAAATAGCAAAATAATTTAGAAAGAATATTTTCTTCCAAAAATGAAAGGATAAAATCATAATTAGTAGTTTAAGGAAAAGAAAATGTCATTAAATAATGAAACAATTGAAAGAAGTTTGATGAAAAAAATACTTGATTTGTTATTTTGAAAAAAAATTAATATACTTAAATGGATAAAATTAAAGTTTATATACTTAATTAAAAAAACGTTAAAAATTCGTATACTTAAAATGCAATTATTTTTGTTTGAAATTGTAAATTTATTTAGCTTGCAATTTCCCGTTGTGTACTTGAACATGGATGCGATGCCGGAATGGATTCCTGAGGATATAACATAAGAGATAACTGGTTTATAGATTATTACTAGTTAAGAGGAAATAAGCATATCAAACTAAGAAATTGGCAAAACACTATCAAATTCATGCTAGCAAGTAACAGCAACTTGAACCCATGATTGTTGTTGTTACTTATTACAAGTTGTGCCACATTCATATTTTAATTCCAATCTTGATCGTTTAACCAAAGAAAAAGAAATTGCCTTCAGCACGTTGTTCTTTTTTTTTTTTACAAAATAGTTTTCAATTATGAACAAGATTATAAAGAAGTTGCAATTGTAATTATAATTATGAATCATAGTTTATTGTAATAATAAAATAATGATTATAGCAATTAATGTTATTATTACATTAACGTTTGTTAATAAATTTATTCTAAAATAAAAAACTAAAAGTATTTTTTAAAAAATAATAACATAATGACCGTTATTCGAGTCCTTATTCATTAAATAACGTTAGTTGGGCCACTAGTCCAGTTCTAACTTTTAATTCTATGTTTCCTAAATGGAAAAGGCTTGCACAACAGCCCAACCCACTTGCTAAAATAAATACAGAAGAGTTAGTCCAGCCTGGGACTAGATGAATCTATAAGATCATTAGAGGCATATGGAGAAAGAACAGATGTAGAAATTGTAATCAATCTTAATTTTTATTGCATTTTACACAAAACAATCTTTAATCATTACACAAATTTAACAAAGAAACTGAAAAAGATCCTGACATAATAAATCAAATCACTGGATCATATGTGTATATATCAATCCTGAAAAGAATTAAGGTTTCAATCTAAAAAGGAATTGTCACAACAAATAATGCCTTCAAAAAGAAAAAGGACTATGAAGATTGCTCATATAAAAATGGAGTCTCTCAATAAGAAGAAGCACTCTTCTTGGTCTTGTATCGGTATAAGACTCTCTTCTTCTTGTTTGAAGAATTCTCAATGGTCAGGACAACCTTTCCAGCTTCGTTGTTCCTGAAAGTGTTGCGAATTGGCTCTTCATGTGAGCTCATTTTCTTGCCCTTTTGGATCACAATGGTGTAGGATGCTTCATCACTTGGCACAAATTCCTCCTTGTAATTCACTTCCCATCCCACAACTGTTAGGTCCCAAAGCAATGTCGCTCCAACCTGTCACCAAACACCAGTTTTAGTCAATCATTCTGTTCCTTAATTCCTGTTGATTATGGAGGAAACACTAATCATTACCTCTGCTGCAGGGATCTCAACGGTTTCAGTGGATCCAGCTTTGATTAGAAGTTCTGAAACTTCACCATCTTCGCTGGAGAATTCGAAATCATTCTCCCTCTTGAAGCCACCGTATTGGACAGGAACTTCCTCGGCCGGAACATACCTTTAGTTACCATTAAATTCAAGTTGTCAGATTCTAAAGAACATTTTGATGTCTAGTTCAGAGAGGGGGAAAGAAGGAGACTTACTTGAGCAAGGTCTCGGTGGTCTTGGCTGGGCGAGCAACCACAAATTTTCTCTTGGTTCTTTGGGTTAGGAAAGGAGATATGATGGCGTTGAAAGCATAATACCAAAATGGAACATTTATGAATATCTGGAATGTTCAAAAACATAGAAGAAAATCAAAGACTAAGACATTTTCATGTTGGCATTTAATTTCTGTCTGAATCTACCATGATATGTGTATAAATCGAAATATGATCAACATCAAACATAAGAAGAAACACATCATTGGACAGTCGAATTAAAATAACTCACATTTCTTGCAACAAATTCAGGATAATTGTCCTGCAAAAGGGTGACAGCTTTGCTCATGGAAGTCCTGAGCTCTTTCTTTGATGGGGAAGGGGAGTTCTTGAGATCACTGATTTGAAGAATTGAAGCAACACCACCTGGCTTCAAATCAAGCTTTTGAATACCCTTCTCCATTAATTGAAATCTCCATCTCAAGAACTGCTTGCGCTTCTCTTCATCCCCAAATGCCTTTTCATAAAGCTCCTTGTTCTCAAACACCCCATAGATGTTGTAACACACAGGGTGACCTTCGCGATCGATGCCGTTCATGTAGAATGCAGAGCTTAGATCTACTCCTAAATCTTCCTCCAAGATTGAATCAACGTCGGATTCTTTCCTCCATTGAAGGGTCTTCTTGATCATCTCCAATGCATCATTAACTTTGAAATCTCTAGCCCTCAAGAACTTCAATAAGACCACATCAGTACCTTCTGATCCCTTGCTAGGCAAAAGAGGGACTCCCCAAATGGAGATATCTCTGTCAATTTCATCAATAACAACCTCAGTTTTCTTCTCTTCTTCACATCCTTGGACTGTTGTTTCCTTCTCATTGTCCCCTTCTGGTTTCGCTTCTTCCTTCTTTTCACCTTCTTGTTCTCCACTTCCTTCTCCTTCCTTGGGTTCTTTCTCCTCCTCTTTCTCTTCTCCTTCCTTGGCTTCTTTCTCCTTCTCTTTCTCTTCTTCCACAGGCTTCTCCTTCTCCTCCTCTTTCTCTTCTCCATCCTTGGCTTCTTTCTCTTTCTCTTTCTCTTCTTCCACAGGCTTCTCCTTCTCCTCATCCTTCTCTTTCTTCTTTGCCTCTTCTTTCTTGAACAAACTGTTTCCAAGAATCGCCTCTTCCAGCTTCGATTTGAGCTCAGTCAAGGCCTTTCTCTCAAACTCCTTAAGATCAGAAAGAAAATTGCTTTCTTCCTTATAAGAAGAACTCTTTTGAACTGTTTTAGGCCCATCATTCTCAACAGCATCCACTTCCCTCACCTCCACATCTCCAATAACATCCTTCTTGCTATCTTCAACAACAACAGCCTTTTTCGGCTCTTCTTGAGCAACCTCAGCCACCTGAGTTTCTTCAACCTTAACTTCAACAGCCATGGTTTTTAATTTTTCAATCACCTTCTAACACCAACCTGAAACATCAAAAAGAACAAGACAACATATGAAAGTTTTCTATTTTAATAAAAAACATAACATAGACAAGAGAATGAAAGAAAACCCACCTCAAATCTTGAAATTTATTTTTAGATTTCTTGAAAAAATTTGGGTTGAGTTTGAGCTGTAGAGTCTATCTCGTATACTGAGAAAAAAGTGGAGGGTTATGTAACAGTTATATATTTTGGAGGAGTTTAAAAGAAGGCCCCACAAACGGTCACTTATCTGTAACCACCGCATGGTAGCCGTTGAGGGATTCTCTTTCCCAAGAGTTTTGCTAGCCTGGAGGCCAGCAATACTTTTGCATTAAAGAATCATTTTGGGCCCACATTTATATTTGGCACCAAAAGCTTCGATTTGGCATATGATTAAGTTGATGAATCTTGACAAATGTCTCATTTAGTGTGGCTTGATTGATTAGCATGTTAAAAAAAAATGTAATCTCCCAATAAATTGTTGACACATGTAAACGAACTGTTTTTTAAATAAAATTTTTATTAATATATAGAGTTTAAATTTTAAAATCTTACATATTAAAAATAATTAAATTTATTTTTTACGTTTCGAATAAAATTAGTTATATCTTTTATATAAGATGAGAATACCTCAATAAAAAAAATATAATGTTTTGAGTTATAACGTACAAATGATTCTTAAACTATATCGTTTTGATTAACATTTTATATATAATATTTTTTTTAATTTTAATACTTGAATCATATATTGAGACCCTCTTTGTTAAATTCTAGCCAATATTAGTTGCCAAATGGAAACCATCATCTAATAAAAGGTGTCGTTGTCATGAGTTCATCTTTACCTATTTTAAACCTAATTATCACAAAAATTACTTATTCTAAAGCTCGAAAATTAGAATCTAAAAATTAATACTCAATAATTGTGTTTGATTCGAGCTTAAAAATTATTTTTTATATTGAAATATTGTTTACAAGGTTGAAATGATTTTTTTGGTAACTTTTTTTAAAATGAGTTAGAATGGTAGAATTTTAATGGTAAATAGCAAAAAATGTATCCTTATCCAAAATTCTCATTTTTTAAGAATATATATAGAGAGAGAGATGTTAATCAAAAAGTAACCCTAGTTTAGCCATCTTTGTACATTTTAGCCGAAATTATTTGGTAAAGTCATTTGAAAAGATGCTAAAATTAATTAATTATTGCGTTAACATGACAACATAAGAAATTTTATGTAAATTTAGATTCTTTTTGAAATTTAATCACTGTCATTAACATGCCAATTCTTTAATAACCGTCTATTATTGTGTTCGATTTTCTACGATCAATAATTTAATTACACCGGTTTAAGGATAAATTAATGAATTCAAACATGTCTATTTCTATTATGCAATATTATAGAAAGTTCAGTAGTATTTCATCTAAATAGATCATAATAGTATTATATAACAATAATTGTTATTATTGTCATTATGCAGTGAATAACAATTGTTATATTATTGTTATAAAAAAAAAAAACTTTTGATTCTTTATTTTATAATAAATTTATAGCAATATAATCCTTAATTTGGTAGGTTTTGCATCAATCCAAGTTTGTTAATAATCTCCTTCAAATTCTAGCTCATTGGCTGTCCGTCCAGAACATTTTCATGCATGGTTGGACAACCATTCTTCTAGCCAACTGTAATGGCTGTAAAGAAAATAAAGAACGGAAAAAGGTGGTAAGAAATAATCATGCAAGCTGCCTTCACATCCCCTTTAGAAAGGTTCGATGAAATTTAATGGGAAAGCACGTTGTTTTGGGCTTGCCCCTTGACTCATTCAATGTCTACGACTTTTGCACCCCTTCTGTATATTTTTTGTCCCATCCATGGCAGCAAAGCATCCCTAATTTCAAGGGTTGTCTGCCCTCTAGCAGATGGCCACATGGCACCAAACATTTGAGAGAAACTTTGACCACTTTTTTGGCATTCTTCGGTTGCATGTGGTTGGTTTGCCCTCTTGAATGAATGCCTTGTAAAATACTCAAAGGTTTTTTGTTATAAAATGTTCTTCGTGCAGTTTTGAGAAAACACCTGTGTTTTTGTCGCCATTGTTGATGTGAGTGTCAACTTACAGCAGAAAAGACCTGTGTTTTTTTTGTTTTTTTTTTGGTTATCAACATTTAATTTACCACGTGAACGAGCTTGAATTCAAAGAGTAAATTATAAATTATTTCATCTAGTTTTGAGAAATAAATAAATTAATTCTTCTTGTTTTAGAAATTAATTATTTAATTATTATTTTTTAATTTTTTTTTGTAATTTAATCTTTTTGTTTTTTTTCAATTTATTTTGATTTTTTTATTTTAAGAAATAAAGAGAAATAATAATTAAAAAATATGGATGAAATGATGAGAAAAAAGAAGAAGATATTTTTTGAAATAAATAAGGACAATATTTGAGTAAATAACTTCCACTCATTTAAAAACAAAATTCAAGATAATTATCCATGAGTTCCACTTTTATGTAAATAGAAAATACAATACTTAATAATTTTTGTCCTATTTCAAGGTTTCTTTAACGTTTTTGTCCTTTTTTTGTAGTAAATTTTAATTTGAATGTTTGGTGTGGTGGAAAACTGGAAATTCTTCTTTTTTCAACATTTTTTTTCATAATAATAACAAAATTATTATTTAATTTCAATAAAAATTGATTTTTTTTTAATATAAAGGGGCTATCCTCTACAAAATGTAAATAACACAAGAATACAAAAATTCTTGTAGATTAAAAAAAAAAAAAAAAGAGTGAAGATTTGGCAGAAGGATGAGAGTTAAATTGAATTTGGTGAAATCCCTAAAAAGGTTAAATTAATCAAGAATTATGTTAATAAGAGTGCGAATCCGGTGAACTTTGTAATGGAATACATATATATAGTTAGCCTTACCAAATAATATTTAACAGGCAGCCGTCAGCTTTACCTTTAATATGAGGACTAATTACCAGAAAAAAAAAAGGAGCAAACTATGGAGTAAATTATAAATTAGTCCCTCTCTTTTCAAGAAACAAATTAATTAGTCCTCTTAGTTTTAAAATCTAATTATTTAACTAGTGTTGATCAAGATTAATTTAATATTTTTTTATATAAATGTATCATTTTCTCATCAATTTTTCCATAATTTACTTATTTTTTCTATTTCTTAAAACAAAACAAAAAAATTAAAAACAACAAAAATGATTAAATGATTGGGTTTTGAAATGAAGAGACTGATTAATTCATTTCTCAGAATAAGAAGGACTAATTTATAATTTACTCCAAAATATGGCCAAGAAATAGCAATGAAGGGAAAAGATCGGGTAATCAATTGCCATTCCTCTCAATAGAAAAACAATAGTTAAAATCCTTGGAAAGGATCGTAAAATAGTCGCTTAATCTTCTAATAAATCGCCAATTAATCGTCATATCCCCATAAAATGATTGAGAAGCAAATAAATCGTTAAATAATCGGAACAGTTTTAAAATTCCAAATAATCGTCATTTCCTCGGGACAACAACGGCAACAATCTGACAATAAGGATCAAAACATCGGCTAAGTGCAAAATAATCGTCAAGTAATCGGCAATTCTTACGAAATAATCGTAAAACGGCTATTAATCTGTAAAATATCGTCAATATATCATTAGTAATGGAAATTATCGCGATTATATCGTGACAAAATTGCCGATTGGAATCGAACTAATCGGGAAAGCATCGGGCTAATAATCGGGACCCATCGGGTGTGTGTCAATTAATCGGGAAAACATCGTCAATATCTCCTGCAAGAATCGGGAAAATATCGCATTCTATATCGTGATAAATGACCTTTTTAAATAATCGGGGATTCCTCGGCTAAATGGGGAATAACTGTCAATTCCTCGTCCATCTGCTCAGACCCAAATCTCGTCAAAAAATCGACAGAATATATTCATTGATTCTTCAACTCATCAGAAATAATCGACACTTCTTCAGTTATGTAAATAATCGGCAAATTATCATTCATTAGGACGTCTTCAGAATCCATGCATTTTTACCACCGCATGCTTAAGTAATCCTATAGTTCATAGTTTTCGAATATTATCCGTATAGTTTCCAAAAATTACAACGCAACACAATTGTTAAATAAGACTTTACAACTTTTTTAGGTTTTTGTAAGATATTATAACATGAAGATTTGAGAGGAAAAGCTGAAAAATACGAAAAAATAAACATAAAATATAGAAAATGTTAAACTTTTCATTTATGTAAAAGAAAAGCAACTTGTAACAATGGTGAAAAATACCTTAGCCTACCAAAAATAGATTGTAAGGAAAGAGGAGAAGAGAACCACAGAACAAAGAAATCGGAGACAAACAGAAAATGGAGAAGACATGGCCTGTTAAATCAAAACATGAGACCCTAATAATGTACAAAAAATTAGATCATTGAAGTATTTACCATAATCCAAAAAATAACATTAATGTACAAGCCTTGAAACATTAAATATACAAAGTCTTTATCTTCGTAATAATTACATGGCTATCTTCTTCTCGGTGATTTGAAGCCTTGGTTGTTGCTTCCATCTGATTTGAAGCCTTGATTGTTGCTTCCAGCTGATTTATCAACATCCATGAATTGACCAGTTGCTCTGCCAAAGGGTATGCAATAGTTTCATCAACACTATTTTCATGCAAAGCATGAAGAAACAGGAGCCAAATCCAAACATTATGATGATAAAGGCAAAAAAAGAAAAGAAAAGAGAACCATTACATATGTTTAAATTTTCTTCGATTTTTGTGGAAGAAAGAAGCCAGTACGGCAGAAATAGTTTCCTTGCTATTGCTGAGTAGATATGACTATTTTCTATTGGAAGAAAGAACTTAATTTTTTTTTTTTAAATATTCCATAGTGATGATATTCATAATTTGCTAGAATTAAATTTTTAAGAAACCAGATTAAAAACTGTTGCATTTGACAGAATCAAGTTAGCCAAATAATTTTGGTAGCCACTATATGTTATTTGTATTTATCGCTAAGGTTGGGATGCCACACCATGTTAACAAATATTGAGTTTCTCATACCTGTTATAAGACAGGATGGCATCTCCTATGGTTCCAGCTACCTTATTTCGCACCTTCCTGACACAAACCTGCAGGTCATAAAACTCGTTAATAGAGTTGCGTCCAGAGACAATTATGATGGTGATAAGTACATGGAAAATGTTGTTTTGGTTTAAAGGGAGAATGAAAAGGAAAATAAAATTCATCCCATGTGTCTCTGTCTGTGACATGAGTTTACCATGCAGGTTCCGTTGTCTATCAATGATTATGAAAAGGTAGCGATACAAACACAGTTGCACATGCAGGAGAGCATACAAATGTGCATCTCACCTGTACTTGATCAACAGGTCCAGCATTCGGATCCCTATTACGATGAATGACAATACCATTGTCGCATTTGTTAACAAAGTGTGCACTACCGCTTATATCATATAGATTAGGAGGTTGGCCGGCCCAATTTTGCAACTGTTAGACAGAAAAAAGGTTCGTAAAAACTAACAGAGATCCATAAGAAGACAGGTAAAAACCTGAGCTCACAAATGCCAACCTGTTTCGGATGCGCCACAAACCAAACATGACAAGCGTGATGCTGAGCAAACCTTTTGACCAGTGTAAGCATCTGACTTACATACTCAGTCTCAGTCCTGTCACAATCAAATTCCATGTCAAACAATGAATTACAAATTTATGGCATGTGTAAATCGTTCGAAAAGAAATCCCACAAAAAGAATATGGTTTAACTTTTAACATTTCAAGGGATTATGTTTCCTGCATTCTGCTAAGCAAAATTCTTTTCAATTAACAATTAAAATAAGACACCACAATAGATAATCATGAAAATGTTTATCGTACTCTAAGCATCATGATCATACATAAATTAGCAATAAACTATAGGGAAGAATGCATCTGTGAAAAGCTAAGATAGCACCTTGCCATAAGCTGATGTACAAATTTAAGGAAAGTTAAATCAGTCTCACATTTCCAGTGATAAACTACAGGGAAGAATGCATTTGTGAAAAGCTAAGATAGCACCTTGCCATAAGCTGATGTACAAATTTAAGGAAAGTTAAATCAGTCTTACATCTCCTGTGATCAGGACTTCATACTAGATTTATACTGTAAATAATGGAGTAAAATAAGCATACGAGCAATAAGAAGCAATAAAATTTAAGATAATGCACAAAAGACCAAAATAGTTAAATCAGTCTTACATTTCCAGTGATCAGTACTTCATACTAGCTTTATACTCAAAATAATCGAGTAAAATAAGCATATGAGCAATAAGAAGCAATAAAATTTAAGATAATGCACAAAAGACCAAAATAGTTATTTCAATTGGAAAACCACAGAGAGGAACTACAACTCATTTGTAGAGATGGTCCTGACTTCTAGGGAGGAGGATTGGTCAAAACAACAAGATAAGCAAGGATCATGCTAATAATACAGCTTTACGAGACTGGAAGTGAGATATATAGTAACCCCTTAAGGTACTGGATTTGATAAAATGAATAAAAAGTCACCAACAATTCAAAGGTTTTATGGACCAAGAACCAAAAAAAGTGGGACAGAACCTTTCAGCTTAATTATCATCTCTTTGACAATGAAAAGCTATTATCATTAACAACAATGATTTAACGCCTAAAAGAGAACAATCGAAATTAACAGAAACTAGATAAATGATCAAATTTAAATCATTCAATAGCCATGACTTCTGAGCTGTAATTCTCATAAAGCAGATAAAGAATAAAGAAATAACAAATACCTAGAGAATTTAGAGCATGCGTTAGTTCCCATAACTATACAAGAGAAAAAGAGATGAATATCATGAACTCAGCATTTACAAGCAAAAGGGATTGACATCTCACATGCTAGGAGGGCGTTGATGATCAAGCTCATTGTAAGGATCAATTACTAGTCCACGGACTCCATGTCTCAGAACTGCAGCTCTTGCAAGGTTAAGAACCCATTTTATATGTGGAAGTGCATCATCTTCACATCTAATCCATGGAACACAGGAAAAGTCCCATAAGAAGAAATCAAAAGTAATGCCAACATAATACACCACGAACTTAATTAGAATGACAACAGTTAGATCAAAAGCAAATGTTTGGAAACGTCAGAGGCTTCACAAGGAGGACTATTCTGCAAGTATAATCAGAGTTAATATTAACTAAGGATTGAGAGTCCAATAGTCTATGAGTGTCTACTTTAAGGTTCTGGAATCATTCAAACATTTGTTCCTCAATGGGCACGAGTTACAACAGCCAGTATACAGAGATGTTATTAACCATTCCCTACATGCAATGTATTCATCAACCTACTTTGGTTTGGGAAAAGAAAAACAAGCAGTCAAAATATTTTAGAAGTTCTATGCTAGACATGAAAGCAAATAAACGAAAAAAAGGCTGTACTGTCTTTTCTAAACAAATAAAAGCAGCACTTATGAACCGAGATAGCTTTACAAAAATAAAATCTAACAGGTTGTAGTCTCAGCAGATTTCCAGACATTAACGTGACCACCATGCAATTTTTCTTATTTAGACATCAAGTACTGCAACTTCTAACTAAAACACTCTAAATTTATAGCTATAAAAGTTGAAGACCTGCAAATCAGTAGAGTCAGTTGCCCATTTCAGGATAGACTTGACTTGTGAATGCATAAACATTAAAAATCAAAGAGAAATTAACAGGCAGAAATGTAACAGGGAAAATTAACTAGAAAGGAAACATGAAACAGGCTGTCACTCCAAGTCAAAATTTTAATAACTAGAACAAGGTTATACTTCTATCACCAGAAGTCCTGAACAGTGGTGGAAACTGGAAACTTTAGTTTACCTTATGAGATAAAATGTATCCCTCAACCACTGCTTCCCTTCTTCTAACTCCTCAGCACTCATACGATCAACAGATTCTCCATAACTATGATTAGCAAAGAAATCGAATTATATAGATAATAGAATTTATGTGAGATAAAAAGTAGCAAGGGAATCGGCATAAGTGACAAAAAAACCACACGAATTCTCACAACTAATCTGGCAATCTAAAGCAAATATTACATATTATAGTATCACCGTCAATTGATTTTATAATTAGAAAGGTATGAATTTTAGACTACAGTTTCAAGCGAAGATTTCAATTCCTGTTACATTAGTCATCAAAGAACTATGATATAGGAAGTTGAAAATTATGAAAAGAACCCAGGACATGATAGAGCAATGATGGGGAAATACACCATACTGACCGTGCATCGAAAAAGGGCTTCTTCATGTGTTTCTCCAAAAGTTTCCTAGCATGGTCCCGAACCTATAGGAAAGAAAATAGGCTAGAGGTTGAGAACAATATCAGTAAAAAGAACATAGATAATATACATAATAGTCAAATAGGATAGAAAATTATATTCAATAAAGCCTATTTCATGTGAAGAACACACCCATGAGTATGATTAACACTTTTCAACTATTTGAAGTTAACTATATTTATAAAAGCATGTTGTTTAATCAATGAATATGACTACTTGCATGCCCTGATTCTACAAAAATCAAAATCCTGTACGCAAAAAGCATCTAAACTGTAACCAGAGAAAAGCCTAGGAGAATGCTATTTCAGTTTCATCACAATTAATCCATGTTTTAACGAACATGCAAAGAGAAGGTTGATAATAACCACTAACATCAAGATTGTGCATGTCAAAACACAACCAAAAAGGAACTAGCTTACACTGTTCTCCATAGAGCAAAGTGCGAATTTCCAGCCAACACTTTCATTAAGATTGCATAATAGAGCATCGATCCACTCACTCTTGCCTGAATTGGGAACCCCAGTTACCATAGTCAACTCTCCTGGCATTATCTGATCGAAATACAAACAATTAAAAACCAGTCTGTCTGCCATTATGCATAGACATGCATTTCTATAATTTACTAAGTCATAGCAATTTAAAGAGTTTAGCTGCAGCATAAACTCCTTAAAGATGATGAGAAAAACACCATGTTTATCAGTTATTTCTCAGTTCCCATTTTGTCCTCTTTGTAAAGAAGATTATAATATTCATGAAAAGAGAATGAATCGTTAAAACTTGGAGAATACAGCATCTTTCTATACAGCAAAATGGAGAAGAAAATTAAGACAATATGAATTCCCAACCATGCTGAATATGAGACAATCACTCCTTCCAAAACCCTGGAAATTCAGTTCTCTCTCTCTGCATCTCTCCCTAATTTAAAAGAATGAATTATTAACTCTCTCTCACTGTCCCTCTCCCTAACATTCACAGACACAGATTTCTCTAATTTACGGATACATAGTAATTTAAAATAATTTAACAGCAGTATTAACTCCCTTCTACGAGATGATAAGAAAAACACCTGTTTATCATTTACTTTCTCAGTACACAATTTTTCCCTCTTCATAAAGAAGATTTTAATTTCAATATTCAAAAAAGAGAATGAATGATTAGAACTGAAAGAATAAGAAATCCTTCTACATAGAGAAATGGAGAAGAAAATTAGCATAACATGAATATTTCCCACCCTGCTGAATAGCAGACAAAAACTCCTTTCAAAACCACAGAAGTTCAGCTCCCTCCCACTGTACCCCCTTTCCTTATTTGCTATGTATTCCTGCATTTCAATATTTTTCTCTAATTCTTTTTTTTTTTTTTCTCAATTGACTAGAATTAGGAAAACTGAATCAGCTATCTTCAGACATAATATTGAACGCATCTGTTTGGATAGCAATATATTCTGATGATATAAGAAGTACAACTTCATATTTTAAGACCATAACAATTTTCTACATATCCAGTTTTGTCAAATAATATTCTAATGTGACATTTTATCTCAGTATCTGAAATTAAATAAATACTTTATGACAAAAGAGAAAAAATACAGGATAAAAGGAAAAGGGAGAGAGAAAATTCAGCACTTACGTTATATATTTCATTTAGAGCCTTCCACCCGGTTGAAACACCAAATTCATAGCCAAGAGTGCGATTATAATATGCATCAATCTCAGGGAAGTAATCGCTGAAGTTGAACAATCCACGTATAGGGTACAGCTCGGCATTTTCAATTACATCCCTCAGTGCAAGAGGCCCCGAAAACATGAGAACCTGAAGATATTTGTTACCAGTGTTGTTAATTTCAACAAGGAAATGCCCAGGATAAGTAAAGTTCATGAGCCTTTTAAAAAATCATTCTCTGTGGCTTCATATAGGAAGAGACCTTTATCTGTAAAAATGCATGAAATGCATACAACCAACAACATGGTTTGATGTTGAGCAATTAAATCATTCCAGAACAAATAATTCAGAGGAAAGGAAAAATAGCATATAGCATATGAACACAGTTTCCATTTCGTTGAATCGGAGCCATGTGAATCATCATTTGCCGAATGATGTGCCAGTTTATCACTGAGAAATTTTAGAACTATTTAAAACAAAATCAACTTGTACTTTAATCATAACCATGGCATGTATATGAGCTATTCATATCTTACCTCATTTGCATCCTTGAAATGTCCATCTTTATTTTTCTTTGGCCATTTGACTCGCCAGCATCTGCATCCCCACAAAAGAAAAAATAAATAAAAGAATGATGGCTTCCTTTACAAATTTGCAAAAGCCACTCTCACATAACAAAGTAAATAGTATTATCAGCAGACAAGCTATGAACCTTTCTCTTCCAAGACGGCGTGCAAGCTCTTCAGCTAATGCTTGACCAGGTGGATCTCCATCAGTGGCAAGTATTATGCGAGATGCCTATAAAAGTAAATGTTAAAACTTGCATGTTTAAACTGATGAGTTGCACCCACTAGCAATGTAAGTTATTTTTACCAACCTTATCCAAGTACTCTTTGCAATTCCAGAGATACTGATATTTTGTGTCCTAGCTTCACAAAATATATATAAGTGGAATCAGATGCAGATTTCCAGTAAAGAAGAAACCAAATATTTGTAACACGGACAATGAGGCAATGACTGGTTTAATTTGGCAAGGTCCTCAGGATGCCCATTTGAGAAATTAACAGTACTATGTTAATAAGGTTACAGAAAAAAAAAAAAAAAAAAAAAAGGCAACTAGCATTCAAATGCTTTATTAATCACAAAGATGAGAATTGCATGTTTATTCTTTGTCTATGTGTAGAAGTGTTTGCACAATAAAGCTATTACTCACCACGTGAATAAGCCCCATGGGGTCACATCCATGGATCCTTTTCCTCCATTATGTTTTCCAATGGACATAACTAGATTCAATAATGATGTAGGACAAATTTGGATTAGTTTCCTATAAAGGATTTGTCCTTAGGGTAGGAGAAGTAGGAAATTAAGAGATGAATTAGGGTTGGGATTCGATGTATGTGGAATTGTGATTGATTAAGTATGTGTTTTAGGTGGAATTGGGATTTTACTGTAGCATGAATAGTAATCCGAGATTACAGTAACAGGCAGAAATACTTCAGGAGGAAGAAGGAAATGGTGCTTCGGAGAAAAGAGAGCAAGAAACAAAACACAAGGCCACAACCTTTAAACTAAATCAAATACTCATAATTTCATTATTCAAAATCCTCCTATTATACAGAATATATAAGCACAAATGACCTAGTAGCCCTAAACTACATAGGAAATAGAAATCTATGAAGGAAAATTAAAAATATAATTACAAACTCCTAATCAATATTCTATTCCTAAATAAAATAAGATTTCTAAATAGTTCTAATATTCCTAAGACAAATACCTAAATAGACTAGTTTTACAGGAATTATCAAAAACTTCCTTAACATTGACTGGATCAAATAATAAATAGTAATAAACATTGCTGACAAGACTCTGAATTTTGAAGTTGGCACAGACCTCCTGTTTAGGTGGTAATTCCTTTGAAGAAACTGCTGGAGGAGCACCATCAGGGACACTCACACAATTACGAAATCCAGCTTCTTCCATTGCAAGCTTGTCCATTTCACCTTCAACCTACAATCAGAATAAATTAATAAGCATCATGCTAAGTAACTAAGAAATTTCTCACAAATTGAAAGTCAGACACAATACAATGATGATTTCATCTGCTCCCTTTATATCATCTAGCCCGTAAAATACTTTTTCTGTATCCTTTTCCTGAAATAAAAGCAGAATAGTAATGGATCAGAAACGCATTACTTAAAATAAAGTATCCAATATATACTCTTTGTGCCTTTTTCCTGAAATAAATGCAAACTAGTAAAGGATCAGATAGGCAATACTAAAAAATTCCTATGCAAAATTGAATGCAACGAAGATACCATCATAAGAATTTACTAAAAGGCTAAATGGGACAATCCAAACAGTAAAACATGAAGTTCAAGTATAAATAAGGACAAAAAGGGTTCAAACACAAACTGAGAGGAAGCACGTCTCAAAATGAAGAAAATCATAGTTTATGAAGTTCTCCAAAAAAGTTCCCTCGTCAGTGGAGCACCCAAATTGCTGCTCTCTGAGGTGTTCGACACCAATCAGAGAAGGTTCAATAATACCTCCAGGAATCATTCAAGAGAGATTTCCTAGAAGGTATTCAGCCACTGGAGATTCAAAATCCAAGCTGCAAAGACTTTAAAATGATGGTAAAGATTGACTGGAACTAGATAGAGAAGTTCGATAATAAAACCCCAGGCATTTTTTTATAACAAAAGCAACATTTATGACAAGGACCTGCCAAAATTTCTTATTGATGTCCCGATACTTGCAGCTTACAAGCACTCCATTTCGGCGGTAAGTAAAAGCAATAGCAACCTGCCCATGAAATGTCTAGAATTATTAGACTGGAAAGAAGTAATTCACATTTAGACTGAAATAACAACAACATATTTTTCCAAACAAATTAATGATTATTTGAATAGACAACAAAAATATCTCCCTCTTTTTTCTTACACAGGAGCAAAGGAACAATTTTCTAATTTCTTCTTCTACAGATCATAAAAGGGAGATATAACTTTGTTTCCATTCATAAAGGTGAAAATAGCAAACTTTTTGCATTTTATGTGTCCAAAAAAAATAAAAAAAACTGGTAAATACACCTAATCTTCCATTTAGTTTATCCACAATAATGGTTCACTTGAATTTACATATATTTGAGGCTCATAGGAATCTTCATGCTCAATTAATAATTAAACATAAGAAGTATTCTTGTTGATTCAGTAGTGTCGTGAACCTGGCCACGGTCGCCATAGCCTTTCTGCATAACTTGATTTCTCGCCAGTGTCTCTGCTGATATTAGCCGCTCCTTGAAATAACCAACAAGCTGAAACAATGCCAAAAATCAGTATATTCCCAGCATTCCAATAAGAAAAAGCAAATAGAACAGTTGAGAATAGAAAATAATGTAGCTAAACTGACTCTCATATCCCATCCTACTGAAAGTTAGGTTAAATACACAAAAATCTTTATTTTGGAAAATACAAGCAATAGCATGTCCTATCCTAGTCTTTCATGCAATCCTCAAATGACAAAACTATTTCCAGGTATTATCTCATATTAGGAAAATGCCTCATGGCTGGTTATACTTAAGTATGCCTCTTTAAAGAGGCCTGAGAAATTACGGATTCCCATGGCGAATAGAGTCCCTCTTTTTGACTAGTAAGAGGTATCAAATCACCTGATCAATCGAATAACATGGCCAAAACGAGCCTCGGGTAGTGTAAACATCCAAGCACATTGAACTCATAATAGTACTAACAAAAATAAATAACTCAATCTGCCTATAACAGTCTCTTGAAATGCTGACCACTCAAAAGACTCCGAAGTTGTACTACAAATATTTGCCAGAGAGATGTGCCTCAAAATCAATATGAAGGATCCCTAGAAAGAGCTCCCAAATGTAGGAAACAATCTCAACCACAGGCACATCAAGGGACTGAACTGGCCAACACCTTTAAAAGTGAACTCGCCACCATTATGTACTAGAAGGGGATAAGAATATCAAGCATCACCCAAATCAGTATCATACATGACTACAGAAGAGTTAAAACACAAAGGTAAAAAGCAAACGTAACAACCTCATCGCATAGTGGTTCCAATTCAAGACTCTGCTCTGTGATTTCTCTTATCTGCTTAACTTTGGAAAGTTTGAGAGAGGTTCCATATGTAGACTTGCTACCTGCAGATGGCTGCAACCAAATGAGCAGTTCTCAGTCAAATGCTTTTCGCTACCATATGATGAACAAATAGTTTTATACAAGAAATTCTTACTTTTGTTCCACCATTCCACCCACATTTTGCTCGAAAGCAATTCCAGGATGCATTTCTCCTGGACATCAAAGATGCCCCAAGTTGACAATCTTATAATCACCACACCAAAAAAAAAAAAAAAAAAAAAAAAAAAAAAAAAAAAAAAAAAAAAAACCCTGATACACGAAAGGTGCAAGAGCATACCCATCTGCACTGATGAAAAGAGAGAAGGATTTCTCATTTGAATCACCACCTTTGCACTAACATGAAAAACAGCAACCACAAATAAGTATAATTTCTAAACGATGCAATCAAAACTTAATAAACGGAATACCTAATAGCATAAAGAAACTAAGACTTGACACCAAATTTAGCACATTGTTCCTATCTCTAAAATTTTTAGAAAAGAAAAATTATTTCAAAGCTCAAACATTTTATTCTTGTTCCTTCATTTCAGAACAAACAAACATTTTTCACAATCTGAAGTAATCAGCTAATTTGACAGCATTAACAATTTTCATCAATTTTAGTACAAGTAAAATAAACCTCATCAAATCTTTTACAACTTGGTTATTTTCTAACATCAATTGTTAATATCTAGGCTCCAAATTTGCTTTTGCACAAAAACCACACAATCAACTCTTACAGACAACTACTTGACAAAGCTAAACTTTAACATTGCAACAAAAAGTAACATGTAAAGAGAGAGCTTCACCATCGGACAAATTAAGGCATTGTACTGTCCGGGAGCAAAGTGATCCAGTTCAATCCCCAGCTCTGCTAATTTAAGCCTTAAAATCTCCAACTTTGATTTCTTCACTTCTGGGTCCAAACCATGAACTGAAAACCAAACCAAACAACACACAAAAATACAACCTTAACACTCTAAACACACATTTATCTTCACCTGAACATACAAATTCTTATACATTAACCATTCTAAAACCAAAAGAGTAAAAAATCCGAACTTTCAGCATTATCCAACAAAACGCAAGAACCTATTTCAAAAAACATAAAAGTTACCTGGGGCAGCAAGAGGAGAAAAAGAGTGGCCATTAGTTTGAGTAAGCAAAGAAGGGTTAAGTTTAGAGGTGGGCTTCGAAGAACAAAAAACAGGTAACAATCTTTTAAAGGTATGATATTGTTGTTTATTTGAAGAAGGTAATAAAGGAAAAGCAGTGGGAATATTAGTAGCGGTTGGTTTAAGCAAAAATTTTGAGCCCATGTAGTAGTAAAATGAAGATAAAAAAGCAAACTTTTTGTTCAGATTGGTGTGAGGTTTGTGAATAGCAAAAGCAAGCATCTTTTTTCTCTATCTCTTTTGGGTCATTTGTTTTGTTATTGGTGTTTCAACAGGGCTGTTCTTCCATCGGTGAGGGTGGAAGACAGAGAAGAGGAGGGAAAGGGCAGAAAGCAGGGTTTAATGGTTTGTGGGTTATGTCTGCTGTTGTCTTACTTGTTTTATTTTATTTTTATTTTATCTTTTTACACTAACCTTTTCAAAATAGAAAAGAAAATGATTAATTAATTAGTTAAGTAATTAATTAATCAAAAGAGTGATGATTAGGGCTTTGTGGGGTAAATTATAAATTAGTCCCTCTAATGTTAATAAACGAATAAATTAGTATCAAAATTTTTTAAAATAATTATTTAATTTTTTGTCCATTTTATATTTTTTTCTAATTATTATAAGCATAAATTATAAAAATAAATATATAAAATAAAAAATTGTTGAAAAAATAGTTTTTAAAATAAAATACTATTAGATTAAATATGATTAAGGCTAGTAAATGAACTTAATAATTAATTTTCTAGATAAAAGGATTAATTAATTCACTTCTTAAAACTAAAGGGATTAATTTATAATTTACTCCGGTTTTCTCATTTCTGTGACTGTCAGTGTGTCAGTGTTAATTCTCTTTCAGGGTTTGAACCCACCCGAATAACTAGCCGGATCCCTCTTTCTTTCTCTCTTTCTTTTTTTTTTTTTACTCATTTCTTTCTTGGCTCTTTTTGCTACTCATACTCTAATAAAACTTCAATTTTCCCCCTTTTATCCTTTTTCTATGTTTCTTTGTGGATCAAGATGGAAAATTGATATACTCAAATAATAATAATAATAATAATAATAATTTATGTAATTAATTGAAAAAACATTAAGAGTTGGTTTACTTATAACGCAGTCTTAACCACTAAACCAACTAAAGACAAATAAAAAACAATTAAAGACAAATACAAGGTTAAAAAACCCTTAATTAAAACTAAACCTTGAGACTTCAAATAGATCAGATTGAGCAACATAGTATGAACATTTTAATCAAACTAAACAGTGAAACTCAAGATCTTGTCCCTGTAATGGGTGCAACCACTAAATTAAATCCAGTGATTCCTATACCAAATTTAGAGTGAAAGTCTTCCCAGTTACAGAAAATTTCCAAAGAAAGCTTTTCATCACTGGTGACCTTGTATCTGCATCATGATGCCTTAGGGTTTTCTTTTTCTTGATGTTTAGCACCAAACAAATAGCTTCAGAACTTGTTGCATCTCATAACACTTGTGCTGGTGCTGATTACCGTCAGCAAGTAAACTGCATTTTCCATGTAAAGATGAAAAAATTGCGCCAAGGAATTCCAACTTCTTGCCTGCAGGTGGTTTGCTTCAGCAGGTAGGCCTTGGAGAAGCACCAACTTTAAGATTTGAAACTATTTGTGTTTGACACCTCGACCGTTTCCAGAACATCAATCTTCACAAAGCTGTAAGAAATTTCAATAAAAAGAACCAACAGATGTTCAGTCTCAGACATGAATGATCAGCAACTTTGTGCGTTTGTATACTACTTTAAGCCAGCATGTGGTGGCATCGTCAATCTGTTCGATTTGCCAAAAAAATCTCCACTGCGAATTATGAAACAAAATATGTACTTTAACTTCACAGGTTTGTGGTACAGGTTGAGCAAACACCACAAAGAATTTTTCTTTCCATAGGAATATAATCGTGAAGTTACCTGATTCAGAAGATGTAGCTGACAAGCCTCATACTTCTCTGCAGTTTGAATTGCTTTCTTCAAAGCAGCTGGTCCCAAACACTTCAGAACCTGTGGCCATAAACAGAACAAAGACAAAATGCAGATGGGCTAACATTCCGTTTAACAAAAATAATATGTTAGCTATTACATTACCAATACTACTGTAAGTTTTATAGATGATAGCAGTATCATCAACAGGCATACTTCTCAGCCCTCGGGCTTGATCTCGACTTTCAATGATTGAGAACTTTTTGTCTTATATATCATCATTTGAACATTGACCCTAGCATCCTTTGGCCATAAAAAAGTCGAAATGGTTGTCCATGACCTTTCTGAGCTAAATGTCAAAACCATAAGAATTTTCCAGAGAAAATAATGAAAAGACACAAACCTCATTTGCGTCTTTGAAGCACTGCCAGTCATCTTTCTTTGGCCAACGTACAAGCCAACACCTGGCAAAGTCAAGGAAAACGAAAGGCATACCAGTAAATGAGTTTTCAAGTATTTAGGGAAAGCCTATTTTGGTGACGAGAGTGAAATAAGCATTTTAGTCTCTGAAACTCAAAATAAGCATTTCAGTCTCTGAAATTCAAACAAAACATATCAGTATAATTGCAATGATACAAACCCATTAACATTTTTAGCAGGTCCTACTAACATTTGGGAGCTAATCATTACTTTGTCGTTACGAATCGCAACCCATGTGTGCTACATAAAATAAAAGTATGAAGGTCCGATGATGAAGCAAAAAGAATGGAAGAAAAGCTAGCCATAAAAGGAATGAAACCAGTTCATTAAGAAAAAATAAGAGATATAAAGAAGCAACCAGTAAAAGCTAGGACACCTAGATGGCTCTCAAAACCTGAACTGCTTATTGAATATCTATTAAATCTGCTCTTTTATTTGGTAGCACATGCAAGTTCCTGAAATACCCCCACTTGAGCTAATAAAGCATAAAAAGCCTTGTAGAACCTGATCAACCAGCATAAATCTAATATTTTACAAATTGAACCAATTTCTACGGGAAAGATAATTTTTTACCATATTATTTTCCCAAGGGATAGTTATCACCTTTCTTTTCCCAGCCGGCGTGCTAATTCTTCAGCCAAGGATTGCCCACTTGTGTCGCCATCAGTTGCCAGGACAATGCGAGAAAGCTAAGAGGTTTATATGTAAAAAGAAAAGAATAATTAAGAAATGAACATTGGAAGAAAGTCCAAAGGATCGCTGCATTTCCAAGTCAAGTTCTCTCCAAAGATGCTTACCTTATCCAAGTACTCTTTGCTGTTCCATAGATACTGATACGCTCTGTCCTAGCTTCATACATGCAAAGATACACAAAACAAGCTAAAGTAAATTAATGATGGAATAGACATCAAATCTGTGAGAGAAAAGGAAAGATAGCATGAATCCATAATGTAAACTGTTCAAGCTGGAAAGAGATAATGCTGTGTAATTGGCAATAAATAAGAGATACTTTTTGAAAAAAGAAAAAGAAAAAAGAAAGGGCATGTCTTATTGCCTAATCAGACTCTCAGTTCAGTTAGAAGAAAGATAGATGTTTCACATTGAAAAGAAAGAAAGAAAGGAAAGAACGTATAGTTAAATTTTACACCAAAGCATGCTCAAGAAAAGTTATTAGTCTCAATTCCAACCTTTTCTAAGGATGGTAAATCTTTAGCAGAAACAACTTGTGGTGCACCACCAGGAACACTAATGCAATTACGGAATCCAGCTTCCTCCACTGAAAGCTTATCTATTTCCCCTTCAACCTTAGACAGCCAAGGCAATAACAATCAGAACAGATAGAGAGAAATGCCACTATCCAGTTACAAGAGTGCAAATAAGGTGAGAGCATTTACAATAATAATTTCGGTAGCTTCAATTATGTCATCTAGCCCATATAACCATTTTCTTGTATCTTTCTCCTGAAAAGGAGTTGCACAAATATGATAAGCCAAAAAAAAAAAAATTCAAAAAAAAAAGGCAGAACACATGTAGGGTTTATTATAATAAAATCTAAAACATCAACCCCATCTTCAGCTTGCCAAAACATCATCACTGCATGATTTTTAAAATGCAGGGTAAGCGTAGCATACTTACTTGCCAAAACCTTTTCTCCATGGTTCGGTATTTGCAGCCAACAATTGCCCCATTTTGTCTGTATGTAAAAGCAATAATATCCTGCAACCAGCAGTAATCAGGAAAGGTCACGTTCTAAGAGTTGAAGTTCTTGAGACAGATCCTTTAGCTGAAAATCAAATAAGAATGTAAAAGATATATGATCTCATCGCTCTACCCTCTTTTACATAAATCAACCATCATTATCCTATTGTCAGTCCTTCAAATTTGTCTTACGTGGTAGAAGGACAAGATATGGCTTGAAAAGGCCTTTGCTTCAGATCTTGCCTTAGCCTAACATATGTTTTAGAGCAAGGAAAGCAATGCACAAACAGCAAGATCAAAGAACTTGTTTTGCCTTATGAATTATCCTGGATAGCTGAATCCAAATTTATCACTTCGTGGTTGAAAACTAGATCATTGACGAAGAAGTTGAAGCTTGAAATAGCATCTCAAAATTAGAGAAAGAGAAAATAGTCTAGAAAACTTATACTGCTGCTCACTTAATCCAGAATCATACAAGCAATTTGGCTGCTCAATTGAGCGAAGGCTTAGGTCACAGTTGCCTCACTTATTCCCTCAAGTGAATAACCGCAAATACTAGGCTAATAGTCCCAATCAAAATTTCTTGGACAATTCTTAAGAATGTAACTGCCCCAGAGGATCCAAAAGTAAGTTTAGAAAATAATGAGGGGTATCTTCACATTTACCATATGAGCATGAATCCTAACATTCCACCAATCATTTCCCCTTCTCTTATGTTTCTTCCAGCAAACTAAAGTATACATGAAAAAGTTTTCTTCTCATAGTGAAATGTTGAAGTAAATGGTAAGTAGTAAAATGCTGCATATGATACTCTTTAGAGACCTTATCACCGGACATCTGCATAACAGCATTTCTCTGCAGAGTTTCGTTAGAAATCATTCTTTCACTGAAGTATGCGATCAGCTGGAAAAAAGACAAAATTATAACCAACATCAATAACATTCCACAAGTCACTTCATTAAGAATTTGGCAAGAAAATTTAAAAACTACAATAAAATATTCTATGTATAATAATCAGTATACCTTGTCACCCAATGGCTCCAAAACTATGCCCTCTGGGGTTATTTGCTTGGAGGATTTAACTTTGAAAATTTTGTTCACTCCAGCAATTGTCATCCTGCTATCAGCAAAGGCCTACAATAAAAATTTGTGAACGGCTTAAGATTCTCCCACTTTCAATTACCCTAAAATTCAAAATAAATTTAAAGATTGCATGTCACCTGGCCTGTCCATCCACAACCAGCATTAAAACACCTCCACATTGCAAAATCCCTGCATCACCCATCATCGAAATCCTTCAAATGTAATCCAATAACTCAATATATCCCAACGTAATGCATTTACAGCCCTAATAGAAAGTATATGCAGCAACTTACTCATCTAGGCTGATATTAAAAGATAAGCTCCTCTCCATGGTCTTGCCACCTTGGCACTATATTACCAAAAAACCAAACACTCAAAATCTCAAAAAAAATAAAAATAAAAATAAAAAATAAAAAAGCAATAATTTTGTTTCGAACAATTATGTGTATCCAACCAATATCTATATCTGTACAAACATAAACATCATATTTATGATAATACCAATATACTAAAAAAGTAAAACTATAACATAAAAAGAATTGAAGAGCCGTTTCATTTCACCTTGGGACAAAGCAAGTGATAGTACTGTCCAGGCAAGCAAGAATCATCGCAGTTAATCCCAAGAACCTTTATTTTCTTCATTAACACCCTCACTTTATCACTATCATCAATACCATCCTCTTCTATAACCTCCTTTATATTACCATTAGCTTCAACAACAACAAAAATCCAAAATTTATCAACTTTCAGTTCTCTCAAAAGAAACATTAAAAAGGGAGCACACTTTAAGAAAATAAAAAACGAAGAAGAAGAAGAAGAAGAAGTCAAGACCAAGAACTAAATACCTGAGCGTAAAGTTGGAAACCTCGGAGTATTACATTGAGACCAAACATGACTCATTAATCTTGTTGTTGGTGGTGGTGTTGAGGAATTCTTGTTTGTGAACAGGAAGCGTACTTTAGTAGAGAAATGACATAACTGATTAGTGAGGCTCAGAGCTAATGTTGTCATTCTTCTTCTCTCGTTTTTGTTCCAGTGTTACTTCAGTAGCCACTTCTCAAAGTTTTATCGCCTTTTTGCTGGCTAAATTATAACATGCCCCCTGAACTAAAGCTAAAAAATAAATAGCCCTTGAACTAAAAACTTTTTTATGTTACCCCCTAAACAATTAGCTTTTCTAAATTTACCCCTTCTCTTGCTATTTCATTCAGAAATTGATGAAAAAATTCTTTAAAAAATTCCTCTCTTTTCTCTATTAGTAAACATATCTTTCTAAATTAGTAGGAAAAAGGATAAAAATTGAAAGGATCGTTATGGGTTTTTTTGTCAATTTCTCAAAAGAATCTTAACAAAATTGATAAATTCAAAAAATCATATTGTTTGAGATACAAAATAAAAAAAATATTTATATTTTAGAGATTTATTTCTTTTTTACTAAAGTCCAAGAGAATATTTATAATTTTATTTATTTTATTTTTTAAAAACTTTTTGGGTATGAGTTTATAATGGGTTTCAAAGTCTCGTGTTTTTTAGTTAAATCCATATTTTTGTTGTTGTATTTATATTACATTTTTTAATTTAGTCTTTGTGTAAATAATTTGGCCAATTAGCACTCTATATGTTTTTTTTAATTGTAGTCAATTGAGTTTTATATATAACTTTCTGATTTTTTATTTATTTTTATTTTTTTTGTTTTTTTATTAAATGAACCGAGGTCATTTTTATTTTATTTTTTTCAAGTAAAAATTTGTGTAAAAGATAGAACATGAAGGGTAAAGAGGAATAATTGTGATTCCATATGCAAAATTCCAAGCCAGCCCACTTAGCAAAAAAATTGATGGAAGTTATGGATTGGAATTAGTTGACTGCAAATCAGCCATTAGGAAAACGGGGTTCAATTGACCAAATTATATATATGAGGACTAAATTAACTGATTGAGGATAATATTTGGGCGAAAATATAGTCTTAACAGTAATTGGTTTCTAGTCAGCGGCTAAGCCCAAGTGGCTAGTTTGTCTCTGGCCCAGTAAAGTAAACAAAAGAAAGAATGAAACTTGGAGAGAGGAGAGAGAGAAGACAAAGAGAACCTCACATAAACCCTAATAATACTCAAAAAGATTAAAGCTTTAGCTTATCTTTACCTGCTCTTTCTCTCCACTTTGATACGGTAAATTGTTTATATTTCGATTTATATTGCTTTTTCTTTTAGGTTGCAAATTTTGTTTTTTTGTTAGAGATGGATTTGGCAATATGTGTTAGGACTTAGCTTGCAAAGATTTCATCTTTGTATGTCTGTGTCTGTGTTTTTTGTTCCATTAGCATGAAATAAGAACACTATTTGCTGGGTTGGTTTTGTTTTGTCTATTGTCATGGAACTGATAGCTTTAGCTTAGTACTATGTTTTCTCATTGCTGTTGAACTGTTTTGTGCATGTTTTTTTGCACATGTCCAATCTAATTTTAATCTTAATTGCTTTCAAATTTTTTGTTTGGTCATAGGTACCAATGCCAAGAAGACCAACAAGGAATCGTCAGTCACTGATAGCTAGACCCTTGACCTTTGCTCCATTTGCCCGTTCGCTTGCTCATCTTGCATCCACATACATGCCGAAGCATCAAATGCTTGGCAGTAAGTTCACTGGGTCTCCCTCCAACAATGAAGGTATTATCTCTTTGGAACATCCTTAAACTTTAAATTTGAAATGTATTAAACTACCCTGTTTAAGGTCTTCCTGATTGAATTAGCTTGCCGTTGTATCAAGGTGGTGCGATGGTTAAGAAGACTTTAAAAGAAAAGAATGAACAGTCTGAGTCTTCTGAGGAAGAAGAGTTTGAGGTTTGTGATTTATTTTGGTGGTGCTGCCTTCTTTTGTGTTAGTGTAGCTTTTGTTTTGTTTTTTTTTTCTAATGTGATTTGATGTGCATCTTTTGAAGGGAGAGGTCCAAGCAGACTTTGCATTCTTTGATCCAAAAGCTGATGACTTTCATGGAGTGAAGATCTTGCTGCAATCCTACCTTGATAATACAGAATGGGATTTGAGTGGTTTTGTAGACTTGATATTGGGACAGACCACAGTAGGGACAGTTGTTAAAATTGAGGATGATGAAGATAATGGACTTTTTGCCGTTGTTTCTGCCCTTAACTTGGGTAGATATAAGGCAAGTAGCTTGCACTTTGAGATGCTTCCCCTCCCTTTATTAAGATTATTTTTTGTTTATCCTGCACACAGTTCAATAGCTAATCTCATGTCAACTAAAATGTGGCAAATCATTATGGGAAGTTTGCCCTCAATTTTTAGTGAGATATCAGGCGTTGCTCCTCTTCTTTTAGTAAAGATCCCTAAACCTGAACCTTACTACAGCCAATGCTTAGCTACAATGTTGGATCATCATAATTTGAAACCTAACATGCATCGGAATGTGGAGAATTGCCTTACCATTGTTGTTAATGTTGCCCACTCTGGTGTAAATAGTACGTTAGGTGGTTATTACCTGTTTATTAACCAGCTATTAAATCGCTTCAGATCTGATACATTTCAACTTTGCTGACTAAGGAATGTTTTGCTTTTACCAGGATCATAAATGTATTGCAGACCTCAAGGAGTACCTGCTCAAAGTATGCCTGGAGAAAAGCATACAAGGTGATCTAAGAGCTCTTTTGGGAGAGCAAGCATATAATGTGGGTCTCTTGGTCTCTCGGCGAGTTGTTAATCTTCCACCCCAGCTTTTGCCACCTCTTTATGATGCCCTGTTTGATGAAGTATCATGGGCTATAGAAGATGAGGTTAGATAAGATATGAGATGGGTGAGCTTAATAAATACCTCTTTCTTTTCATGCAGGAGAGAACTTTGTCTGTCTAGCTAACTTCTTTTTTCATCATTTGAAGCCAACAAAAGAGCTCCGGAATTCCTTCCGCTTTAAGTCCTATCTACTAGTTAGCAAAATTTACAAGGTATGTCTGTCCTGGATTCTTCTTCCTGCCATTTGCACTTCCATTATTGTTCCTCTATGCTAAAATCAACGCTCTCTTCTCTTAATACATTGCAGCACAAGAATGCAGACAAGAAAAGCAGGCTAAGTAGTGATAGTGAGGAAGCAATTATATATGATAAGCCTGAAGATGAAATTTTTCACAAGGTACATATTCTGACCTTTATAATAATAGCACATTATGCTTCTCCTCCTTTCACTGATTTTTGCCAGTTGCATTTCAGCTGTGCTCATGGTCCTTCAACTTTCCTTTCCATGCCGAGCAGGTTGTAGCTCATGAGGTAAGTAGTAATTTTGCTATTATCTTGAAGAGGTTACATTGCTGATTGCATTTTGCTAATGACAGAACCAGTGGAACTCTTATTTGTAAAATTTTTGTTTCATAAACTATTTGTTGTTAGCTCTCAGCATAGTTGTTTACAATATTCTTTTGTTTAAGTTCCCTAGTTGAAGAACCTCTAAATGTCACCATGTTACTGTAGACGTTCCATTTGTTTTTGTTGTGTTGTTTAGGTGACCAAGTCTGTTGACAGTACATTATTGCTTCCCTTGGACATTTACCTATGTCGATGACAGCTTTAATAATAGAACTGTTTGCTAATTTTTGGTTTTGATAATTTACAGCTAAAAAATTACCGACCAATGGGATTAGTAATGGCTGTTGAAGCAGACAAAGTTCCTACATTCCGAGAACAGCTTCGTTCACTGATTGATTAGCCCTGAATTCCTATTGGAGGTGCACCAAATTTCAATTAAACAAATTCTTTATTTTTGCTTCTGACGTTTGCGAGAAAACAAAATCAATTATAGTGGTCGATCTTAATTATTTTTATAGGTATCTCAGGTGCCAAGTTTTGATTTCTCCCTCGCTGGAAGTAATTTTGTAGACTCAACCCTTCTTCAACCACGACAAGTTTGTCAGAACTTTGTGTTTGATAGGCAGGATGACATTTGTTGTGTTTTATACACTTTGTGTTATTGTTCTCTCTCCTTTTGCATAATTTTCCCATTTCTCTTTGTACTTATCAGCCACAAACTGAACAATATACACGTTCTATAGCAAAGAAGACATGTCTGAACTCTACAAGGGTAACGAACCCCATGTTTTTTCATAGTGAGTGCTCTTGGAGAGAAGCAGATTCTCAGTCTCTAGTTTATATGGAAACTTTGTGTAGTACTTTCAAAGAAATTCGAAGGCACCAGAAACACATCTGTCATGACCTCTAATCCATGGTAAGACCAAACAAACATTCGGTATGTCTCGGAGCAGCTTTGTTCGTTGATTCATTAGCCCTGAATTCCTATTGGAGGTGCATCAAATTTCAATTCAATAAGTTCTTTTTTCTTTCCTTCTGATAATAAAAAGGAAGAACGGAAAGAGAACAAATCTTGTCATGCTAAGCTTAGCAGTCCAAGTGCACTTTCAAGCATTCCCCGATCTCAGTCTCAAATGGACAAAGGCATAAAGAAGACGTGTAAAATAGAAAGTAATAATGGCAATAAAAACTCAAAATTGTTAAAATTGTTGGCATTAGCATCGAACTCATTCAAAAGGACAAATTCAATAATGGGCATATAAAAAATGTTGTCCAGCTCTATTTGCCGTTGTTGCTTTCTTGCTTCATTAATTCATCAACAAGCATGGTCTTGTTTTGCTCCAAATTCTTAGCTAATTGACACACTTAAATCTCCAAATTCTCAAAGCTTGCTCCTGTTTCCATTCTTGTTAAATTCAACTCTTTATCGTTTCTCTCATCTCATCTAGTTTTCGCCAGAATGGAACCGTCCATTTTTCCATTCTTGTTAACAATGAATTTGATGATCACAGCTGAATAAAAGGATGGCAAAGAACGATGTGAGAGTAGACAACACCACACTTCAAAGTTTAGGACTGCCTGATGAAGAGGAACGTTTCCATTCATTTCCGTGCTCTTAACAAGCATGCAAGGAGCAGCGAAAGTAAAACTATGCCAGAAGAACGAGAAAGATTTGGGAATATAGCTTGAAGGAAGCTCAATGGGAACTGAGAAGCTGGCATGGCAACTGTAAGCTCTGATCAACATTTAGCACAGCATTTTATTCTTTTATGGCCTGTTCTAATCAGAAGGTAAATGCAAGGATGAATTATGGATGTTGAAGCATTTGCTTAGGGGACCAAACCGGGACAAATCGAGCCTAAACAAGACTAACACGCGCATCCTGATTTTGGTCAAGTTATCAAACATAGTTTTAAATCGCGAACGGTTGAAAAAAAAATCACAATCGTCATTGCAAATCGCAAACTATTATAATACTAAAACAACAGTAACGGAATGTGTTGAAACCATTAAATAACAGCTATTATATAACGTAACGGTCATTATTTAAAATTATATCCAGAGCTCAACAATCTATTCTTGACTCTTAAGGCACCTTACCCAATTTGTTATTTCCGCATCATTGTACTCGCTGCTTCTGGAAACATGGAAGTTCCTCTTGACGCTAAGCAGAATTTCTCCAGGAAAATAGGACAGTTAAAAGGAAAATGAGCAACTAAATAGAATAGAATTCCCGGTATACTCACTGGTCAACAAAAAAAACTGAAGGTCAATCTAATTTTCCCAAGCAATTGGAAAAGAGAAATTAAAAAAAAAAGACCTCAAGAAAGGGACCTACAAAAATTTCTTCTATATACAGAGTAATTGATCATTATTTTATTTTTATGGGCTGCCACAAGATTGAGGAACTAGGCAGATGGCAAAAGCTTTCAGACTTATTTGATATTGGCCAGACTTCCTGCCCTGGATCTTGTAACTCTACATGAGAAATGAGGAGAACTGTAGAAACCTTCAGATTTTCTTTTTCAAGTTTCCTTCTAGCCTCTCAATTGCTGCACCAACGCCACCTTTTGCTTCCCCTGTCTCACCTGAGCCAGGATAAACAGTTGGATTTCCTTCATTTGCTTTTTCTACAAGTTTCAAATGAATCCACCCTGTTGCAAAATGCAATGTTTGCATTAGAAACTTCCTTCTTCTCAGTTAACTTTAGTTCTCATTTTCTAGTTTCATTTTAGCCCCAAGTAGTAGTCATTTCACAGCATTAATGTTGCCAGCTCAAATAATGTTGCAGGCTACATAATTGGGCCAAAGATTAAGAAAATGGTCTACAAAATTACGGGACTCTTTTTTCCTTCGTATTGTGATTTCATATGAGAAAGTTATTAAGATTCCATATCAAGTAATTACATACATAAATTTAAATACCAGCTGTTACATAACATAACAACCATTAAAAAAATGGTTACTACGTTACTGTTGTTCAACATTATAGAGACTCTGTTGCGATTTCACATAAATAACGGCGTTGTATATATAGATATATAATTTTTTATAAAAATATATATATATATATATATATATAGTATTTTCTTATAATAAAAAAAACCTATATTTCAGCCTTGCACTTTGCAGCCTACCCACGTGATTTTGTCCCTATTTTTCAGCTTTGTTTTGGTCCCTGTTATTCAGCCTTTGAAGGCTTGAATTTGGGTGACAAAAAAAAAAAAAAAAAACAAATATTTCAGTCTTTGCACTTTCTGCTAATATATTCACGACATCAGTTATTGCAACCATTATTTTACTACCTCGATTGCAACTGTTTTTACAAATATGTCTGCAATTTAAAACTATGATCACTTATCGGTAGTCATCTATATTAAGTTCATTTTATTTAACAAAAACCACTTAGCAAGGACAAATTTAAATACTAGAGATGTGATCAATTACCAAGAGGAAAACAGAATGCTGCACCCAGAACTGATCCAAGCAGCACATTCCTCGCACGCCACCGAAGAGAGCCAGGCACTAACATAGAAAGGTTACACAAATGAATTACTCTGTTAATACTCGAGGCTCCTAAATCTAACTTCATAAGGAGCTGAAATTGAAAAACATATATTCTTTCCGCTGTATAGAACCATTTGGGAATTGAAATCAATTTAGTGAACTAATCCCAAGAAAAAGGGGAAAACAAAATATTTCTCAAGCATAAGATATGAATTATTACTAATTAAACCAAACGTTGCAGCAGTGGCTGATCCAGCTCCAGCAACATTAAAAATATCATGCACCCCCCGTTTCTCGGCCAGTAGATTTTGTAATCCATAGAATCCAGCAGTGAACATTCCAAGTCGTATTCCACCAACTATTGAACCACGAGCCACTCGGATAAACCTTTTCTCCATAGCATCTCTCATTAATCTATGCTGTTCCCGCTTGTCTGGAGTGCTCCCAAGCTTTAACATCACTTCTGCATCCTTGCTCTTCCAAAATGACAAAAGTCCTGAGTTTCAGTGCGTGTGGTATTTGTGAAGATATAAAGACAACTATTTGCATTAAGAAAAGAGCTGTTATATGGGAGGGAAAAAGGGGTTTACATCGAGAAATCCAGACAAAATCATAGAAGAAGAAGAAACATCAGGACACATTGAGAACAAACAGCATTATGCAGGTATGAAGGCTGCCAATTTTTACAATCAGAGGCAAGAAATTGCCACTAGTAAGTGGCACAGAAGACCAAAATTATGCAACATTGGCATACATAGCTTCGACATACAATATGCAAATTACTTCACAAATTTCTCCATATCAAGTAAACTGCTATAAAAGAGAGACCACCATATGCTGCATACCCAGAGCTTATTGATCTCGAAGAACATCATCCTATAACAAAATAGCTTCGTGGAGAAGAGCGACCAAAATTATGGAAAACTGGGATTCAATATCAGGCTATAAACCCACATATGCACTATACTGGAGAAAATTATCATCCATCCTCTCCAATTACCAATTATCAATTAGTGTTAAAATGAAAACAGCGAGTATCTCTTCCATTCTCCCATTCAGAAGCATATATTCCTAATGGAGCCCGATTTAACCCCCTAATATACCAATGTAAAATCTAAAAGTTCCAAACTCTGGATGATTTTTTATATGCACACACGCAAGTTCCACCAATTTCACTAATCCTTTTTTTTTTTTTTTTTGGGGGGGGGGGGGGACAAATTATTTCTGTTAGAGCAAGAAATGGCTGGTTAAAAAAATAAAAAATAAAAAATAAGACATGGTAATGAGTGGACATCAGAGTGAAAAAAATGTCACAAATCTTAAAGAGAACTAACCACAGATGCAGCTGCCTCCTTGCTACCTCCATATAACATGCCTGCAAACACTCCAACCACAGTCGCCGCACCCCAGTGAACCGTTCCAGCCAGTTTTGGAGCATACTGTTTTCAAAAAATCAGACAAACCACTAGATAATTAATACATTCAAAACTGCCATGGATCCTAACCTTCATTCAGGTAAATTCTATCAAGAAAAAAGGAATAGACGAGATTAAATAGCTAGGGTTTCTTGGTTATTCAAAAATCCAATTAATAAAAATCACAATCTCAGTAAAGGAATACAATAACTTATAGTCGAAAATTAATGATTTGAGATATAGTATTCTATAAAATAGAGAAATTTCAAGTAATAGAAAGAGAGAGAGATCTTACAGTGTCGACAGGTTCTTCAGTGCCTTCCATATATCATCAAAATTTTATTTGAAATTGAGGAATGAGTGAATTTTCTTTGAGAAAATTTTTGTCAAGGCGCCATCACTTTATAATCACAAACAAGGAGGAAGACGACTTCGGGCCTTCAGCCCAATCTGGAGCAGCTCATGGAGCTTATACTTTGCCAATGCGGCCCAATCCCATTCTGGATCGTCCTTACTTCCAGCCCAAAGTCCACCGTCCTCTTTTTTTGCCCTCCAAGTCCAGCAACTGGTCAATTTTTTGGGCTGCCAGTCATCCTCCCCTAGCCCACTCGCCCATATGGCTTTCCACAATTCCTCTGGTAAGCCAGACCAACGGATAATGACACCGGACCCACAGATCACATAGCATGCAATACTAATTTTATAATTTTATGACTGAAGTTCATATAAATTCATGCATTCCGCCGGTTCAAATTCTGAATGGAGATTGTTCGAACTTTGGACCAAGTAAAACTGGACAATAATTTCCATCTTAAACATGTTTTAAGAATGTATAATTTTTGTTTTCATTTACTCACTATTGATAACTTAACTTGATATCTTAATTGTGTTCTAATTTTTATATGTGATTTTTTTGTGATACATAATTTACTCTCAAGGAAACTGATTGGAGTGGATAAAATGTAAAATAATATTTATTATTTGGAACCAATGGAGAAAGGAAAAGCATTTATTATAAAAAGTTCGATACGATGGATTCGTAACATTAATATCTGGAATATATATTAGTGAATCGTGTTCTACTAGTTCCAAACTTATCTATTACAATTGATTTGTCAAATAAATTTTTATACGATGCATGTTGTAGGGTCAAGCGGATTAGATTGTTTTTTTCGGATCGTACTAATAAATTAGAGAATTATTTTGATTTAGTACATTGTATGTTTGAGAGATTATATCGGACTTTATCTTATTCAGAATCACATTATTTTCTTACAATTGTCAATGATCACAATCGAGCCATATGGGCTTTTCTCATGCAACACAAATATGAAACTAGAAGTTATCTTCTGCTACTTTAAAACTTGGTGTAAATACAATTCAACCAAACTAATCAGAATAAATATAAATAAATATAGAAACAATAAAACAGAAATTAAAACTTATCCACTTACATGGGACCTAGTTGATAAAATAGTAAATTTTTGCGGGGTAGAATGAAAGGCATCCAAGATAATCCGTCTCTATTGGGTTTTAATGAGTTGATAAAGTTAGATGAATAACTGAATTAAAAAACTGTTTAACCCTTGTTGTCTTTTATATTTACAATGAAATTGAATTCAATCACTCAGATTTGATGAATTATTATTTTGAATATCAAATAATCAAGCATACCATTTAAATAGATAACTAAAACATTATGTTTTTAGACCAGCTTATCGATCCATTTTTGGAGAGAATGTATTGTGATTGTGGCATAACTCATCAATATAATGTTACTTTTCGTTCTATAAAACAAGATGTCTTATAAACTCTTATTTTATTTTACATCTAACTATAATTAGTTATGAAGTTTTAGATGTCATTGTTATGGGTATGTTCATACTAAGACACGAGAAAAATTTAATAAATCAGGCATTTTTGTGAAATATCCTGATGGTCAGAAAGGCCATCGAATATATGATTTAGATAGCCGCAAAATATATATTTAACGTGATGAGGAATTTTTGGAGGATTTTTTTCCCATTTAACCCACCATCTCATTCTGCCTCTTTGCCCCTTGGTATTGGGTCAGACCCTTGTACAAGGTCCGGGAGCAAGCTTTTGGGTCCAGTTCATTGTTTGCACAGCAGGCCCCTGATTTCCTTAGGGAGCGGGCCATAGAAACTGGGCCACTTCTTTCTGCACAGGCCCACGACGTGTCTCTTCATCCCAAGGCATCTCGCCGGAGTGCTGGGCCCTCTCCTACTGTTACCCAATACTGTAAGATCAACCTGTCGGAGGCCCACAGGCTTGTGAATGTGGGTTCGAAATTATGAGTTGGGCTTACGTAAGATTTGATCCTTAACAAGGACGTGCACAATCACTTTTCTCTTCACTCGAGGCCCAAGTAAATTATAACTTAAAGAGTACATTATAAATTAATCCTTTAGTTTTGAAAAACGAATTAATTAATCTTTTTTAACAGTCTCTTTTTGTTCATTTTACGTTTTTATTTCAATTTATTTATTTTAAAAAATATATATAAAAATTAAAAAATTAAATAGATATTATGGAAAGATTTATGAGCAAAGAAATATTTTTTAAAATAAAATCATATTAAATTAAATATGGTGGTTAAAATACAAAATAATTATTTTTTTGAAACTAGAAGAACTAATTTATAATTTGCTCATGATTTGAAAGAGAAAAAATCGCCACGGCAGTTGGCATAGGAACATCAAAATTTTAATCAAGAGAAAAACATTTAATTAATATTATTAATTATTCTTAGCAATAAAAAATGAAAACTAATTTATTGAAACAAAGCAAATTAAAGCAAGAGTAACTGCAAGGTTAAGTAATTATGAAGCAGTAAAATATAGCAGCCGCCATGCATGGTAACGGTTTATAGAGAATAAATGGGAAACCCTAACTGCTAAGAAAGAAGGAAGGAAAAAAAACACGTGAAATATAATTTAGTGCAAGTAATACCTGAGATTGATCCCTGTACGCTTGTTTATCTTTCATTGTTGTCCTTGTACCAGATCATTCCTTAATGTTGTTGCTTTACACCTTGCTATGTTGATAATGTTGTCCCTGAGCATGAAGTTATTAGAAATTCGGCCTGTATGTCGATGCATGAGTTGGACCAAATACGACCGTTCAATTTTTATAGAACTTATCACTAAAATATTACTAAAAAGAATAAAATTAAAAGAAATAAAAAAGACGTTAATGAGATGAGAAATGAAAATTATTCGTTTTATACAAGATTTATAAATAAATAATTATCTGATAATGAACAAAGAATTTTTTTTTCTACTAAACACGGTGTATTAAACTTATAATTCATTGATCTAATTTTGTAGCCACGTGGTCCGATGTTATTAACGGAGAATGGTGTAGAAGGATGACATTAAGAAATAATTTAGTATAGGGATGACAATGGAAATAAACAAGAGTACGAGGACGAACCTCATGTAATATCCACCCCAGTTATTAGGAGTTGGTTACTCCATCTTCTCTTCCAACCCATAATCCCCTCATTAATCTCCTACAAAAGCTCTAACTTCCCACTTAATTCCCCACTTTTCTCTCTCTCTCTCTCTCTCACATAACATAATATTTAGCAAAGTCTTTTGTCTTTCAAGCTGTTAGTTTTTGTGTACTGTTAAGTGTTAGTTTGATAAGGTTTGTTAGTGAGTGACTTTAGGTCTCCTTGAATTCAAAAAAGACAGTATCTACAAGTATCTTAATCTCAGGTATCTTTCTCTTTCTTTATCTCTCAATGTCTTGTGGATTTCCTTAGTATATATCTTACATTTGTCTTTTTGTCTCATGCGTGATTGTATAATATTCTGTCTGGTCTGGTCTTTTTAAGTTGTCTTTTTAGCTTTTGTAGCTTCTTGCCTTAGTCTTCAGTTTCTGTTTTTCTGCTAAGCTCAAATGGGTTATGCTTCTTCAATCCATTTCTACTTGTCTTCCTTTCGAAAGGGTGGTTCGAACTCGAAATCTCGGAAGCGAAGGGGGGCATAGATGGGCTAGTTGAGCTATAGGTTCATTGGATTGGCCTGTTTGTCTTCCTTTAACTCAAGAATTTGTTGAGTTACTGTTTTATTGCTTAAATAACTAGCAGCTATTAACTTAGTAATTAGTACTAATTGCTGAAGTTAATGACAACTAGGGCATATAATGATGGCCATAATTCAGGGAAGTAACTGCTCTTTTCTGGCTTTTGTAAGCTAATAATTAGTGTAGGCTTTCTGTTCAGCTTATGATTTTCCAAATTCTGATGGAAGTTTCTGATCTTTTTTTCTTTTCTAGATTCTATCTTCCATGGCTCTCAGCTTTTGCTCAAACTTGGGTGCGTCGCTTCAGCATCACAACCTTCCAGAGCTAACCAGTACCTATCCAGAAGGCAACATGGAGATAGGAAATCATGAGTTCTTCGATTTCGACGACAACCTGATGCTTTCGGATGCTTTCATCAACCCTTTTTTTGAGGTTGAGGATCAGCTATTTTACTCAGAAAGCTACACCAATCTCCTCCCATACTTTTCTTCTCCTTCAGATAACATAATCTCCCTCGCCCCCGAAATCTTTCCGGTCGTAGATTCCGAGTACTCCTACCACTACCCGAAACGCCAAAAAACCTACACAGATGATTTCAACTCAAATTTTGCACCAAATTTCTTTGAAGGTTATGCTCCAAATCCCAATCCAGGACTCCCAGAATTCTTTCCAGAAATCCCAGCCCCAGCCCCAGAGCCTCAGTTTCAGGTTCCAACAACCTTCAATGTTGGGAGGACTGAGAATGCGATGATTTCGAAGAAACCAAGTACCGGAGTGAGCTTGTCTGCTCAGAGCCTCGCTGCGCGCGAGAGGAGAAGGAAGATTACTGAGAAGACACAGGAGCTTTCGAAGCTGATTCCTGGTGGACATAAGATGAACACTGCAGAAATGTTCCAATCTGCTTCCAAATATGTCAAGTTCTTGCAGGCTCAAATTGGGATTCTTGAACTCATGGGGTCAACTCAGGTAGATTTTCATTTTCTCTACAAAACTTCTTGGTACCTAAAATGTTCTGTAATTTTATAACAAAATGAATTTACAGGAAAACGAAGATGCAATGCATACTCAGGAACTTCAAACTCTCCTCGTAACATCTCCAACAATTCAAGAGAAGTTGTACTCAGAGGAAAAATGCTTGGTTCCAAGAGATTTTGTTCAGACCATTGCCAATGATTTCGAAATCCAAGCAAAACCTTTGATCATTGAAGAGATTGATCGGTTGCTGGTTTCTAAGTAGAATCTGTTGTTTTTTTTTTAATTTTAGGCCTAATTATGCTCAGTTTAGTTGCTAATTGTTAACTTCCCTTGTTGTAATGTTAGCAATAGGTGCTGACTGTCAATCTTCCTTCTAGTTTTAGGTCCTAATTTCATCAATTTCTTGTAAATTTTCTTGTTTTCAAGAAATAGATTTTATTTAATTTTTCCTTCTTTTAATTTAAGAGTTCCCTTCGATTGTAAGATGTTGATAATATTGTTATTGAAGATTGAACACGATTATAAATAAATAAATTGTGTATGCGACGATTTTTTTTTTAAAGCAAAAAAAGGATGAAAATGAAATATATATATATATATATATATATGCTAAATAGATTAATTATGGCAATAAACTTAATACCATCATTGTTAATTTACTCCATTGATATAATGGTTAAGAAGATTTGTTTAGCAACTTCGAAATCGATAAACTCAAAATTCAGTTTAATATATATATATATACAAAGCACGTTACTTCCATGGTTTTTATAAAATTATAAGAATTTTTTTAATTTTGATTTTTATATTTATAAGCAGCAATATATATTTTTGGATTAACCTTCACATTAACCAAAATTAAGTTCATCATGTTTTAAATTAAGTTAATAATAAATAACGTTTAACATTTAATCGAATTTAAAGTTTAAAATTTTTGAACCTATCGCAGTTCATATTCAATGTCATAAAAAAAGATTATAGAATTATATATCAAAAATTAAATTGATTTTTTTAATTTTACTACTTTACTGCACCTAGACTCATTTAAGGTTTAAATTTTTGTTTAAATTGATCAAAAAAAAAAAAAAAAAGAAGAAGAAGAAGAAAAACATTCTTATAGTCACAATTCATCCTTAATTTGATGAGACACATTTGCCTCTCCCTTGGCATGGTAACCACACAATTTGCCACTAAACGTACACATACAAACATATCTAACTCTCAAATGCCAACCGCTTGAAATCTCAAATCTCACTTGTATTCTATCAACTTCTTCCATGGCTTTTCCATGTTTTCTACTTCTTTTCATAACATTTTCACTCACTGTTTCTTCAACAATGGCAGGATCAGTGGTAGAGGACCTTGCAAGCTTGCAAACCCCATCAGATTTCAACACCACAATCATGAAAAACTGTCAAAAAAACCCTTCTCTTAGATACTGTAACTCCTCATCTATAGACCTTAAAGAAATCTTCAAGTTTACCATTGTTGCAAGCCATCTTTGTAATGAATCAAAGAACCTGAATTGTGTCCATTCTTTCGATAAGATAGACCTTCGAAACCGGCCGAGCATTGCACCACTTTACTTGTCGTACAATTTCTTCTGGAAATACTGCCCTTTAACCATTCTGTCCATTGATTTGTCTAACATTTCTTTAAAGGGAAATTTTCCAACAGCCATTCTAAATTGTACTCAAACCCAGTCTCTTGATTTGAGCCTTAATGGCCTTACAGGCGAATTCCCAATCGAGAACTTTTCTCCTCTTACTAACCTTACATTTCTCAACCTGTCTTATAATTCTTTTTCGGAGAGTAAAATCTCAGATTCCCAGTTTTTCAAAAGGTTTAATGCTTCATGTTTTATTCATTCTGGCATCCTTCCGAGTCGCAGGAACTATACAATCAAGGCCATATTTCTACTAGTTGGATTCCCGATCTCTGTGATTCTAATGGTGGGTTGCTTTGGATGGCTGTGTTTTCAAAGGCCGGATTATCTACCAAGAATGCTTCAAAGAAAGCACAAGTTTACACCATCAATGCTAAGGGCAGCAACCGACAGGTTTTCGAGAAGAAATCTGATGGTGAAGAGTGAAGGAGTGGAGATTTATAAGGGCACTTTGCGAGACGATACTCGAGTCAGGATTGAGATTTACAGGGATAGTATTTCAAGGGAGAAACGCAAGGAATTTGTCGAGGAATGCATGATTCTTGTTGAACTATGCCACAAGAACATAGTTCAAGTACTAGGTTGGTGTAGTAACAGAAGACAAAGGGCCATTGTTACAGAATGGACAGATGGAGAGACTGTTGAGATGTGGCTATCAGGTTCAGGTCCTCCATGGAAGCAAAGGTTGAAAATACTAATTGGAGTAGTGGAAGGCATGCGTTATATGCAGGAACAATGGCCTGAAGTGGGGTATGATCTAAGGACGAACAGTGTGTTGCTCTCTGACAATCATGAGCCACTCCTTTCAAGGTTTCAGGTCGGAGATCGAAACAGCAACAACAAAAGTATGTGTACTTCTATAAGCTATCCGCTATTTCAATTCATTTTCTATGGTTTGCATAATTGATGTCTAATTTTCTCAGAGATTCACGAGTTTGGAGTATTTCTGCTAGAGATCATAACAAACAGGAGGTCACAGGAATTCGACAACGGTGAGGCTGAATTCGTCGAGCACATCAGAACGAATTATCCTGAGAACTTGCACAATGTGATCGATGCAAGAATGAAATTGCCAGAAAATATGTTTGATCAAGCTAAACATGGAATAGAACTGGGATTGGTGTGCACTGACCAATCCATCAGCAAATATCCAAGCCTGAATCAGATATCGCATATGATAAATAGAGTCTACGAGTCTTGCCTGGAATTAGCACCCCAGAACCATAAAAGATCTCATGGAGACGGAGGTAAAGGGCACAAACATGTCCAATTAAGATGAGCTGAGAATCCTTGGCTCTTACTAACTTCAGTTATGCAACAGAACTTGCAAGTGACTAATTGTTAGAACTTTGCAGTGACATATTTTCTTTGCAAGCAGATGCATATGCTACGTTATTTGAATGCTTTATATTGCAATAGAACATGGAAGATGCTACCTCAGGTTTCGAACCCTTATGAGATTAGGCATCTTTTCTTTTTGTACGATGAACATTTTCCCCCAGAAAAAACAAGATGATCCAAATAAGCAGCAGAAGCACCAGAAAACCAGACCTAAACTGGTGATATAACATTATATTTAGCAATCAATGGATCAAGCATGCCTAGCCTTTGTTCGACCACTAAGTTGTCTTTTAAGCCAAACCAGTCCAAGACTGGTTCTATTAAGGGATAATTATGGCTAACTATCTATGGATAATAAGAATTAAATCTTAATCTTGGCCAAACCAAAACAACTTTTTTACCGTTAGACCAAATCCGTTAATCGTAAGTCATGAAGATGTTACCAATAGGTTAAATGACACTAAATCACTATGAATTTTCAGTCAAATTGAGATAGGTTCCTAACCTTTAAAAATCTCAATTTGACTAATGCATACTATTTTTGGGTAAATAATAGTTTCTTTCAACCAGTTTTTCAACATTGACCACACATGAAAATCATGTGATAATTTAAAAAAAATAATACATGTTCTGCTAATCTAAATTTAAAACGTAACACGTTTATGAGAATGTCAGTTACATAATGCTTATGGTTTTACTGGCCTGCTTTGGAATGTCAGTTGTTAAAGCATGCATCTTCATAGCAAGCTGGAGATCAAAACAGTAACAACAAAAGCAAGAACGTTTATGAACTAAGATTGTTGTGCACCGACCAAGCAATCCGTAAACATCCAAGCACGGACTAAACATTCCATGTGATAAACGGAGTCTACGAATCATTTATGAACTTGGCATCCCAAATCCAGAACCATAGTTTCAACTAATGACCATTATAATCGTTATTATCAAGATTGAGCATTGGGCGTTACAGTTATTCATTATTATGAAAAACATAATAGTATCTCACACAAATAACAACATTATATGTTTTTATCATTATCTAATATTGTTATTAAAAAATATTGACTATTTGTATCTTATTATTATTTATATGATATTAAACTAGTAAAAGTTTTATTATTTTATAATATTAAATTATTAAAGATGAAATTATTATGCTTAATTAATAAAACTGTTAAAAACATATTAAGTAAATAATTTATTAATCCATTCACAACATCGATTGTCACAGTTATTATTTTACTACTACAATAAGTCACAAGCCGCAATCAAAATCGCAATTGTTTTTATAACTACATCAACAATTTAAAACAATAGTAAGAACCACAATAAAATCTCATGGAGATGGTGGCAAAGACAAAAGCGTAGTATCAAGATGAGCTGATAATGCATTGGCTCCAGATTTCCTATAAACAGCAATGATAATAACATGTATACTCTGCAACTTGTAAGCATATCCATATGCTATGCTGTTTTAAGGCATTATTTTGGGATAGAACATGGAAGCTACTAACGCTTCAGCTTCCTAATCCTTTTCTAATTTTTTTTTTCTTTTTAATTCATCAGTGATTTTCATCCACCAAAGCCAATCCAATCATATATATATATATATATATATATATATTTGCCTGCATACACCAAAGATATAATCATAACCATACCCAAAAAAGCTAAACTGGTGAGACAACATTACATCTAGCAGTCAAAAGAACACAAAATTCTTGAAATATCCGGCGTTCTGTATTACAAACATCAGATACAAATTTAACCAGCCTGTCTCAGATCAGCCATTATACTCTTAAAGGTGACTTCCTCACTCAACAATGGCCGGAGCAAGCTCTAGCATTGGTCAGTTCACCAAGCCAGAAACACATACAAGTATCAAAACTCCTGTCTCCAGCTTGTCAATTCACCAAGCCAGATTAGAATCCAAAATTACAGGCTTTCATCCCGCAGAACCCTTTCTTAGCACCCCTAGACAAATTGAGAAACAAGCAGTGGATAAATGGTTGTCAATTTCTTTCATGGAGGTCACAATATACAAAATTGATTTTGCCAAATGAAAATAATGCATAACGTCTTTGATATTGTAAATGATTGTGATTAAACAGATGAAAAGCAATTCCAGACATCATTTTAAACAGACTTAAAACTCAATAAAAATATAGAAAAGTGCATTCACTGTCTAATCTCACCTTTTGCAGTAATTTAAAGCTCAATAAAAAATTTTCATTTGATTATGCCAGGCCTGTTGGCTTGAACTTTGGATCTGGTTTTAACGACTCTCTTTGGAATATCAGTTGTTAAGGCATACATCTTCACAGCAAATAGCTCCTTGGGAAGTCCCTTCTGTTCCTGATTTAGCCAGTGAAAGTAAGCAAATGAAATGAGTGAATACAACAGCAATGCAGAGTCTCTTTGGTGTGCAGTGCAGGCAGCAATTCACTCTTGACATTTCTGTTTGACCATCTTGATTTTTTAGATTACTAACTGGAGGCAAATTTTGCTAGTCAGGTTTACATGGCTTCCGGGGGGGGGGGGGGTTTGTTTCGAATAAGAAGAAATCTCGAGATTTAGTGAATACAAGTACAGCAATAAAGTGCTGTATTATGCATAGAACATAGAAAATGGGTTAGAAAGATGATTGATGCCAATACGGTTTCAATCAAGATGGCTGGTACAGGACAGTTAACTAGAAACATGTGCTGCACCATAGTGCCAGGCCCATAAATGGGCTGCCAAATTACATGTCTGGATTGGCATTTCTAGTGTGATTCCTGATTATTAATCCACCAATATCTGTTCGAGTGCAACAAGTATTGCATCATTACTGGCTTCTGCCTCAATTTAAAGCTCATAAGTTATTTTCCGCCCTAAACTAACAATAAGAAACTTCATTTTAGTACTGGGATGCAAATAGACTGCTTTATCACACTGACTGTAATGCAAATACAGCTCTAAGAGTCAATTGGGAACACATTCTCACATTGCCACATTTTATTGTCCTTTGATTAGATCTATAAAGAACACCCTAACTGTTTGCAATGAAGCTAAATTGAGTAGAAGAACAGAAAAATATTGATAGAAAGCTATATAAGGTCAACTAGTAAGAACCCCTTGAGTGATCTATTTTAAGTTAAAATGCATTGAAGCTAACCCTTGATTTGTATATATGCAATCCACACCGACTAAAGAGCTCCTTGAAGTATGTATCAGACCTAGTGATGCTTCGATCTTCTTTGTCCAACACAAATCCTACAAACATGCAGTTTGAGTTCAGAAGTATTAGATCCTTGCAAAGTTGCAATGACTACAACTAGACTTTTCCATACGGACATCAAGTTCTCTATAGGTGATTTCAAAATCATCTAAATGGAAAATGGACCAATACATTTTGCACTACGAGATGGAAGGAAGCAAAGTACCACTTCTTGCAAGATTCTCCTTCAGGACAAAAAATCCACCAGGTTTCAGGCCAATCTGCAATCAGCATGAAAATTATAAAAAAAAAAAAAGGATAGTACATGCAATGGAAATGTTGACTTTCACCCCCAAATGCAACCCCAGCCCCACTAGATAGTGGAAGTCAAGAACATCAGTTATAAGCAATTAGACATTTAACTTGAATAGTTCTTTCTAATTAACGATGGATTAAAATCTTACTAGTTTTTTCTTTTTAGTGTATGCTATAATTTTCTTATAAAAATTTCATCTACAGACTGCAATTTCATAATAGATAAATGAAACCCTTGAAATGAAGAGAAATCTAGTCGCACAACAAACACTCATGTACATATCAAATTATTTCAACAAAACAACCTAAAATACAAGAAAATATCATAATCATTCCTTGTGGCTGAATGAATGTACAATATAACTGTTTTGGTATTTAAAATATTAAACTCAAGGGAAATGTTGATTTACCTTAGCCCTCTTGAAAAATGACACAAAGTCATTATCTGTGAGATGCCCAATACACCATTGAACCCAGATAACATCATATCTTCCTACATCTGGTGTAAATTCCTAAAGGCAAAAGCAAGAAACTTCATTTAGCAAAGGAAAAAGTAAAAGCAAAGGGGAACAAAAAAGTAAAAGGTAAGCTGGGCTATAAATATAAATTAATAAATGAATAGGTAAAGTCACATTATATTCCAACCTTTTAAATATCCTTTTGAAATATAGGATGCCTAGAAAAACCCATTCAATGAATAATATAGCATAGGATAGAAACAAATTTGGAAAAATTATATATTGAAAAGCAAATAATTGATTCAATGTGAATCTAAAAACTAAATCCTATTGATTCTAATTTCATCCTCGAGCGATCAGATTTCAGATCAATCAAAAAGTACATTACCTGAAGTGGGACACAATAAAAATTAGTGGCCTTATGCTTGTCCGATGCCATATGATTTTCCTGGACCAAGCTTTCACGGGCAGCATCAAGGAAATGTGAAACGGGTTCAAGAAGATCGACCTGGAAAGAGAATGCAAAGATTAATGAGCTGCATCAGAAGTTTATAGTTGTAGAACACATAAACAGCAATTAGTTCATACATGTAGGAGTAGACAAGGACTTAAGGATAAATGGCCTTACCTCATTGAAATACCTTATAAGGAGGTTCTTGGTGATTCTCCCAATACCAGAACCACAATCTGAAAAGTTTCAACTTCAGATTACTGACAAAAAATGTGCATTGCCAATAATTAATCTGATAGAGATTCACTATCTTCAAATAGTAGTTAAAACTTTTAAGCATTGAACGATATCCGGCACAATAGAATCCTAACACCAAGCTGCAGCTTCAAGATGTGTTCTATGGGCACTACATCAACTACAAAGACTCAAAAGCATTTTAGTATCATCAATATTCAGTGACAATTGAAATCATAATGATACCAGTACACAAGTGGTACATGAGTTTCATTAGAATCTAGAAACAATTCTTACTCAAGAACTAGTCATAATTTTGAAGCACACCAACTAATCTAAAACCCTTTATACACTTCCTTCATATAAACTTTCCCAAATCCTAAATTTAAATTGAAAGACTTTTAAACAGAAGCAAAAGAAAGCTTCACCCACTTAAATAAATCATAGAATCATGAAAAATACATCTATTCAACATGTACAGCATGTCCCCAACATCAAAAAACAGTGAAAAAAAACTCAAAAGTTTGCTACTTTAAATTCAATACTCAATAATACAGTGAAAAAGAATACCAAGAGCAACAAGATGCCTGCCAATTCCACCATCAACAAACAGTTCAGCTAAAAGGGTCTGTAAAAACCCTTCACTTCCCTTCACATCAGCATCATTCACATGCCCATACCCACCTAACACTCCATCTACTGAAGCCTCCACACCCTTCAAAGGAAAACACAAAAAGACCAAAACTTCATCATATGCTCATACCCTTTCAAAACAGAAAAACAAAACGTTAACAGGAAACAACAAAAAAGCCATTATCTTACTTTCATTTTTTCTCAATTGGATACTAAAAAAAAAGGACTTACTTCCCAATATGAAACACCATCACGGTACCATTGAGTCTTCTTGTTATTGTCTCCAGCGTGTTCTATCCACATCTCATCTGGGTTCTTGAATTCATGGCCATCAGAATCTATGCCAGCAGCTTCCATTGAAAACTGTATGGCTGCTGCTGTGCGGTGCCTGTGGACTCTAGTGGGATTGTAAAGAATTGGTATTTGGAGGGAAAGAGGGGACTTTTTGTAGGGTTTTTGGGTACATAAAGGTGGGTTATTGGGAATTAAGTCCATAATTCAGTTCATGACTCATGACTTTAGAATAATGGAGTCATGAACAATAGTAGCAGTACCATTCTTTTGGGTATGCTGATTTTTAGTCCTTGTATTATGAAAACTTCGAGGATAAAAGAAAAACTTATAAATAAAGGACTAAATTGTAAAAGATTATTTTAAAGACCAAAATAACTTCTTCTTCTTCCTTGTTTTTTGAAAAATATGAAGACTAAAATAAAACATTTCAACAAATTATTTGTAATTTGTATTAAATGTGTGAATTAACCATATATGAATTTAAAAATTAATTTCTTAATAAAAATAAACATATTTTTTAAATAAATAAAATAAGAGAATTCTATCACTACAGAATATGCTCACTGCTGCTCAGAATTTCTTCTTCTCTTTTAAGGGAGATGTGCTTGATTGCTTGAAGCCATTCAAGATGGATGATTATCAAACTTCGGTTTAAGGTTTTTTTTTTTTTTTTTTTTTTTTTTTTTGCAATAGTCCTTTTTTTTATACTCTCAAGGTATCTCATATACGAAAACTTAGATTAATCTCTTTTTGTTCGATCGAATGTGCAAGACGAGTGTAGCTATGCAAGAAATTTTGTACATACATAATGATTTTAATTTGAGATCATTTACTTAAACGACTAAAGCTCTTTCCACTCAAATCAACTTTCTTGGATGAATTGTAATATTTTTTTAATATAATATTATAATCTTATTAACCTAACAAGATTACTAATCTTATCATTACTATTTTCTTTTTTTATTATCTTGAAGTCTGAGGTAACAATTTAAACTTTTGAACTGAAATAGTTTTTGACAGATGCAACAAGTCCATGGAGCAACCTGATGGTGCAACCTTCGTCGCTGTTTCCACTGCTTGTAGCCCTTCAGGATTGATTGATCCAGCGCTCGAAATATTTGACTCAATCCAATAAGTCCATGGGGTAGAGCCAGTTTTAGATCATTTTGTACCCTTCACATTTGATGCTTAGCGTCGAGCTGGTTGATTTCATGAAGAAGAAGTTCTAGTAGATAAGATTCCCTACAAAGATGATCCAAGGCAGGTTCTTCTTTGTTTCTGTAGAGTTCATGCTGATAAGAACTTGGCAAAAAGAGCAGCAGAGGAGCTCTTTTGCCTGGACCCTCAGAACTTCTGCCTCTTACTCACTTTCAGCTAAAATCTATACTTCTTTAGGTAGATGAGATTATGAATCTGCCAACAAACGGAACAAAACATCTTGCTTCAGCAGAGAGCAGAAAATCAAAATACAATGACCTTGGTGTTGCCCCAAGAAAAAAAATTTGTTAATGGCTCCAATTCGAAAGGCCTATTAGGGCTACAAGTATCTTCCTCGAGTTTCTTGAATGAGGACTGTGTCTTTTGGAATCCTGGTTTTCATGATAGAAGAGGGGAAACAGGTTCAGGTCTTCAGGATTCAACAGGTTCTGAGGAATTTCAAAAGTTGCTACATCAAACTTCCAACAGGAATAGCTTGCTGATATGGCCATAGGGACAATTCTAGGTGGATGCATGGAAATATGGAAATCCAGTAACTTGAAGAGTTTTACGGGTTCCTTCCACCTCCAAGTACAAAGCACGGTCAGACACTCTTATTGCTTCCATGACACCTAAATCGCAGACTTGGTTGTAAAAAGGGTGGTGAACTTGATCACGGATCAATGCTTATTGTGGTAGTAAATTACCATTACCAATATCGTAAATGCATTAAGAACTATCAATAAATTTATTTTAAAACAAAAAATCAAAAATCTTTTTTTTGAATAATAATATAACGGGTTTTTTATTCACCATATAATGGCCATTATCATTATATAATGTCATTATTGTCATTATTTGGATGAAACATTTTTGGACTTTCTATAACATTTTAGAATGAAAACTAGCATCTCTAAATCCATTAAATAACAACCGTTATGTAATCTGCAACTATGCTCTCCATTGATTTCTACATGCCAAAACCTCATCTCAGCTGAATTCTCTTGGTTTGGAACATGAGACCCCAATTTGGAGGGTGTTTTGCTCTGTATGTAACTTTTGCATTTTTTTTTTAATTTATATAAATTCTGCTTGCATGTACTATAATAACCCTTGCAATAAAATATGAAGAAGAAAACCCTAAATGGTCTATAAAAGAAATTTACATTTGTTCACAAGTTTTTGTACACATATCATCAATGTATCCAACTGAAAATTTAAATAGCCCTGCCCAGGAAACAGAGAAAACGATGGGAAGAAAAAACAAGACAGAAGAGGGATAGCCATTTCCGAAACCCAAGAAGATGCTAAAATTACAGTTTCCTAGACAGCAGGACCATCCTGATCCTATGATGCTGGCTCAAATTTTTTGATGTTGTCTGATTTCTTTCTTGGGAACCCAAATATGAATTGAAGACAAAAGTCCAAAAGGCCTCAATCCTTCTCTATATAAGCCTATCGCCATTCCAGCCACTCTTCACCAACCTACATTGCCTCACATAACCAAGTTCGACACTAGTCAAAAGACATAACCATGAAGAACATCTTCTTCTCCATGCTGTTCCTTCTCTCCTTCCTCTTCTGCCTCGCCAACGTTAACGAGGCGGCTGTTCCATGCCCCACTGTTGATGCGAAAGCAGCTGCCTGTTTGGGGTTTGCCACTGGCAAAGCTAATAAGCCAACTCCTGCTTGCTGCACTGGGCTGCAAGAACTTGCCAGAACTGTTAAAACAGTTGATGATAAGAAGGCTATTTGCAAGTGCTTGAAGGCTGCGGGAGGTTCTTTGGGTATAAAAGACCAGTACTTGAGCAAGATTCCTGGAGCTTGCAACATCAAAGTTGGATTCCCTGTCTCTACCAGCGTCAACTGTGATGCGTGAGTATATTGTTGTTACATTACAAGGTCCTGTTGTTGTCCATTGATCATGCCTCAAAGCTTGAAGAAAATGAGGTTAATTTGGATTTTCTTTCCTTGTGTTTTGCAGGATCCACTAAATGACAATGAAGCTGAGGCTGTGATTGGAGTCTGGAGGAGGAATTATCTTCCATTAGATTATACTAAATAAGACAGTTTAGGCAATGTCGCATGAGGTCTTTGTCAGACACTTCTTGGCCTAAAAATCATGTAATTTGGAGTTGGTTTTAATATATAAAGTTCAGTATTTCAGCACTTCTCTGCAGCTTCAATCTCTTATATTTCTGAAACATCAAGTTGTGGATGAACTTTTAACCAGAAAATGTCACCAAAAGGCCAAATCAACCATCCTAACTTGGCCAGGGTAGTAGCAGAAGCAAACCCTGATACAAAAATGTCTCAAACTGTGAATCAATTTGAAACTAAAAGAAGTGGTCCATAATCAATTAATAAAACCTTCTCATGCTTGCTGCACTTGGCTGCAACAGCTTGCTCAAACTGTGAAAATTGTTGATGATAGGAAGCCTATTTGCAAGTACTTAACTTGAAGGCTGCTGGAGGCTCTTGTGGCGTGAAAGATGATGAAAGACCAGTTCTTGAGCCAGTAGCCCAAGATCCTTTCTGGCTTATATAAATCATAATAATAATAATAATAACCATTAGCCTTATCTAGTGGTTCCTTTCCTAGAATAGATTTGTGAGAAAAATCTATAAAATCGGAAGTTTTGATCATTATAAGGAGTACTAAAATAAAAAGAAGCCCTAATATACCTAGTCTGCCTCCCTTATCCCCGAGTATAGAGGAGTTGTGTCCAAGTTCCAGGTTTTTGAAACCTTCTTCAGACAACAGGATCAGCAATTATTCGGACCTCATGCTTTGATTTGCTTATGATTCGATTTTGGTCTTGCAGGATTCACTAGATTTCTTGTAGTGGAACTGAGCAGTGTATTAGAGAGAATAGAAATTCACTTTACTACTAGTTGAATAGAACTGTTAAATGCAATGCATGCAATACTCTTCATGTGTTTTCAGTCTGTTGAATTCCATGTGTGAGTGAAGAATTTCACATCAGTTAGGAATAAAAAGTTCGAGGTGTTTATATATAAGAAGAACCTATGACCCATTAGTCTTAAGTTTATGGATTAAGATAGTGTCCATCCTCGAGCGTAAGCCCTCACACGTGAAGAGCTAAGCTCCGAACTCTGAATATCGCACTTCGATTGTTAAATATGAAAGGGAAGATTTGTTGAGTTCTACATGCGAGTAGAGAATCCCACATCGGTTAGTAATAAGAAGTTTATGTCTAATGTGGATTCATGACCTATTAGTCTAGGGTTTTAGATTAAAGTGATCTCCCCAATAGAGTCATTCTAAATTCCTACTGGCATTGTTTATAACAATAACTCTAGGTTACCCTTAAGAGGGCATCAACGATCACCAAGAAACCCTAGCGTGAGAAAACAAGTTCTAAACTTCTAAACAGTACTTCAATCTTGCTGCTTGGTGTAGCATGTTTTTTTTTTTTTTTTTTTTTTTTGCTCACACACCCAAGGCTCCTAGCGGAATCATTCTATTAGAATTTGAATCCGTGATTTCTTGTTACAAGAGACCATTACCACTCGGACTCGGACTACAAGCTTTTTGGTGTAGCTTTTTTTTTTTTTTACTCACACACCCAAGGCTCCTAACCGAATTAGTCTATTAGGATTTGAACCTATGATTTCTTTTTCAAGAGACCACTACCACTACGCTAAAAGCTCTTTGTAGACCATTATCACTGAACTACAAGCTCTTTGTTGCAAGAACCCCTAGCGTGAGAAAACAAGTTCTAAACTTCTAATCGGTGCTTCAATCTTGCTGCTTGGTGTAGCATGTTTTTTTTTTTTTTTAACTCATACACCCAAGGCTTCTAATTAAATGAGTCCGTTAGGATTTGAATCCGTGATTTCTTATTATAAGAGACCACTACTATTGGACTATAAACTCTTTGGAGTAGTATGTTGTTCTCCAAGGCAAAGAACTTGTCGCTATCTCTGCTCTTTCCATTATTAATGATTCTTAAGAGCTTCTGCGCTTATTTATTACTGGCCTTTGTTTTTCTTATTACACAGAACAAAGTGCAAAATCAGAACAGGCTCGATACTAAGGTAATATCTTCTACTTCAAGAATTACTGTCTAACAAGGGAAACTGCAAAGAAAACACAGAAACGGTAACATTCTTAAGAGTCAGCAAGTGAAAAATTGAGGACGCATTCGCCAATGCTTCTTACAACCTGGAAGAGTAAAAGGGCATCATTTCTAGGTGTTGGCAGTGAAAAATTTAGGATTTTTTGTTTTTACTATACTTCCTCTGTCTTCTTTAGGACTGTGGTCCTGACTATGCTAAGCAAGCATCAAAAGTGATGCTTTAGCAGATAAAGTTTTAGGGATAATTTACAATTGGAGAGTTTGTGATAAACATTTTGGGATTTAGATTACACAAGTGGCTAACCTAGTCTAGAACATATACTTGTCTGTTTCGATGAAAAATATGTGAACTATGACTATTAATGTGCATGGATTTGTGAATTCGATATGAAGATACACAGCTCTGCAATGAAAGTCCTGCCAGGTTCATCAATCCCAATGAATTTTAACCTGCAACATGATCAGAACTCATTGGAAAGCTCAAACTTGGCAAAATTCCTGTTCCCAAAGACTCACCTTTCCCTATAAATACTCATCATCCAAGCAAACAATCTCCATCAACCAACAGAACTAGCTGCATTTGCAACGTCCATACAAGAGTTTTCTGAGAGTTAGTTAACTTGAACATACCAGAAAACCATGAAGAACAATGTCTTTTCTGTGATCTTCCTCCTCTCCTTCCTCTTCTGCCTTGCATTCAACATAAACGAGGCAGCTGTTCCATGCGCCACGGTTGATGCAAAGGCAGCTGCCTGTTTGGGGTTTGCCACTGGCAAAGCCAATACGCCAACTCCTGCTTGCTGCGCTGGGCTGCAAGAACTTGCCAGAACTGTTAAAACAGTTGATGATAAGAAGGCTATTTGCAAGTGCTTGAAGGCTGCGGGAGGCTCTTTGGGTATAAAAGACCAGTACTTGAGCAGGATTCCTGGAGCTTGCAACATCAAAGTTGGATTCCCTGTCTCTACCAGCGTCAACTGTGATGCGTAAGTATAATCTGATTACATTATAGGTTCCATTGATCATTTCTCCCCGCAGCTTAGGCACTAGAAACTGGAGCACCTAGTGATTTGCTTATGCTTTGAATTTGATTTTGCAGGATTCACTAGATTTCTTACAAAGGAGTTGAGCAGTGGTTGAGGAGTTACTAAGAGATGACAGAAATTTACTACTAGTTGTTGAATAAAACATTTGAAGGCAGTGTATGTGGTCTTTGGCCAGACCCTACTTTGTACCTTAATAATCATGTGATTCGATACTATATCAAGTTGGCTTTTTAGATCCAGTTTTCATCTTTTCGATTTCTTCTTCTTCCTCTTATTGTGTTGTCATGTGTTGAGCTTCAAATTTTGACATATTGCAAGGCATGCATTGCATTGTTATAGACACTCATAACAAAAAGGAGATTTATGCAAAAGGCCCTCATGGAAGCATCAAATAATCACCAAGAAATGCTGGCATGTGTACTCCTGCCAACAATTTGATAGCTTTGAAACTAAGTATAATACTTGGAACATTAGCATTTCATGACCGAAAAATTAAGTTGCAAATAAGAAACCAAGGAAATTATTCTTAGATTCTACCTTACTCCTAGGGGTAGCATATTGTTCCCAATGAGGATTTACATACTTTGCATCAGGGAGAACAAAAAAGGGAAGAAAAAACACCAACAGGATCACTAAAATGAGCTCGTCGTATACGAGTTGTGTGGTAACAGAAACAATGACTTCAATGCACTATAATAACCAATTACCAAGGGATTTCCTGGCCATCCCAGGCAAAAAACTTGCCATTATCATCCCTCTTTGCATTATTAATGATTCCTAAGAGCTTCTGCACTGAAAACTCTTTGGTGAAAAGCTTGTCTTTGGGAACATTTCTCTGAAATGGCTTAGAGAGGTCTGTGTCCACCGTGCCTGGGTGCAAAAGGATGCATATTATTGGATCCTTCTTTCGTGCTAACTCCACCGATACAGTTTTTGTCACTGCTACCATCAGCTGACAGTAGAATTAGCAAGGGAGAATCCAAATAACAAGGGCTTTAAGAGGTATCATTTTATTACGGGATGAAACAATAACAAAAGCTAACAGAGACTAATTACCACGCAATACGGACTTATGCATATTTCCACACCAAAATACCAAGTTTCCACACCCTAGTCATATTCATTCTCTTCATGTCTATTTGCATATTTTGAAGGACTAACTATCAAAGTTGGTCTAAGGCATGAATTGTTGAGTTAGCTAGAAGATCAGAAATTTGAAATATATTAGTCAAAGGAAAGTGTACTGATCATATATATATATATATATATATATATATATAGCTTTTTAAGGTGGAAAATGTTTACTTGACGGAGGCGGGTGGGCAAGATGGAGGAGGCAAAATCCAGCAAGGTTTCACAATATTTGAAAGAAGTGTATAAAAATCATGAAGCAGATGACATCCAGCAACGTTTCACAAAAGTAAGTGTCATGCAGGGAATCTTTTACAATCTTTTTCAAAGACCACAGAAATTTGCTTCCCAGAGCAATTATTTCTTCACGAATATTTCCTGCCTCGAAAAGACTTGGGCAGAAAACTTCTGGACATGCATTTGTTTCAGGACACTAAGCATGTCCTTTGCATAGGCAATCTGTAGCCTGTGCACTGGATGATGCAAATAAGGAAAAATGGCATACCCCACATGCATGAGTAGTCACATTTTAGGCAATGGTACCCATGACAGATTCCTTGCCAAGTTGCACTCAAAAGAGTGTTGAAAGTTGACATATAGAATATTCCTTGCCAAGGTGAAAATAAACATAAGCCAACATAGATGCTCTTCACTAAAGTGATCATGGTTCATCTTGTCATATCAACAACAGTACTAGAAAATTAAACAGTTAGGAGCTCAAGCCAAGTTATCACTTCCACATAATATATGCTCAGGATCTGAAAAGACCAACCACTCAGTAACGTAACATTTCATTGCTTGTGGAAATGGTCAACAAAAAGTTAAATTTAATGAAATTGAAACCATAAATCAAGAAAATCATGTCAAAGAAACTTTGGGGAAGAAATCATACGCTGGTTTAAAGCAGACTTTGAAGATCGATATGAATGCCAACCACCTAGGTGATTATCTCCAATTGAGCCAACCCTGGCACTTAAGTTGGCCACCACTGCAACATCCCTTTCAGTTCCAAAGCCTCCTCCAGCCTTCAGAAGAGGCCACATGTGCTGCAAATGGCAACAAAACAACAATATTAAGCTATGTTGGGAATCATTACCTCCTAGAAGAAACAAAAGGGGCAATAAAAAATCCCCTAGTGCAACAACTTTATCTTTGCCTGGTAATACTAATACTACATTTGAGGATATCTCTTAAGGGACACTGTTAAGGAGTTTCTGTGTCTGCAATAATTATAACTTCGATCCTAATAACAATTACTACTAGTTATAAACAGCATAAGAAAATCAGATGCTTGTAATATTTTTTTTCCTTCCCGTTTGTGCTGCAGCTTTCCATTTATCCATGGACCAATTTAAAATGAAGGCTTATTTTCTCTGATAAAAGAGAAGGTAAAAGGGATTCTTCCTTGCATTCTGCTTTATGCATTGACAGAAAAAACTATGAAAACATGACTATTTTGGTACTTCAAGACACTAGATATTTCAGCATTATAAATTGCTGATCTGAACCCAAAAACAGCCACACCGAAATGAATGCAGAACTAGGTTCTTCTGAGGACATTTCACACAATAGGAATCATATATAAGTCATTAACTAAAAACTGCCTTCCCGTACCTTGATAACTAGAATAGGACCCACAGCATTGACCTCATAAGCCAGCATTAAGGATGACCTCTCTACTTTGCTCAATGTTGTTTCTGCACTGGAAACAAGAAAAATCAATTATTTTGCTTGCCTGTGTACAGTGGCTAAAGAAGACTATCTTCCCCGTTTGCTACTAGCCTACTATATAATACATTGCTAATATGAAAGTCTACTGCTCAGCTTATATTCCTACCTGGTTGCAACACATTTGGAATTGAAAGGATTCCTGAGGCATTAATCAGAAGGTTCAGAGAGCCATACTTTTCTCTTATCGACTTTGCAGATGCCTGAAATATGAAATCATATCAGGTAGTTAGAAGAAACATAAAAATAAAAGTTGACCTTTCTGTCGGGAATGTTGGCTGTTGGCAGTTAATAAGAATACATGAATGTTAATACAGCAATTGTTGCTGTAAAAAAGCTAAAGGAAATTCTGTAAAATTTCTAATCTCACAAGAGACTTTCCAACCTGAAGTGTTTCCTAAGATTAAAAAAATGCCATGCTCCTGCTCTATTTGGCTATTAAGAAAGCTAAGAGCATTCCTAGGAATTTTAACAAGGCAGGAAGTGGAAAACTGAGAGAACTGAGCTCAAATGATGACTCAAAAGAGAAAGCAAAGGCAAACTTTTCTGTTAGTCTGAGCGAGGACAATAGATAGCAACCAAGAAACAAGCACAAACCTCTATAGTACTTTCAATGCTCAGGTCTAATGGCAAAATGTTGAGGCGCTCAGCAAACTTATTTTTCAAATCAACAAGTCCTGTTGCCCCATTAGGATTTCGGCAAGTAGCAACAACATGCCCTTTGTCATTCTTTTCCAGAAGTTGTTTAACCTGCATCAGGCAGTAAACAAGTCAACTTTTGCTCACAGAATAAACAGATCCCTCTCATCAATAAATTACAATCTAATAACAACATAAATTAATCCAACAAAAAAATAAGAGGTTTTCACCATTTATTGCCCCAAGCGTTAAGTAACTCAGCTGGCATCAAGAACAGTACTAAATCAACTCATTACAAAGTAACTTCTACCTTGGAAGATATATTCTTAAATGGAGTCTACAATTCATATCCAATGGGATTCCAACAAGCAATCAGGCATAACAACTGCACGATAAGCTAATCAGATTGTTCCTACGGGAATTTAAAAAACATGACACTAGGCACTAACTACAGATGAGAAAGCAGTGAAAACTGGCATAAAAAACGATTCTAAATGACTCCAAGTATGCATTAGTCCACAAAATTCATCTTTTGTAAACAATAACCAAAAAAAGGAAAACCCTTTCATTGATTAAGGAAATGATCCACCTTTTCAACGCCAAATGGAGAATAAGGAAAAAAAAACCAAACCAGCAGTTCTCTAGTAATTCGTCAAAGCTATGACAAAACAAGGGAAGAGAAACCCTAGCCACTAATGTGACAGGTCTCAATAATTATACTTAATTATACTAATCAAGAAATCTAAGTTCAATTATCAAGAACAAAATGCCAATCATCTAACTTACATATTCTTCTCCAAATCTTTATCTACAAAACAACACCAACCCATGTTTGGCAAATGCAAGAAACCGAAAGGACAAGAAACAATTCAAGCTACCAAAGACAATAACTTCGTGTAAAACAAAACAACTATACTAAAAACAAGAAAAGCTTACAAATTCAAGGCCAATTCCTCTTGAAGCTCCTTGAACCATTGATACCCCTCCTTCCCATTTGAGAGCAGAAGATGCAAAACAAGCCCTTCTTACTGATCTGAAAGCCAATGGTGTGGCCATGAATGCACGAGAGTTTAGAAGCCAAAACTTCATTATTTTCTGACCGGAGTTTTAGAACAGGAAACAGACATCAAAACACTTCATGTTAGATTAAGAAGAAACTTCAATTCAGTGACTATCTTATATCTATATTCTCAATTAAGTACAAAACAAAATATTTTGTCAATTGAGTCCAACATTGTCCTTCTATAGATGTTTGTAAAATATTTATCTGAATATTTTATACTATAAAAACACTCCATTTTGAAAAACTTTCGCTCAAAATTTTATTGGAAATTGATAAAAAGACCCAATTCAGAACCTTTTCAATTCAGAACCATTTGAAATGTTTAGGACTTACATAATCAAATATTTTGTTTTGAACTCAATCGAGAATTTGATAATTCATTAAGGACTAATTTAAATTTTTCCCTTGCATTAACTAGAAAAGAGAAACAGGTGGAGATAGGTGAATATTTATTGTTCGTTGGTTAGTAGTTGCCAATGTTTAGTTGGGGAAAATAAAGAGTGAATTATAAAGTAAGTACAAAGCTTCATTATTTTCTAACCAGAGTTTTAGAACTGGAAACAGACATCTAAACACTTCATGTTAGATTAAGAAGAAACTTCAATTCAGTGACTAACTTATATATCTATTCTCAATTAAGTACAAAACAAAATATTTTGTCAATTGAGCCCAATATCAATCCTTCTATAGATGTTTGTAAAATATTTATCTGAACATTTTATACAATAAAAACACTCCATTTTGAAAATATTTCGCTCAAAATTTTATTGGAAATTGATAAAAAAAGATCCAATTGAGAACCATTTGAAATGCTTTGGACTTACATGATCAAATGTTTTGTTTTGGAACTGAATTGAAATTTTATAATACATTAGGGACTAGTTTGAGGTTTTCCCATACATTATCTAGTAAAGAGAAAACAGGTGGGGATAGGTGGATATTTATTGTCATTTGGTTAGTAGTTGCCAATGTTTGGTTGGGTAAAATAAAGAGTAAATTATAAATTAGTCCTTTTACTTTTGGTAAATGACTTAATTAGTCTTCATTGTTTCAAAAACAAATTGTTTAGTTCTTTGATCATTTTTTACAATGTCTAATTTAATATTATTTTATTTCAAAAATATTTAAAATTTTCTCATCGATATTTTCATATTTTTTAAATCAAAAATAAAATAAATTGAAAAACATATGGTTGAGTTACAAAAAAAATCAAAAATATATGGACTAAATAATTATCTTTTGAAACTAGAGGAGCTAATTAATTCGTTTCCAGCGACTAATTTGTAATTTACGCGGAAAATAAATGCCAATTGTGATCTTAAAAGCCCAAAAAGAAAAGATTACAGATTCAAAGCCCAATATAAAAATGGCTCAAGAATACTTCATCTACTGTGGGCTTAATAGATCCTCAGTAATTTCCGAAAAAAGAATAATAAGATAATATGCAATGATATGCAATAATTGCAAATACTTATTAATTATTAATCCCTTATAAATAGTATTTTTATAATTTAAATAGTAATTTATTTTCTTATTTAAGATAACAAAAAAAAATTTCATTAAAATTATAGTTTGTAACTATTATAATTACGGACCAATTAGCTAGTTAAATTATGAGAAGATTAAGATTTTTTTTATGGTTTTATTTAGTGAATATATTTAACAAATCATAATCCCTTGCCTATTACGAAGTGAATGGTATTTATTTTCTTTTTTTAAAAAAAAAACAATCTACCTATTTAGTTGTAATTGTACAATAATATTAATAATTAGCATAATTACGGAATAATTAATTCAAATAATGAAAGGTAAAATAAGTCGTTACGATATAATAAATAAAAATATTTAATAGTTTGCAGCTTTAAGTAACCATAGCAAGCCCAATAAATTATATATGGCAAGAGAAAGTATCCAAATAGTGGGATCTCAAAGAAAACTAACTTTGATTTTAAAAATCATAGCAAGAGAGAAATTTTTTTTCTTTTTATTATTTGAGTTGTAGGTGCTAGCTATTGATTATAAATTTAGGTTTACTTAATTTACTTTCTCCATAAGATAACTTTCTCATAAAATTAGGATGGGCTCAAAACCAAATTCTATATGTCCATTGACAAATTTTGGGTAAACCAAATTCTGCTTTTATTAATTTCAAATTTTAGCTATAGATTGATAAAACTAGAACTCAAACTTCAAATCTCACATATTTATTTATTTATTTTAAGTTAAATAGTCTAAACTTCTCTTGAATTTAAAATTATTTGAAAATCAGTTCTTTAATTTTCAATTTGTCTTTCATTTAATTACTTTTAATTTAAAATTAGATTTTTTCTATTAGGTTTTCGTTAACTCAAATGAAGTAAATATATGTGACTTACATTTGGTTAATTTTTTTTAACTTTCTCAGTAGCTAGAAAAATGCCAAAACTTATGAATATTATGGTTTTCTCCTCAAAAACTTGTTGTTGTTGTTTTTTTTTTTTAATATTTTTAAATTGCTAACTTCTTAAAATTTAGAATGGAAGAGACAAGTTTTGATAGAAAAGTAAGCATTTATAGGTTTTAGTATGTTTTTAATTATTAGAAAACAACATTGCAAGTTAGAGTTCACGACAAACTAATAGAAAAATCAAATTTCAAATAAAAAATAATTGAAAAAATTCCAATTTAAAATAAAAAAAATTAAAAAAAAAATCCTCAAATGACTTAAAATTCAAAAGAGTGTTGAACCATTCAACCTTTATTTTAATAAAGTATCATGAAATTATAAATTGCTATATCAAACATCAAATTTAAAGAAAATGAGAAAGAAAAAAGAAAAAAGAAAAAAGAAAAAAAGAGTTAGTAAAGCTTAGGACTCACTTGTTCCATCAAGAGGAGGCTATCATTTGTCACCATTAATCACCCAGATTAGCAAGCCTTGCCATCATTTCACCATTGTTCAAGTCATTGAAATTCAATGGTTCAAGTCACTTTTGTTCATTTTTTTCTAAATTAAATGACTGCAACTCAAATCCAATGAAAGAACAAAGCATGCCAAAAAAGAGTTTCTCAACTACTCAAGTACACTCTGATTAAGCTTGATGTGAAATTAAACTGATTGATAAAGTAATTTTGATGGACGCAAAACAATCCAAATCAAATCAAGTGAAATTCTTGGTCAAAACGTATAAATGTTCTAAATCTTCCAAGTTAAATTAAAGTCATAGAAAGTGTTTTTTTCAACACGAAATCCATCAAGTTTGAATTTATATAATATTTTCTTTGCATTTTGACATGAGTTAATCTCAAATGATCTTTTTACTGTTTGATTAACTAACAACGGTTCAAATGAACTGGATCACTAGTGCATATACACAATTGTTTTTGCTTTTTTTTTTTTTTTAATTGGGTGCATGAACTGCTAATTTTAATGTACTTTCCATTTAAATATGAGTTAATTTCAAATGAACTTTATGGTTTGATTAAATAGTATTAAAGAATAATATAAAAAAATTCTGAAAACCCCACTTAGTTAATAGATTAACCTTTTAGAGTTTTATCGACCAAACGATCAAGAATTTGAATCATACCACGTTCACTTTCTCTTCTAATTAATTAAAAAGAATTAAGTTAAAGGTAACATAAACATGTGCAAGTTTCAATCCCGACAAGTTTTTACTTAAATAAATATATTTAAAAATAATATAAAACTATCGCTACGACGTTATCTAACAGAGTTAAACTTTTGGATTGACATTGGTTTTTAATTTGACAACTAACAACGGCTTAAATAAACTAGACCAGTGCATGCACTTATAAAAGCTAGGGTTTTTGTTTTTTTTTTTTCCTTTATCATTGGGTGCAAGACTTGCTAACTTTAGTGTGCTTTGCATCTAAATGAGTTAATCTGACGAAATGATCTTTACTGTTTGACTAACTAGCAACGGCCTAAATGAACTAAACTAGTAGTTCATGGTTGCCAATGGAATCAAATTTATGGCCAACAAACACTAATGAATTTAACCTATTATAACGATAGATATGAATGCATTAATTGGTCCCACTACACCATAATAGAGACAATATAAGGATAAGGGGGAAAAAAAATACTTCTTGCTATAAACAACTTTGGAAGGTGGCGGTGCCACAAAATGATCAATTAATCTTTGACAAGAACAATTATTTATTGTGCTTTACTCTGTTCAGATGATCAGCAATTTTTGCCCACCATGCCCAAATTGAACTTCATGCTCCCCTTTTCTTTTCCCTTTTCCTAAATGAACAGTAAAATGAGTTTTCAAGGTGTCCTTCAATTTATAAATGAGTTTTCGTTTTAGGGTATCATTCATGAGAAATTTTATAATACATCGGGAGTAACTCAGTGACATGTACAATAATTACTCCATGAGCCTATCTTGAAGAGAGAGATAGATAAAAAAAAAAAAAACAGGAGAGAGAAAATAAAAAATTTTGAGCAAACGTGAAAATCTTCTTATCACTTTTGATGGATATGAATGTAATTTTACTATTTTTTTTTGTGTGTCTATCTCTCTCCTCAAAGTGAGCTCATGGAATAACTATTGTATATGCCACTAGTTACTCTCGATGTATTATAAAATTTCTCATCATTCATGATTCGAATCTTTCAAAAAGATGTAAGGAAATATTTTTTTTCATATTTTCTTAAATTAACTTGTCTTCTTCTTCTTTTTTAATTAAAATTGTATTTTGTAAATTTTTTACAAAATAAAATTTAATCAGGAGTATTTTAATTTCTTTACGATGAAAAGAGTGATTTTTTTTTCTAATCGCTCCTTTGTGAGTCTAAATGATTAAATTGTATTAAGAAAAGAAACATAATTTCAAGAAGTGACTGCTAGCTATTAAATATATAACATTAAAACTAAAAAAAGTTAAAAATTAAATTAAATTAAATTAAATTTTTTTCATACTCAGCCAAGAAAAAATATTGAGAAAGCATAAAGACAAGGAATGGAGCAAGAATCAAAATCAAGATCTGAGAAAGGGATATTTAAACATCCTTTTTTTTACAGAGTGAACTGGATTAGGACATTAATTAACATAATTTAATTATATATTTGACAGCTTGAAAGGGATTCAAGAATATTTTGTTGCTATCAAATATTTATTTTTTATTCCGACTGAGATCATGATAGCAATACTTAATAATTTATAATTGTGCCAAGATTCTATTATTGCTTAGTCATGACAATTGGAAATTTGTTTCTTCCAAATCTATCTTAATAATTACTCCATTTTTTATGAATTATAATATATAAACAATCAACATCTCTCTTCCTGTTTCTTTTTTTAATCAATAGCGTTGTTACTTTTGATGATCTAGGCAGTCTTATCTTTGATAAAAAAGACAGCTTATTAGTGTTCAAAATATTGAAGAAAATAGGAGGAAGATTTCTGCTAATGACATGATGACAACCTTGCACTTATGAGTAATATTTTGACCAAAAACCTAGAAAAACATCAAATGATGTTACATGGGCATGTTCTTTTTTAATAAGAAGGATTAAAAGCAAGCTAAGAGATTTGTCACCAAAGCACTTTTCAAAAGAGCATATAATGGTCATGAATCTTTTTATGTATGCAATCAATTAACTCCATTTCCTCCTTCCTTTTCAAAATCATTAGCACAGTACTCCCATAAGCCCAATTGCACCTAATTTTTCTTGAAATGCATTATGACTATCACCCCAATCCAATCAGGAATGAAAAAGAACCATTCTCTGGAACTTTAGACTGTTCTTTTCTCCAGTGAAGTGACTTCATTTGAAAGGATATGAAAACTTCACTAAAGGTGATGGATTTGACAGAACTTGGGGTCACTATTTGGCATTTGGTGATAAATCGAGTAAAAGTTGCTTCCATGATTAATAGAGGCATGAAGTTTCCAATGTAACAATATTGGCATGTTTGGACAGGTGTTAAAAGGGTGGAGCAGCTGCCAATTTTATGTGTATGGTATTTTACTATTATTTTTTAACCATTATGCAAGTTAAGTTATTTGATCCTATCATATATAGAAGATTGCACATGGAGGGGTAAAAGGAATGTATTGACTTATGATCAGGTTTAATCGACGAATTGTTAAGAGTTCGATTCTTATTTTTATAAAACTTGAGTTTAAAAAAATTCGGTTTTTAAAATTTATTATAAGTTAGACACGATACAACGTTAATCTAATTCGAAAAATAATATATTTAAGTCTAATAGGTTAAAATCATTTGAAGCAATTATCAAAAAGGAGAAAATGATTTGATTTAAGGTTTAAAAGTCAATTAGTACTCCTTTCGTATTATATAATATTGTTTACCTACTCTTTTATTAAATTTATGTATTTAAAATTTTAAAAATCATAAGTACTGTTGATCCTTGAAAGATTTTAAGTTAATACGCAATTAAAAGAATCAGTCAAAAGTTATATATTGGACTCTGAAAAGTAAAAAAAAAAAAAGCACCACTTATTTATCTAATAAAAACAAAAAATTTGGTAATTTTTTTTTGAAATTGGGTGGAAGGAAGCATCAATAATTTTACAGAGTATTCGAAATGCTCAGTGAAGGGAAAGGAAAAAAAAAAAAGGTACAATTTAGGTTAAAGTGCGCATGCATGAAGAAAAGAAAAATGCACAATGGTGGCAGAAATTTGAATCTCAGTACTCTTAACTCACATAATTAATCTTAAGATTCTCAGCTGGAATATTTATATGGACTTGAGAAAAAAGGGAATTTTCTGATGTTGTGTTTTGGCCCAATTTATATTGATTTTAATTAGCTTCAAGTAATTGGGTTTTTTTTTCTTTCTTATTTATGAAATCGATGATTCGATTAATGAAGTTCGCATGAAATTAGTAAAAAAGGATTACAACATAGTTATGAAGTCATTAGGTCTTAGTTAAAAAGTAGGGGACAAAGTTCTTTTTCCTTAGATCATAGACGATACTTAAATTACTCGGACTTTTACAGTCTATCAGTTAAAGATTTATACAACTAACAATAACGATAGCCGTGTCGGTCTCTACAATCCAGCTGATTTGAAGAGGTAAAGGCAGTCCAACACTGATTTCCATAGTTCTGTGAACAACCAAAGTCTTTAGGTCAAGTAATTCGTTAATATCTCTCAATACAACTTTGAAAATTTTGGTAACATTTTCAAAATGTTACACCAATATATATATATATATATATTTGACAGTACTTCTCAATCGGCTATGACTTGGTGGAGTAGCTCAAAGCGGTATAGCTGCACAGGCATATACAGAAATTTGATAGCCCCAAGTTTTGTCATCTCATTAACATCATTATTCCAAAGTTTTCTTCATGAGGATTGTAGCTAGCTTGGATGATAGAGGAATGCTAGGATTCTTGTAAGAAAATGCTCTACAGTGCTCTGATGGAATAGCAGGTAGCTTAATTTTTATTTTTATTTTTTTCCCAAGCTGTTTGGTCGGATGCAGAATAGCATGGGTAGCTTTTTTTTTTTTTTTTTCTGAAATTTTAGATTAAATGTATAAAACAGATACAACTATATAAATTTTTTTTCACGTATATAAATACTCGAATTCAATATCATATACGTAAATCACTAGAGCTCGTTCTTCAAACCAATCTTCTTGAGTATATCTTATAGCTTAATTATTCAAAAGCTAGAAGCAACCAAAATTAAGGATGGAGAAAAGAAAAAACCAAGCACAAAACTTAGAGGATTGAATGCTTGTGAAGTAAAACTCTCAAGAGTATTTAACTTTTTTCAAATTCATGGAAGAAATATATTTAATTTTGATACGTAAAAATTAATCTGAAAATATTATTATTTTTTTTTCAAGATTGATAAAAAAAAATATACTTAATCTTACACGTAAAATTTAATCTAAAAATATACTTTTTTTCCTTCGAGATTGATAAAAGAAATATACTTAATCTTGATACGTAAAAGTTGATACAAAAAACTATTACAATGAAGAAAAAAAGGAAAAAAAGAATATAATACAAAATGCCTACGCGCAAGTGGCTGGCTATTCACATGCAAAAGATTCAATGCCAACCTCGTTCTGCTGGTTATTCCAATATTTAATAGCAATGATTTTGAAAATTTTGTAAGAAATTTTGTTGTTCTTCCTTAAACAATCCTTAGATAACTAACACTTGTTGGAAGTCAAAATCCAAAAAAATAACACAACTCTACTTTGATGGATAATAAAAGAAACAGAAAGCTGAGGAACCCAAAGCATTAATAATATCTTTCTCTCTGTATACACACATCCCTAGAGATCAAGACTGAAAAGATAAGTCAAGCTTTTCTCATTATTATTTTTTTTAATCCAATCCCACGTCTATACTGTAGTCATCTTCTCCCATTTATTTCCCATCAATGCAATAAAAGCTTGTAGCAGTATATTTTTTTCACTTTAAAGAATGCCCACATGATCATCAAAGGGAGGGCTTGAATAATTTTTTCCACTTCAAAAGATGAAAGGCAAGTCCCATCCTGTATCAATCTCTTCCCTGAGCTTTCCAGTCATGTCTGATTGACGTACTTGTTTTAACTGTTGACACCTTCTGTTCCTCAGCTTTCTGTCCCATCCACCAAAATTCCAAAAGGAATGTGGGACTCAGTAGTTCTGCTCCCAATCAACCAGCACTGACTTTTTACTCTTTCTTTCCCTAGCTAATTTTCCTGACTGTTCTGGTAAATAACAAGAAACAAAGGAAGAAGAAAGTAGGGAAGGAAAAATCTCTTCCCCACATGAAATTTCAGAGCTGAAAGAGAAGGGTTTATAGCAGGACCTTGAAGGACATTGCAGCACCACGAACACTCAACAGACTATAATTTTTAGTTGGGAAGTGGCATTGTTGTTTCAAGGACCGGTTATAAACCTCTCTTTGCTTCTCCAAATGATGTGTTTGTGTATGTGTCTCCAGACCAATCAAAGATGCTGAAAGGGTCCAAGGCCTTGCTTTCTTTCTGCTCCTCTCCGTTGAATCCTTGTGTAAACAATAGGTCAAGAGGGTCAGCATCTATTTCTCCCAATTCAGCAAAGAAGTCTTGATCAGATTGATCTGGCATTGATGGCCTGTAACTGTGAGAAAACCCTTCACTGAATTGATCATTATCATCCATCTCCATTTGCTTCTCGATGTCATCAAACTCCTCTTTGACAGATGCACTTGCTGTTGAGCTGCTACAACCAACATTAATGTTCGTAGGAGACAATGTATCATTGCTACTCTCCTTCTGTTCTTCCTTTGTGTTTCCTGTTTTCTGTGCTTGAGAACCGGTGGAGCTCCTTGAGCTTGCATTGCCCTTTGTTGGTTGGGTCCTTGTTGATCCAGCAAGTGCATTTCTCTGAGTTGGCCATGGATGGTTATGCTCAGAAGTGTAGGTGATCACCAACATGTTAGGATCAGTTCTGCTCCTCTCTACTTGTTTCCTTGCTGAGCAACCCTTTGAGCTGCTGCATCTATAGTAACCCCTAGATGCGTGGAAAGACATGGTTTAACATTCAGTAAAAATTTTCAGCCAAACATTTACAGACTACCTTTATTATAATAATTACTTGAAGCAAATTAAGTTCAATATAAAAAAACTGATCAGAAAATGAAAAGAAAACCCCACTTAGTTCACAACAAGATTAAAAAAAGCTCAGTTTTTTGGAGTCAATTCCTGCCAATCATTCAAGCATGCAAATATATCGGAAAGTGCATACTATTTGATTTGAACCTGTTGAGCTCCAAGAACAATAGTGCATCCTTTCACCGATATTAATGCAAGTTGTAGAAATGCTGTTTACGTACCAAAACACATGCTGTTCGAGCTCAGTACTGTCTAGGGAAACTTTCACCAAAACTTTTTCAGGGCATTACTTTGCAACAATATATTGCATTTCATGTCCAAAAGGTTGGGGAAAAAGGAAAAGAAATAAATAAAGAAACATTTTTCATTCTTTTTCAGGTAACGATCATATAATTTGTCAGAGAAAAAAGAAAATGGGAAATTGATCACCTGTTTGTTCTTTGTAATCTTGGGAACTTTATATGTTGTTATTATATGTATTTAGACTGACAAGAAAAACAAATTTACTAATTACCTTGGATACGGAGAACCCTTGATGGGTTTTTGTCCATATTTTCTCCATGCCCACAAGTCAGATGGAACTACTTCTCCACTAGGCCTGCTATTTGCAGCTGCTGGTGCTGGAATACAAACCACCTTCTTTGCCTGACTCTTCCTGAAATAACAACACAAAAATCTTAACTTTTCTCTTATTTCCAAAATCTAAGACTCAAGATAGAAGAGTTTAATGGCAAAGATGACGAAGAAGCAATAAACAAAGATCAAAGATTTTATCAAACTTTATTACTATTCTGCAGGAATGATTCAATTTCCATTTTGAGGCAGGAATGAATGCATCATTCTCTGAGTTATTTTCTTCAAGAAGCTTGGAAGGGATGGTACTTATATTCTTGAAGACAAGATATATATCAATCAAAGAACATAGCTATCTTTTCAGGTGATCGGTTTAGGTAAGAAAAAAAGGTTGCTTGGAGATAACTACTAACATGAAAGCTATATATGTCTGTGGATGTTATTATGACACCAGTTAGGCAACCTTTTCAGGTTCCTTGATTAAACCCCATCAAAGATTTTATGTTCTGTTATGCAATGTAGACAGTCAGCGAACAATTTCTCCTGAAAAGAAAGATATCACCGCCCCTATTAAGAACCTATACAGCAATCAAAAGACTAGTACCTGTACTTTATGGCCAAACCCTAAATTCCATAGATCCTGATCATGACCTTGCTAGGCCTAGAAACTCAAGTTCCAAAGAAATCCATTCATCCTCCTATGATTATAATATATATTATCATCATCAACAACTTCAATTAACGAAGTCAAGATTTAAAAAATTAGGACGCACTGAAAGTTGCATAGAAATCAAAATTCAAATATATTAAATTCATAGAAACAAGGGACACACCTAAATTTAATAAGACTCTAGCTTACCTTCTCTTGATCCCCAGATTCCTTGGAGATGAGATCTGCACTGGTCCAATGTTCTCAATCAAGCAACCTTTTGAGTTATTAACATTAATTACATCACTAGAAACCATAGCAGACGGCTTAAACCCCCTCGGCGAAGCACCGGTAGCTATAACCGGAGAATTACACGGCGAAACAGGCAACTTTGGAGGATTGATTGGTGAGATCTGAATTCTGGAAAATATATTGCAAGGAGTAGGAGTAGGAGTGGTAGCAGCAGGCTTATGCATCTCATGATCTTCAAAGACTTTTTGATGAGCAAGAATACTATTACTACTAGTAATAGGAGCAGGAGCAGCACTATTTGCAGCAACAAAACTACCAGTATGATCGTGATCAACAGTAGCAGTACTTAACAAATGATCTGCTGAATTTGGGCTGCTAAAATAGCTTGAACCAGCAACGTTAAGCTCATGAAGAAGGGGATCTCTCATGTTGCAAAAAGGATCACCAAAAATATCATCTCTATTTTCTCCCATAGTCGACGATGAGAGATTTATGGGATCAGAAGGGAATTCCCAGTCTGAAACAGGAACATCTGATTGGCCTAAAGCTCCACCTGAGGCTCGAAGAATATCTGTTAAATCACCTTGATAATTATCCATTTTTTAGGCCAGAAAAGCTGCATATACTAATGTAGAGTCAAAGAATAAGAAAGAAATGATGATAGAAGGGTCATTTAAGGGCCTAAAAAGGGATATATAGCTTGACAAGACAGTATTGCTTGGTATACTTTTTTTTTTTTCTTGCACCAAACAAAACGTGAAAAAACAAAACATGCAAGTTCTAGTTTAGCTATAAGGATTAATTCTGTGAGGTGGGGTTTTTGGTTAAAACAAGAAAGCAAGCAAAAAAACAAGACAGGTTTTTGAAGGCTGAAAGTAAACTGGGTGTTTCTTTGTTATTGTGCTTCTTCCCCCTGTCTGAACAACAAACAAAAGAGAATGGTTTTTGAAGAAAGTGAGAGAGAAAGAATGAGAAATTGAGTCGCTGACTTTTCATACAAAATGGGTTCTTAGAAGAGAGAGAGAGAGAGAGAGAGTTTGGGTATGTGTTTTTTTTTTTTTTTTTTTCAAGTTCATGTGAGAATAAAGTAATGGAGGTGTTGATGATGATCTTGCAAGGTAGTGATTTATCTTATAGCTAGTAACGACAAAAGATTCGAGCGGACCGACTTGATGGCTAACGAAGTATTTTATTTTATTTATTTTTTTTTTTCAGATCATTGTAACTTGAATTTCATGTCATGTAAAATTCTTATGAACCGTTGATCAAAAGACAATGAATTTAGTATTAACACCAAAGAGTTACTAACTATTCAACATCTTTTACATGGTTAAAAAAGTTTGTTATCTTTTTTTTATCGAAATATTTCTACCTTAGATAGAACTACTTCTACTTAAAACGAAAATGATAAAATTTTATTAATTATAATAATTATGATTTGAGAAATCAAATCCTACATAAATAAAAAATTCGTTTCAGGATTAATTTGTTTATCACTAGATTAATAATATATTATTAATTTTTTTAAATTCAAATCTTAAAATCAATTTTTGTAAAAAAATATTATTTTTAAATATATATCAAATTGATGCGAAAGTGTTGTTTAAAGCTACACAAAAAATAAATTTCATATTAATCGAAGTATAAAATAAATCAAAACCATTATATATGGCTGAATCTAAAAATAATATTAAAAAATTAGTCCAAGAAAATCATAGAAACATTAACTTAAGAATATATAGAAACAACAAAAAGGGTCAAATTTATTATTTGTTAGGTTAATTTTGTTGTCTTTCTTGTAATGTCTCTTTCTCCCCATCTATCTTTCTTGTCTTAATTAAAGTAAAGAAAAGTAGACTTGTTCAATAAAGTCTTTATTTATTTATCATTATTCTTATTATTATTATTATTATTATTATTATTTGGAAAAAGAAGTGATGGGGAAGGAAAGAGGCGGCAAGTAGCCGCATTTCTCGGAAATACGTTTCGAAACGTTTGAAAATGGGAATTTGCCTTACTCTTGCTTTTTTTTTGTAAGAAACGTTTCGAAGGCAATGATGTGCGCCTCTTGTTTCTTGTGCATATGGTTAGCTCTCTCCCCACCCACATTCCCACCCAAAAGAAAACGGAAGGAATGATCAAAAATATTTAACAAAACAAATAGTAAGGAATTTTATGTCAAGTCTATATTTGAGTAAATTATTAATTAGTTATTCTAGTTTCAAGAAATAAATTAATTAGTCCTTTTAATTTTAAAAATTTATTATTTAGTTTTTATATTTTAAAATTCTATAACTTAACCATTCTCATTTTTTCAATCTATTTTAATTTTTTTCTTGAGAAATAAAAAATAAAAAAAATTTATGAGAAAATATAATTTTTTTAAAAAAAATAGATTAATATCGAATAAGAGACTAAATAATCAAATCTATGGATCTAACCCTAAATATCACAGCCGGCTGCTCCTATTGAAACATGTTAAGCACTAAATCTAATATCAATCCACTTGACCGATTAAATTAGACATTTAGATGCAATGGTGTCAACTAATCAAAAGGTCAATTTTTTTTTGGACCCATTCATAATATAAATAATTAGAGTTACTAATTAAGAAAACATGTTTTTTTTTATTAGGTTCAATAGTAAATGTGTTACCTAGCACCTTGAGGCTAATCCCTCCCGAGTGTTAGCCATACAATCAAACTCTCGACTCGATCTATAAATCGATAATTATTTGTCAAAATGCTGACTATAAGGATCGAACTGCGAGCTTGACCTACAAATTGATATTTGCTTACTAACGAACTACCATCTTATGATTTGAATTGCATTAAACATATAACTTTTTTTTTCAATTACAATAAAACATATTTGACAAGAATTAATAATAACAATAAATGTACTATGGAACCAATGAAACCTAACCATATAGTAGACAAAATTAAAGAAAAAAAAAGAAGTAGTAAATACCTCTTACTATAGAAGCCATGAACACACTTCATTACAGAACATGGATGTTCTTGTTTTAGGTTTTATTCTTTATAAACAAGGGTTTTGAGTAGTACATGGTCTCATCAAAGCAAGATGGACGTGCAATATTACCAAAGTTTATAGGAAATCCTAACGTTAAAATTTGAGTTCCCATGATGAAAAGAAATAGATCAGATATAGGAGTGCAGATTTTGTAAGAAGTGGTGAAACATATGTAGAATAAGATTTTTAGGAATCCCATGCATCAAGTGATTGAAAGTGAATTTATTTTCATTTTCCTTTTTTAACAAGATTAAAGAATATTCTTGGATATGTATAGTTTAAGACATAATATTACTACACCTTTTGACGAATCAAAGGAAAATCGATTGCATAAGTAGATTAAGTCTAATAATTATTTATCTATTAGTTTTTTTTTTAATAAAATAAAGTTTGAAGTCTAATAATCACAAACATATGTACATACAATTATAAATAAAAAAAATTATTATAAAGGGTGTGAAACTTCATATCTAACAAATATATTTTATTTCATAGAAGATTTTTCCTCAAATCATTATGGAAGGAGATATTCAATAAATAACCATTAATACTTATTCTATGAAAGAAAAATAGACAAAAAAAAAATGGAGAGAAAAATTTTTTAAAAAAATTTAGTTGAAAATATTTTTATCATTTTTAATGTGTCTACATGTGATTTTTTTTAGATGAACCTATAAAATAAGTAGTGATCATTATTTCTTGAATATTTTAAAATTTTTCTTTTAAAAGAGCCTTGTCCAAAGACTGAATGGCATATCTATTCTCATCCAATAGATGAGGTTTTAATTATAAAAAGTAAAGAATCTTTCTATGAAAGTAGCATTTCAACCAAATATATATATATATATATATATTAACTATGATCTTTTTACTATGATGATTAATTCATGTTATAATTACAAAAAGGTAGACAAAGTTTGATGCTAAACCCTACACTAATTAAGTTGGGTTTTCTTGAATGAAAAAATTGGTTAATGACCGAATCTATTTTTATACAATAAGGTAATTTTTCAATTTATTATTATATCTCTAATTGAGTCTATTTTATTTTTCAATTTGCATTAAGTTTCTAATACTTTTTTTTTGTCAATATTTTCAAATTAAACCATTAAAATTATTAATTTATACACGGTTATTTTTTATTCTCAAAATATTCTTACAAGTCAATCAAATAGAAGGTTTTTATGTATAAATTAATTTGGACACTCTAGTTTGAAAATTTTATCAAAATGATAGATGAGATACTTAAGGTATATTTAAAGATAAAAAGTAATGCAATTAGAGATATAAAAACAGATTAAATAATTATCCTATTACATAAGAGTATATTAAGCTATTAATCCAGAAAAAAAAATTAAGATAGATGCTAACTAGTTCACATTATCCCATATCATCCTTATCATTTCAACAAATATATAAAATATGCCCTTTTTAATTATTTATTGAAGCATCGTTATTATTCTTATTTAAATTTTCTGGATTCCTTAGCTACTCAACGTTATTACGATAGACTCGTCGTAAGAATGATCAAACATCAGCCATAAATCAAAATATTGGACTTTTTTTTTTTTTTTTTTTTCTGTCTTTCTTTTGTTTCTCCCTTTCAAACTTGTTTGAAGACTTTAGGTGATGCAAGCACACGCATCACTGATGGGTTAAAGTTTTTGGCTTTTTTTTTTTTCCCATAAATTGATAGCCGGCCTTCTTAACCCCTCTAGTTTTAAAAGAATCAAAACTATTTTTATCCTTTTTCTATTGAAATCAAGTTTTTCTTATTTATTTATCAGATCTTAAGTAGGTCATCTAAACAGTTTTTTTTTTTTTTAATTCAGATATCATTATTTTACATTAGAGGTAAGAAAAATTATATTTATGACGAAAGGGATGAAGTTTAATCCTTTTCAATAATGGATAAAAAAATTCATTTGAAACCCATATTTGTTAACATAGGGCAAAAACTTAATAGTTTTTTTTTTTATACATATATAAACACATATATGTAATCTAGACCCACTAGATCCATTCAAAGTCAAGATGGGTTGACTTCTCCTGCAATATATAGCATTGGCTTGAAAGTGTGGTTGTGATTTGTCTTTGCCTTTTCTCCATTTCAGAATCCACTTTATATCCCCACTAAGTTGGGGGTAACAATTTGCAAGCACTTTCACTTTCCATGATGGAGGACCTAGTCTAGCTAGATCCAAAGAAGTTAATTAAGAATTGGTTAAACTTGGAAAAGGTGATTATGATGAGATTTAGAAGCATAACATAACTAAACTAGGGTTTAATCCTTTATGTCGGAATGATAAAGGACAAACTAAGATTAGTTTAATTTATATAATTAGTGTCTAAACAAAATATGTTCTTTTTTCTTTTTCTTTTTTTAATGTGGTTTGGTAATAAAGTTAGAAGATTTGATCATAATAAGGTCAAATGACATGCCTTTTGTTTCTTCCCTAAAAGTAAGGCTTCTTTTATGAAGTTGGGTATGATTTATTCAAAGATGGTGTTAATTAAACATGCATATATTGTCATTTGTGATGAGACGTGTTGAAGTGATGACTGATGGACGGGAGCTTTGAGGGCTAGCTATAATTAAGGTTTCTTTTTTCCTTTTATGTGATAATTAATCGAAAAGAAACGTTTCTTTTTATATGTGTGTGCCTTATCTGTAAATGGAATTGGAGGATCGAATTAATTAGTTTTTGTTCTTTTAAAAATTAATTATTTAATCATTATATTTTTAAATTTTTTTGTAACTCAATTCTTTTTACTCCTTTTTAATTTTTTATTTATATTTTTAAGGAACAAATTAATTAATCTTTGTTGTTTTAAAAATAATTATTTAATTTTTATATTTTTAATTTTTTAACTCAATTTTTTTAATTTATTTTGATTTAAAAAAAACAATGTAATAGTTTATTCAATAAAATAATATTAAATTAAACGTCATCAATATTAATTTAAAAAATTAAATAATTATTTTTTAAAAAAAATTTAATTCATTCATTTTTAGAAAATAGAGAGATTAATTCATAATTTACCCACTAAGTGGGAGTAATTATTAGATGGGATGTTGATGCTGGGGGAGAGAGAAAGGAGAGGTGGCTTTTATTTATTATGTGATCAAATGATCCTTTCAATGGGCCAATGATCAACAAGAGAATCACCGACCTCTTATGTTTGATGAGACATTTTGAGAATCTTCTGTGCCTAACAACTAGTCTCCCTCTATCACAAAGAGCTGCCACTTCTCTCAGGTTCTTGGCTTTGGACTCCTTCAAAAGACCATTAATTGTTTGATGCCAACTAGATCTCTTCTCGCTATTTTAATTTCTTACATATCTTCCTCATTCTTACACATTCTTGCGTTCCATTATTTTCTCTAGAGAGGTGCATGACTATGTCCTCTCTGTTTCTGCGTGCCACATGTACATGATCTATATATCACACACCCGAGTACAACCTCACTAGCTACCTACACCATGGAAAATATTGGAAATGTAGATAATAAAGGGTTAATATATAGCTTCACTTTTATTCAACAACCTATTTTATTTTCGAATATGCCTTAGGTTTTCAATCTTTTTTTTTTTTTTTTTAAGATTTTGATCCAAATCATTAGAATTATTTACGTGATTGGCATATAATTAATTTTAATTCTCAAACTATCATTTCAAAGCAGCTAAATAAGCATTCATGTGCAAATCGTATAATTGATTTTGATAACTTAGTTTGAAAATCTTACTAAAGAATAGATTAGACAATTAATATATGTTTAAAAATAAAATAAGTTCAATTAAAGATATAAAAACAAATTGAAAAATTATCGTATTATATAAAAATAGATTGAGACATTAACCCTATAATAAATCTAATTAATGTACAAGATATTGTCAGAGCTATGTGAATAGAAATACTTAATTCAATTATATCTTTAAATAAACGATACGTTTTGAATATGTTTTTCTCTTAATATTTTTAGTCCAAACCAATAAAATTATTCACATGATTTACACATAACTAATTTTTATTCTCAAGATATCCTTCCAAGTCACTTAAATAAAATAATAATAATAATAAAAACTTTTGTGTACAAATCGTGTGACTGATTTTGATAATTTAATCTGAAAACCTTGGTAAAAGAATATATTAGATAATTAATGTATGTTTAGAAATAAAATTAGTTTAATTAAGAACATTAAACAAAAAATTAAAAACTTATCATAGTATACAAAAACAAAACAGATTGAGTACTCATTAACTCTATAATAAATCCAATTAATGTCCAAGCCTAATAAATATGCCACATGCAGCTCATCAAAAAAAAAAAAAACAAAAAAACAAAAATCCCACATGAAGTTGGCAACAGAAAAATAGGGCTATGGTTGGTGGCCTATATAGATAAATAAATAAGTTATGCATAGCTAGCTAGGGCAATTGAATTATAAGTTGGCGTGTCTTACTTTGGTGGTCCTCTCTTTGATCTCATTTTTCTATGCATCCCTTAATTTCCTTCCCATCATGAGCCAATTTCATGGGGTTTTCTAACTTGCAAACAAGAATTTAAATTGCTGCTAACTGGGATTCTCTCCTTGTTTTTAGGTCTTCTCTTGTGGGGTTGGTCCAATATTCCACAGAAACCCTAGCTAAAGCCAAGCAAACTAGTTGTAAAATAGTTATGTATGGATCATTCAGCTGATTGGCTCCAGACAACACTTGCCCCACGTTCCTGCATGACAAAACCCCAACCCACACTCCTCCCTACAACAGAACTGGGATTCTCTGAGCAATACTATACACATAGTTTTTGTCTTCCCACAAACATTAATCAAAAGTTTACAAGCATCCACATGCCCATGTGCACCACCACCATATTATAAAATTTCATCACTTGACAATAGGAACACATTAAAATGCCAACCAGCCACTTTATCCGCTGATGACCGATATTTCTTGCAATAATTACTCTAATCTAATCTATATGCGATAAAAAGAGTGTTTTTAATGCACCAGAGTTAGGTATTCGATTTTTATTTTTGAAAAAACGATAATCCTTCTCTTTTATATGACATTGAATATAAATTATTGGTAAACTTAAAAAGATCAATTTCTAAAATCGATTCAAAAATTAGAAGTGATCGATCCCTCCCTCGTTAACCTAATCTAAAAAATGAGAATTTAGTTCCAATTGATGTAAAAACTAACTTGAAAATGCCTCACTATTTATAATATAAATAATAATGATAACAACAATAATCTAATGTATTCAAAATGTGGGGTCCGATGAGAAAATTAAATAAGATTAAAATGGGTATTGTCTAGCTAAAAGTCTTGCTTAAATATCATGTTTTAGTTGTCACAAAATTAATTATATGTTATTCTCTGTTGATATGGCATGCGGGAGACAGTTGCATAAGCATGTTACACCACCCTACGTAAGCCGTCTACCGGACCGCTCACCGGTTACATTGATCGTGGCCATCAATGTCGTCTACGTGGACGGCTTTGATCGACATTGCCACCTGTTTCCTTTTTTCTTAATTAAAAAGAAATCGTTTTTTTCAGAACGTTGTTTATGAACGAGTTGATAGATTAAATCGATACTATAGTTTTTATTAATTAATATATTAATTCTCGTGCTTGAATTTATGATTTGTTTTCTGAACAAGCATTTATGAGATCAATAGCATATTCACTGGATCTATTAAGGGAAAAAAGAATGATGCTTGAGGCATTAAAATATATATTTTTAAAAAATAAACTATACATCTTTTTTTTTTTGAATTCAAACGTTTGAATTAGAAATGAAGATTTATAAGAGTTTGATAATTTCCTTTTTTTTTTTTTTTTTTGTGCAACAGGATTTGGATTACACGTAAACTATCAAAGAATAAGATTTGAATTCAAGACTTCTAGCTAAGTGTTAAAAATTTATATTAATTAACCTCATGATATAACTAAATTTATATGTTCATCACACAAAATATGAGCCAATACGAGAAAGACACATTTAAGTCTCTAGTGCTACACATGCATAGCAGCAATTTATGAAATTTTCAAACTTCATAGAGCTTGGAAGCCCTAATGATCATGTGTATAGGGTTCCTGCTCCTCGCCACCAACCACAGTGCCTATTGTCTAGCTACAGAAAGAACTACATGCACTTGGAGCATGCAGCTGGACCGGTTGGTGTAACATGAATATCACAGTGTCATGCCATCACTAAGGAAGCTTCTTCCTAAAGTAGTGCAAACCAAGTCATTTTTTTGATAGATTATGATCATGATCTTGAGAACATGAGGCCAATAATATTGTAACCTATGCTATGGGCACCTTGGAAACAGCCAAACCATCTTCTTTATTAATTTATACCTGATTAGTTTTTATTTAAATTAGGGTTTTGGATAAATAAGCCCTTGGATTGTGTGGCATGTGACCCTTACCCATGTGAGATAAATTACTTTGCTTCCAATGAGAAGAAGCTAAAATCTTTTGGCCATTAATTGAGGGATCCTTTAGAGATCCTAAGCCCCTTTAAGTGCAAATCAAGTTCAGAGAACCATGGTCATGCATTCACATCTCTTTAATGCTTTATATATATAGGTAGTGGATATTTTCGAATCAATTTTTTCATCAATCGAGATTAAATTTATTACTTTCCGAGTTAAGTCAGTGGTAGATTAAGTTTAACGTCCTTTAGTTGATTTTAAAGATTGAATTTTATGAATCCACCAACAAGTTATGTACAGTACTATCCAAATAAGAGAAAAGAGCTTTTTAATGTTAAAAATCGAATTTCTGACTTCATGAATTAGTAGTAGTACTCTTCTTACCACTTGGTAACAATCTTTTGTACTTTTCATCGACTTTGTCACTTGGAACACTTGGAACGTAGAGCTTCTTTTTAATCATTAATTAAGATCTTTGGGATTATAAAGGAAAAAAAAAAAAGGCTAGAATTCAGGACACAAGTATGGCATAAGATGTAACAAAGCTAGCTGTTTGATGCAAACTGTGGCATTGATTCTGTGTTCTGTCGAGCAAATTGTCTGAAACAAAGTTCTTAAGTAATTAATGTCTAGTGGAGCCAACAACCAAAAGAACAAAAATTTAAAAGATGTCTCATTCTAGAGGCCATCAATTAAACAGGGAAAACAAAACATGAAATCACTTGGTTCTGAAGCAATGTACTTGCTACAAATCATTCAATATAACCAATGATTCTTTTTCTTTACCAATTGGTTGCAGATTCTTGAATAAATTATAAATTAGTCCCTTTATTTTTTAGAAATGTATTAATTAATCCCTTTTGTATTAACCAATGTTGACCATAGTCAATTAAATGTAATTTATTTTAAAAATGTATTTTTTTCATCAATCTTTTCATATTTTTATATATTTTTTAAAATAAAAAATTTAACTAAATTTAAAAGAAACAAAAATAATTAAATTACAAATAGATTTAAAAACATAAAGACTAAATAATTAGTTTTTAAAACAAACGAGACTAATTAATTTGTTCGCAAATTCTTTCAAGAGAGAATTTGACTAGAAGACCAATTTAATGAGAGGTCCCTATGGTTCTATAGTTGTACAACATTGAATCTTGCGGTTCAAAAAGAGCAATCGACTCCTTAACATTTGAGAATTAGATCAAATTACATCTCTAAATCCTTTTTCCACCCAAATTTGATGATATTTATAAGTTGGCTAAATTATAAAATACCTCATGAAATTGAGTCCTTAACATTTGATAATTAGATCAAATTCCATATATATAACCTTTTTTCATCCAAATTTGATATTTATAAGTTGGCTAAATTATAAAATACCCCTTGACCTTGAGCTAAAAAACAAATACCTCTTTAAATTAAAAAAAAACCCTAATTTTGCCCCTAAACAATATGATTTTTTTTTGTTGGAATTTTTCCCTTCTCTTCGATTTTTATTGAGAAAACAATGAAAAACCCCTCAAAAATCCTCTCAATTTCTCTGTTTTTCTCTATTAATAAACATATTTTCATAAGTTTGTATAGAAAAAGATAGTAATTTGAAGATTTTTTATGAATTTTTTCGTCAACTAAACCCTAATAAAGGAGGTAAATTCGAAAAAAAAATCATATAGTTCAGAGGAAAATTAAGGTTTTTTTTTTAAAAAAATTAAAGTATTTGTTTTACAAATTAGCCTTACAAGTCAGCATATGCGGCATAACACTCGGCCTACGTTAGCCACCAATTGTGTCAACACGTGTACATTTCATGGATAAAGTTTCAAACTTTTAACATATTTTGACAAAGGGATGAACCGTGACCCAAGACCTAAAGGTGAAGGATCTACTTGCTATTTTTTTAACTACAATGTCTAATTTGAACCTGCCTTTAAACTTTAAACCCTTAGAAACCGTAACCCTTGTTTCTGTTTTTTTCAAAGACCATCAATTTGGAGCAAATGCTGATCCTCCAAATCATCTTAGAGGGTTTCATGGATAAAGTTTCAAACTTTAACATATTTTGACGAAGGGATGAACGGTGACCCAAAACCTAAAAGTGAAGGATCTAATTGTTATTTTCTTAACTACAATGTCTAATTTGAACCTGCCTTTAAACTTTAAACCCTTAAAAACCCTAACTCCCTTTTTTATTATTTAAATACCATCAATTTGGAGCAAAAGCTGATCCTCCAAATCATCTTGGAAGGGTTTTTTTCTGCTGATCAATAATCAGCTCCAAAAATTATGGCTAACCAAAGAACAAATGTTGAGCCTAAACCGAAACATTAACATCTGGCCATGTTTAAGTTAGCCCATAACATTTGCAGCCCAAACCAATATTGGGCCAGTAGACAGAAGGTAATCAATGCCATACTTTATTTCACTTGCAGTTATGACCAGACTAAGGATATGGTATTGCGGTCAAATACAGTTGGGTTGCTTAAAAATAAAATTAAAAAAAAAAAAAAAAAGCATGAATTTGATGTTTTTTCAATCCCATTTGATGCCTTTTCAATTTAACTGGTATGATTTTTTTTTTTAAATATATATATATATATATTCTTCATTCAAAAGAACTGATATGTCAAAATGAGTAAATACTATAGTTAGTAATTATCAACTGATAGTAAAATTTACTTCTGTTGTTCTACAGCAGAAATCAATTTGATAGTCAACAAAAGCTAAGGCCATAAACTATATACCCTGAAGGAAAAAGAATTTAGGGGGAATAAGAAGCCGGTCAGACTACAAGATACTTTGCCCTACTCTTTCTTTTCAACTAGTTAACTATACAAGAAGTTATTTCTTCTACCTGGGATATTAATGCTATATAGCACACATTGCATCAACATTTTCTTCTTCCTGATTTGCATTATGAGAAGTAAAAACCCTTGAAACGAATTGTCGCGCCTATAAATAATCACGGTTTAAGTGTACTCGTCTACTATCTTCTTAAAGGCTTGTGGTGTCGTTGTGAAGATCGAGTGGATCGAGGAGATAGTTCAGGGCTTTCTGATCCCTCGACTTGGGTGGGCAACAGTTTTAGAAAGCTTCCTTGAGCAGGCTGATCGGAGGAATCGGGTATCTCTGCAAAAGGGATGGTAAAATGGCAGTTAGAAAATGTAAATCGAACCAAAAGGAGGTTGGGATTCGGGGAGTTGACTATGGTCTGTACCAAATAATGACTTGATAGTTGGTCTCTTTGGTGCATTATTCTTTTTCCTCAACTCTGCATTCAAGAACACAAATAACAGTTAATCCTAATAAAAGATTCTGTAAACGTGGAATCAATCTATCCTAATTCTCAGGGTGATACAGACCGACAGATGCCATTTCATGATCATTATTGACAATCTCGTAATTCTTGTATGTATAGCCGACGAAGTTCACATCCTTCGATGGAAGCATCTGTAATTAAAAAGAAAGGTCACTGAGTTTATCTATCCAAAGTTCTATAAAATATAGGAAACAATATCAAGGTAATAAGAAACATGATCACAGTTAAAAGAGGAGTGACAAAACAGACTCATTAAAAGCAATCAGCATTAATAACTACAATAGCATAAAATGAAATATTGATTGAAGAGTCAAAACAGGGAGCATTCTTTATCATATGTTTTGTTCAGCATACAGAAACGCAAGTTGCAGAAAATGTTCTACCAAGTACATGGAAAGTAATTATGGAAAATCCCTAATTGAGAAATATGCTTCCAATCTTATAATAATCCCACCATTAAGGAAATGTTATTGCACTTTTAATTTTAATTTCTTGGAATAGCCTGTACACGGGTACAGATTGTCTTGGAATAGCATCTACATTTTCTATATCAAATTGAATTTAAACTGCACTCTGAATTCAGAGTCTAGCAAAAATAAATTTAAGTACTGAAAGGAACACAACTCCAATGTATGAATTATTTATGAGAAGTTAAGCTTACCTTTCTCCATGGACCTGATTTTGATGAAGATTGCAGAGAAGTCCCCAGCTGTATACACAGAATTATCAAACAAATAAATTATCTGTGGGAGGAGAAGCAGCTGAAAAAACAAAACAAGATGAAACAAATTCCAGCAAAGACAAAATGTATTGCAAACATCAATCGCCATTCCTTTAAGAAAACAGTAAAGATACTGCTTAATAGAGCATCCAAGTCACAAATTTGACACCCATCCCTTACCTCTTCGAACTTTTCAAAATTCTGAGTATCTAACTCATTTTTGACCTCTGGTTTAAAAGCCGCTTCTATCTGATATAGTCTGTCCCATTCAATGCCTTTAAACCATGGGTGTGCCTGAGGTGGAAACAGGTCAATTACATATTTTAGAAACATATTTATCATCCATGGATTCGGTGATTCAACTAAAGGGGAATAAATGATTCAAGTATGCTGACCTTTATTTCATGAGCTCCTTTGGTCCCCAGCCTCTGTTCAACATTGCATAGGAGTTTACGGATAAGGTCTTTAGCCTCAACAGACAGCTTTGCTTCTTCAGGGAATTTTAGGTGACTTCTCCAATTAACAATCTGCATGGATAAATTGATGATTGGTTTGATATATTTATCCAATCAAATATAGAAGCAAAGCACCACAAAATATTAAGAAATATACATTTCATTTCAATTCGGGGAAAAGTCATATGTAATCCTATCAATAAAATGATAGTACAAGGTAAATCAACCAATAAAAGAATAGGCTTGTACATATTCAAAGTACATCAAGATCCAAAACTAAATCATATGAAGAGTCAGATTTAAAACAGGCGTAACCCTTTAATGGATTCATAATAAAAGCTTTTACCAATAACAGACTTCTTTTATCTCCCATGTTTCAAATCTTTTTTCTATGATCAAAGAAGTTCTTAAATAAGCATGTTATATCATATCATTTTATCTTTCAGATATAGAAGGATAGTTCTATAGTACATGATTTGATATTATCTAATTCAAAAGTTTCATTATGTCTACTTATTTCAAAAGTTGGCTCTCAAATGCAACTTCCTTGCAAAAATCCTCCGGCAGTATACTAAATGTAACCAAGTTGCTTCCACTTTTATCTTCTAACCATGACAATGATCCACATGGTGTCCTAGTTACATCGAAAGATTGGGATTTACTTCTACTAGTCCAGATACTAGACAGACAGTAGAACAACAGTCCTTACTGTCATATTCACAGTTTTTTAGCCCCTGATCCCATTTAAACTCCTGCAATACGTTTACCTCCACAAAATGCTCTGTAAGTGGGGAAATAAATATTCTTACTATCCTGTTAAAAGAAATAGGTTGAGATAAGGAGAATGACATGTACCACTGTTTTATAAGTAATTACGTGCAGTAGAAAGTAAATTAATTGTTTTACTTTGGGACTTTCAGTATCATATTAAAAGGCAGGGACAATTCTCATAAAGTCACATTTTCATGTCATTTTGATTCATAGACCTCTAGAATAATTAAACGAAAAATTATCCACATAAATATGGATACATATGTAAAAAAACATGCATAGGCACATACACATACATTATCCTACATGTCTGTAGCAGATGACAACAGTTGTATTACCTTTCTACATGTTGACATCGGTTCTTCAGAATAGAAAGGTGGATATCCCACAAGCATTTCATACATAATTGCCCCAAGAGACCACCTAATAAAGATGATAATTAACATAGGGAAACAAATTGAATGCTTTAAGCATGCCATTAGAAAGGAAACTAACCAATCACATTCCATCCCATAGCCCTTCTTCAACAATACTTCTGGGGCAATGTAGTCCGGAGTTCCAACCGTTGAATATGCCTGAAAAACAAAATACTAAAATTAATATATGAAACAACCAAACATATAAGGAATACATGAAAGCAGAACTGCAAGAAATTACATGCACAAAATGGGTCTTTACAGTTTCCAAACTAAAGAATACAGCAAAGGAAATATAAGCACCAATGTAATGCATTTCATCAATTTAATAGCTTCCTTATTTTTTGAGGAAACAAGCTTCAAATTTTAAAAACTAAATAAATCAATGGTAGCAAAATAATTCAAACATGAAAGAGACAGCAAGGAGAAATGCATAATGACATCCATCAACTGATGCTGTTTATTGTTTTAACAATGCAATTCTCCCAGTAAATTATCCACAAAGCCTAGTTTCTATCAATCGCAGAGCTGCTATATGCAAAAGTAAATATAGCTGAGCGAACAGACCAATGTTCGCCTATTCTTCTGCCAGTGAACAAGCTGTTCCTGCTGCGTCCGCCTTGGTGCAGTAGGCTTATTGCCCTCGGCTGGAGGTTTCATGTTCCTTCCAACTGCATACTCATCCTCCCTAAAATTTGGGAAACTACTACTGTCCAAGGGCTTACATAGCCCAAAATCTGAAAGCTTCATATGGCCATTTTGGTCGAGCAACAAATTATCAGGTTTAATATCCCTGTCATAGAGAGGTAGGAATAGATTCTTAGCATGCATGATTGCAAGTGTATAGCTGAAAATTTTGAAGCAATAAAAATCAAAATAAAAAAGAAGGTGCACAAAATTACAAGTCATGGTAAACAAGAAAAGATTTGTGCAATTAAAAGATAGAGCTGCTAATATACCACCAAAGGCAATATTTTTACATATGGAACATGTTCCATTGCAAAAAATCAAAAAAGAAAAACCTTATTCAGGAGAACCACTCACTAGATCTGTACCCTATAACAACTGCATAGTCAGCATATCAACGATATAGCTTAAGAAAAGTAGATATGAACAAATATGTTCACTTGGGCACCAACACGGTAAGGATCTGATGTATACATTTTTATCTGTACAATGTGTAAATCAATCTTTATCAAGTGGTAATTGTTCTGAGAGATATATCTTGTGACAACTTAATCGCATAAGCATTCCCAGTTGATGCATTAATAAAACATGCCTAATAAGGCTCGCCATAGTTGTATTTATGATATTGCATACCTTTTTGCACCAAAAAATAGGCACGCCTAACAATAAATCTGATGCATGCTAAGGAACATTAAGAATGTATTAATTTTGAAAGCGAAAATTGTTTCCGAAAATAAGAATAAGAGTTTCCACATCCCATTATTAAATAGACGAGGAGCATTTATATCCAATGCAGATACACCATATTATCAGTGCGACATAGATACAGACTACGTCTACCTAATAACTAAGACAGACCTAATGAAACAAAAAGTGTCCAGAGATTAATAGGAAACCTGTGGATGTAGTTATGCTTGTGAATAGATTCAATTGCAAGGACTGTCTGCCCAACATAAAACCTGCCCTCGTCCTCAGTTAAGGTATCCTTTCGCATCAACAATGTCATCATGTCACCTCCAGGGAGGTATTCCATGATAAGATACAAATATTCATCATCTTGGAAGGAGCAATAGAGCTTGACAATGCAAGCACTGTCAACCTCAGCAAGGAGATTCCTTTCAGCTTTAACATGTTCCACCTGCATGAGCGAGAAAGATAGAAAATGCAAATAAGGATAAATCCTCCTTGCAGGACCAAATAGATGAGATATATGTGTGTTTAGTGAAGTTTCCATAACTATCACAGTAAGAAAAAGTATCCTCAACAGGCTGCTTTTCTTTTCAGCAGACACCTATTTCTTCATCTAGCATGCAGTTCATTTTCAGTGCTATATATTTGCAGCATTGCCTATAAATGATATGGCTCACACCACTTCACAAGACTCTAGTAAAATCTCAATGAACATCAACCCTACTTGATGTTTGGCCAAGAATACAGCCAGTAGGGGAGAATAAAACAAAATTCAGCACCACCTAAGTGAAAATAAAGTAGATTGAACAAATAGATTGTCAAAATACATTGATATGAATAATGCACCACAGCCACACAAACCTGTCCTCTACGAAGCATCTCAGATTTCTTGAGCTTTTTCATTGCATACACATTGCCAGTAGTTTTTTCTCTGCAAAGTCTCACCTGCATAGCGACCGTATATGCATCATGAGTTAAATTAACAACTCCTTGATGAAAATTGCATACGTAATCACCAATAACATAACTTTACGGTGTTCATCGGCAAGAGGTAATGACAGATGAACAGAAAGGATGGAATTTAAATAACCTTTGAACAATAAATTAAAATATCCTTAATACAACTTTTGACCAACTGAAAGGGAACAATAAATTAAAATATCAGCCCCATGAAGTTAATATCAATCAGTTCATCCGAGAAATGACAGAAGGAAGATAGAATTTCTAAGTTTTCGAGCATAAACTTTATTTTTCTTCCACTCAAGACTTCTGAACAGCCAAACATCATATAGCTATATAAAAGAATTCATAGCATTCATAATTTAAGAATGCACTGGACAAGATAAATATCAAATTGTTTCTAATGCAACAAAGAAAGGATAACTTGAGAAGTGAAAAAATGAAAGGATAAATACCTCCCCGAATGCACCCCTTCCAATGATGGTCAAAAGTTCAAAATCATCGACCCCCATCTTATGTCTTTGACGACGCATATACTCAGTTTCCTTCTCCTCAAAGTTCTTCAGTATATTCATTTGTTCTTCCTGCGAAACATCAGCATCGGCAAGCTTCCTCTCTAACATCCATCTCCTACGTTCATCGATACTCACACCATTTCAATAAACCAAAAATCTCTAACAAATCTAAATCCAAAAGACCATATACTATCCAATTTCACCAATCTAACACCTTCAATCTACAAAATTCAAATTTTCTTTAATTATCCCATCCTTTCAATTCGCCTCAATATTGGGACCCATGTCAGATTATCCAGTCATTATTCAACACAACTACTCTAACCTAAAACAAACACCAACAACATAGCACAACAATATAACATTCTACACTAATCTAAAAACAGCAACAAACCCACATCGAAAAATTGTTCCCAAAACACAATAAATCAAACTAAAACACCGAAAAGCACGAAACTGTAACCCCAAATTCAAAATTACCTCTCTTTCCTGTCCTGCAAATTCTTCATTTGAGCTTTGTAATGATTCTCAATATACTGCTTAGCTGCATCCACTTTCTGCTTCGTTGCATGTGAAGGTGCTTCAGCCATTGGTGGCTTACTACTACTATTAACAACACCAACACCACCATTATTATTCAGCTTTACATTCTCTGCAGCAGCTGCTTCTTTCTTTTTTGCATTACTACTCCCTTGCTTAAATATCTTAAACCAGCTCCTTGATGACTCCATTCTCTCTCTAATCACAAAATTGAACCCAAATCACAACAAAAACAAAAACCTTTTTTATAATCACCAAAAGATTCAATCTTTATCACAAACAATCACTTTCAAACACAAAAGGTTGCAAACTTTACTTCGTTTCTCTGTATAAAACACAAAACCCTCGTTGATTTCAGCCTAAAAGAGGGAAATTCATTGAACAAAGATACAAAAACAGGCAATTCTGAACTGTTTGGTCTACAGTCTTGTTTCGCTTTTTTGAACTTTCCTTATAAATCATAAATCTACTCATTATATGGAAAATAAATATTTTTTTTATACGGTCAAATGGGCATATAAACACAATAAAAATTATGAATAAAAAATAAAAAAATTTCCCAAATCAATGCAAAAGAATTTATATATTGAAAATTACAATTAAAAATCATATGAAGAACTTACTTGATTAAAATTATTCACATATGAATCAAGCTAGGAATTGAATTAGTGGTTTTTTTTTTTTTTTTGGTGTACAGAATAGAAGAACCAAAAATGGAAGGTAAAAAAAAATACCATAGAATATACATATATATATATATATATATATATATACTTTATAGTTTTTTAATCTAATTAATGATGGGACCTCAATTACTAAATTGTCCAAGTGGGGTTGACCTTTTTCCATAGTAGAAGACTTGAAAGCCTGGTTTTATGACTACATGAGGGGTAATATTGTCAGGTGAAATTTTAATTTTTTACGATTAAACATCGTGTGAGTTACGATAATGTCGATGGAGAAGCTGCCGTGGAGTTAAGGCAAGACCCGGTAACAAACCGGTAACCGGAAGCAAGGTAGAGAGATTGGATGACTGACACGTGTTGGTAGATGATGGGGCTTTATTGCCGGCTTTAGGTAGAAGACTACGTGGAGGCACGATAAAAAAGGGTATCGACACGTCGGATGGGAATAAAGGCGCGCAGATTAGGATTCAACGCGTTTTGGATGAGGAGGGAATCTGGCCGTACACGTGTGGAGAGAGTTTCGGGTGCCTGGGGGTCAGAAACCGTGTGGGGTCATGATACCCTTGGTCCCCAATTGGATCGTTAATATCCATGATTAGGGCCCAATTACAGATCTTTAAGCCCACCAAGAGTTGGACCAAGAGATGGACTGCGGTAAGTAGATATATATATATATATATATATATATATTCAAGGCATATGATTGATAAATATTAAGAAAAATTATGAATGTCATTGATTTTTCATGAAAAAGAATAAAATTTTTATGAGGTTATTATTTTCTAAATGCATTGTTAAGAAATAGAAAAAAGAGCAAAAAAAAAAGGGAAAAATTAAAAACTGAGAGGAAACTTAGAAAAAATGAGAAATTGTCTCAATTTATCCTTATATTTTATGCATAGTTTTTAATTTGTCTTTACATGTCTAATTGCTCTCGATTTATTTATGAATGTTGTGTTTTGTTTGTCATGAAAAAATGTAAAAGAAAATTACTATTGTATCCTTAAAACTCGAAGCATCTAATTGAATAATAAAATATATATCTTTTTAATATAAAAGCACATGTTCTTGTGTCTGAAATTAATATATAAAAATGGATCGCACAATAAACACGACTTTATGAAATTATAACTACTAAGTAAAATAATAGCCTATTAAAAAATTACATTACATAAATATTATATCAATTATTTTGACAAAAGACTAAAATTACCTAAATATTTATTAGTTTTCCGAATTCATAATCCAACAAATGCTAGTTATTCAAAATAATAGTCTTTCGCTTGATGAATTATGCATTTCTCAAAATATCACTTATCTTATAAGAATAAGTGGTGTTTTTCTCGTAGACAAGACAGCTTGAGATAATTTAAGTGTTTGAAATACAATTTAACGATAAATTTTATCTCATTTTATTACAGCTTGACAGTTTTCGGATATTTTGTATCAAATCAAGTAATTTGAATCTCAAACTATTAATTTTTTGGTAAAATTGATCTAATTTCCTTAATTATTGTTACATATAAGAGTAAATTAGATTGATCGTTACTTTGAATCGTTATTTTAAATGTCAAAGAGATATCGTTTTATAATTTATAGAATAGTTTGAAATTTAAATTATATAATTTTATATTAAAATTAAAATTGTCGAATCACAATAGAATATAAGTAAAATTTAGTATTAAACTTTTGAAATACCATGTGAATTCTTCTTTTATAAAAAAGACGAGTGGTCATTTTTGTTGACTGAGAATCTCGAATGACTTTTAAGAAGATTGGGGGGAGGATTACATTGAGATTAACTTACAAGCAAATGCCTTGTCTGGCCAATTAAGAGTTGGCCAACATATTTAGCTCACGTCTCCATCTAATTGATTGAAACACTTTAGAACTCGTGACAATGTTCTTCATTCAGGTTGACCCATTGGACTCGATTAAGAGTGAGTCTCAATTTCTTATCCTTACAATACCATCAAATGTATCCAATTCACTGTTTCAACACAATTTTTTTTTTTTAATCAATTGAACATGTTTAATTGGTGGTGTCATAACAAAAAAATTTAAAATAATAAGTTTTAAAAAGCAAAGGATCTCTATCAAGTTCAAAAAATAAAAATAAAAAATTGAAGAGTAAAAAGCCTAAATATATTATGCATCGTTGTTAAATGTGGCTTGGATCAATGAGTTGATTTGGAATTAAGTTTTTCTCGTTTAGGCTTCTTTTTTTTTAAAAAAAAAAAAAACTTGATAGATATATTTTACTTTATATATATATATATATATGGCTTGGATCAATGAGTTGGTTTGGAATTAAGTTTTTCTCATTTAGGCTTTTTACTTTTTTTTTTTTTTTAACTTGATAGATATCTTTTACTTTTTAAACTTAATTATTTCAAATTTTTTTGTTATAATCCCACCAATTAGAGATCTACACATGACATTGTAAAGTAGAAAAGCTTGAAAAGTAAAAATTACGTATCAATCAGTTGATTGGTGGTGTTATAACGTAGAGTATGAAATAATAAGTCTCGAAGGATAGATAGTCTCAATCAAGATAAAAAACAAGTAAAGAATTTCTATAAAAAAAAAAATTCAAAAAGTGCAAAATCTAAATATGGGAAAAACTTATCCAAAAATATAAAAAACTTAACCTTAGTTGGGTCGTATTTGCCATTGAACCAAATAAATCGATAATTCAATCAAACTTGTTCATCTTGTCAAAACTCAATCAATTAAATAAAACAAATTTATCTTTTAGTTTTTAATTGAAATTGAAAGAATCAGACATATAGGTCAATCTAAACACCCTATAAAGTGACCTAATAATTCGATAGTATGATTTTTTCATCGGATCATGTGGAGAGTTGGATTCAAAAATTATAATATCATGTAATAAAAGTCCATCTTTAAAAAAAAAGAAAAAAAAAAAGAAAAGAAAATCGACAACCCAATTGAGAAATAACTGAAAAGGACGAAATTGAGAATTGGGCAATAGTTTATGTACAAAATTAAACTCAAACCTGAAATGTAAAATCACTCTCTTCAACCTGTTTTTCTTTAGCAAAATCAAAAACCCTAAGTCTTCCTCTGTCCCTCCTCAACACAGAAAACATGACACTCGAAATCGAAGCTCGCGAGTAAGTTCTCTTTCCTTTCCTTAAGAAAAACAAGACACAACACATCAATTTCCTGTCTCTGACTTAGTTTCTCTTAATATATATATATATATATTTTTTTGCAGTGTAATAAAAATAGTGCTGCAGTTCTGCAAAGAACACTCTCTGCACCAAACATTCCAAACCCTACAAAATGAATGCCAAGTCTCCTTAAACACAGTGGACAGCATTGAAACATTCGTAGCTGACATAAACGGAGGAAGATGGGACACGATTTTACCTCAAGTTGCTCAACTTAAGCTACCGAGGAATAAGTTAGAGGATTTGTACGAACAGATTGTTTTGGAAATGATTGAGTTACGAGAATTGGATACTGCTCGTGCTATTTTAAGACAGACTCAAGCTATGGGTGTCATGAAGCAGGAACAGCCGGAAAGATATTTGAGGCTCGAGCATTTGCTTGTTAGAACTTATTTTGATCCTAATGAGGTTGGTGAGAAAAAAGGAAGGATTTTTACTCTTTTTTTTGCGTTTTTAATGGGTTTTGTTAGTTTTAGTTAAGATTTGGATTTCATTTAATGTACTTAGGTTTTTGTTACTACTTTGTTTGATCTGATTTTAGCAAGAAATATGGGATTTGAATGTAAGGTGTAACTGTACAACGGGAGTAGTGAAGATTTAGACTTTTTGTTTCTAGTCAACGAATATCTGATTTTTTTGGGCCTAAGACTTGGGAATTGTGTGAAACATGACAGGCTTATCAAGATTCAACAAAGGAGAAACGACGTGCGCAGATTGCCCAAGGTTTTTTCCCCATATTTGTGCTGTTAATGGTTGTTGCTTATAATTGTGAAGATTCTGGACGTTATTTGGGATTAGAATGTGATTTACGGGTGTTTTTGGCATAAAAGTAGAGTCAATTGTAGAATAGAATGCAGGGAATGAATTGTGTTGAAGTGCGAAAGGTTTAAGAAGCAAATAGAGACAGTGGAAGCAAGGAATTTTTTTTTTTTTTTTTATTCTATAACTTCCAGTATGCTTGTTCTGATTGTGCTTTTGTTTACTATTCTGTTTTGTTTATGAGTGCATTTTTTCCTGCTGTATTCAGCTCTTGCTGCAGAAGTTACTGTGGTGCCACCTTCGAGATTAATGGCTCTAATTGGTCAGGCTCTCAAATGGCAGCAATACCAAGGTAAACTTCTGCATATAAATGATACTTTAAACCTAATGGTGGAAGCCTTTTCAATGAATCACATTGTTTTGTTTCCCTTAGATAGGCAAAATATGCACAAGAGAATTCGTGTTGCCTCTAAAAAAATGTTATTTTCTTAAAATTATACTTTTTTTTTCATGCATCTTTTGTTTGGAGCACTTTATTTTCAACCAAAGGTTGATCCTCGAAATCTCTGCACACGGAAGTGGACAATGGGAAATGTGATGCACTTTTTGTCATTTACTTTCACTGCAAAGATAATGGAAGCCATTTTGTTTGCCTCATCCAGGGTTGCTTCCTCCGGGAACTCAGTTTGATCTATTCAGAGGAACAGCTGCCATGAAACAAGATATAGATGATATGTATCCAACAACTCTTTCACACACCATAAAGGCAGGTGCATTTATCCAAATTTATTACATGGACCCTTTCGAATGATATGAGAATTCTAAGAACAATGAAAAGGGTGATCAGTATACTCAGGCCAAAAACAATTGTTAGTTTTATTCGGTTTGCATGTATTACTTTGTAGTCTGTACAGATGCAGCACCCTTAAATTGTTAGCTCCTCATATTACACCCTGTTGTATTCTTCTGCAGTTTGGAACGAAAAGTCATGCAGAATGCGCTAAATTCTCACCAGATGGGCAATTCCTTGTCTCGTGCTCTATTGATGGGTTTGTCGAGGTATTATTTTGGAAACTGCTTCCAGGTGATGAAAGATTAGTGAATGAGTCTTTAGTGATATTTGATTTGTCTATCATTGCTAGGTGTGGGATCATGTAAGTGGAAAGCTCAAAAAGGATCTTCAGTACCAGGCTGATGTGAGTTTTCTTTTTATTACCTTCTGTGTTTGCTTTTTTTGGCTTGTAATGTTATCAATAGCAGGAAAGGGATAGTGTAGTGTTTTCTGTTGATATTATATAGTTCTCATGCATTTCCCAACCTCACTTGATAAATTCCCAATCCTTTATTTCGTCTGTCTAATGCTATGGAATAACATCTTGTAAAAGGAACATCTAAGCTTTATCCCTGTATCATATATCATCCCAAATTGATCCCAAATTGGTATCCTGTAGCTTGTAAAGATTCACAGGCAACCAATTAACTCAAGCATGTGCCAAAACTTGAGTAGAGAAAGAATGAAAAGTAGATCACGAGAAGGGATTATTTCCATGTGTCCTTTGGTTGTTTCAAATTGATTTAGGATGCCGTCATTTTACATTGGAGTTGTTCTTTGCTTGTTGTGTATTTACTGGTAAAAATGTAAAATCTTTTCAGGAAACTTTCATGATGCATGATGATCCTGTCCTCTGTGTTGATTTTAGCCGAGATTCTGAGATGCTTGCATCTGGAGCCAAAGATGGGAAGATCAAAGTAAGTCATAATCTTACATGCTTGCATCTATTTCATAGCTCTGAATTATCTCTTTTTTTAATCCTACATAACATCTAATGCTATTTATGTTCTTTAGTTCTCTAGATGGTTGTGCATCTTTAAATTATCCATGAAGTTCATAAAGCTTCCTTCTGAGAGAATAGAGGAATTAGTTTATAAAGATATTATGAAGTATGAGTTCTTGAGAAAACTTGATAACTTTACTGGGAGCGGAAAGTGTAAATTTTTCTCAAGAGAATTAGGGAGAGCTAAAAAAAAAAGTCACGAACAAGATAAAACTTGAGAAGCTTTTACGACTTGACGCTTTAGTTTTGATCATGGTTGTATGTATTTGATTTTATTGATTTTGCAGATTGTAAGGACTAAGAGAATTCTTTGGACGAAAAAAATTGTTATTATATACAGAATGATAACATTGATGTTTTAGCATACCTTTTCTATTTAAGCATTATGTGTTTTTCCAGCTCAGGTGAAATTTGCATTGCTGGTGAGGGCATATGGAAAAATGATTTAAAGTTGGAATTCAACATTGCCATATGTAAGAAACTTCGTCTAACATGTAATTTTTCTCAGGTCTGGCGTATACGTACTGGCCAATGCTTGCGTCGTCTTGAACGTGCACATTCTCAGGGAGTCACAAGTCTTGCCTTCTCTCGTGATGGAAGCCAGCTGCTAAGTGCATCCTTTGACAACACTGCCAGGTTTGATTAAATTAATGGCATTTTTATATAGCAAGTTAACTTGTGTCTATAGTGACCCTGTTTACCACTGTAATGCAGCTCATGGTTTGGAGTTGACACCTTTTAACATTAGTATCTTTAATTTCTATTTTACTCAGGTGGTCATTGAGTTTCTAACTTGAGTCATTTCCATATCCATACAACATTATTTTACTTATTTTCTTGCTATTAATTTTAAGATGACTATATTTTGCTTTCTTGTAGAATCCATGGCCTAAAATCTGGGAAGTTGTTAAAAGAATTCCGTGGCCATTCATCATATGTGAATGATGCCATCTTCACTAGCGATGGAACTCGTGTTATTACTGCCTCCAGTGATTGCACAGTCAAGGTAAGTCACTCATTAAGGTGCAGAATTTTCATTCGATTACATTTCTCCTCTCTCTTGCCTAACAGATTTCCCTTTTGCCTTCTAATAGGTTTGGGATATGAAGAGCACTGACTGTATACATACATTCAGGCCACCACCACCATTGAGGGTACATTTTCTCAATCCAATGTGCACGATCATGATTGAGCAATTTAGGTGCCTTGTCTTGTGGGGCTTACCTGCGATAGAATACATCTATTTTATCTTGCTTCTTGTTATATGTCATGCTTTTGCCTTCTATAGTGCATAGCTGATTGTTGCTTTTTGTTTGAATGGTTAGGGAGGTGATGCTTCTGTGAACTCTGTTCATCTTTTCCCAAAAAATACTGATCATATTGTTGTATGTAACAAGACATCTTCGATATACATTATGACACTTCAAGGACAGGTATTTTTTATTAACTCTAGCTGATGCTAGTAGTTTGTCGCTCATTTGTTGCTCTTCCATGATTGAATTTTGGGGTTTGACCAAATTTTAAATAGTGTACCAACTACTTTTTTGACATCAAACTATTGACAGTTTTGTAGCAGCTTTTAGCATATTTTATTAGTCTTAGACCACCTTAAAAGCTAACATTCTATAGATAGATTTCGATTCTATATTTTAGTGGTTAAGTTACTTTGTTTTTGTTCAGTGAAACTCTTTCAGAGTGCATAAGTTGAGGAGTTTAGATAATTCATCATCAATAACGTCTTGCTTTGAGTGATTGTTATTGCAGGTTGTGAAGAGCTTTTCTTCCGGTAAAAGAGAAGGTGGAGATTTTGCTGCAGCCTGTGTATCACCGAAAGGGGAATGGATCTACTGTGTTGGTGAAGACAGGTATTCTTCATCCATCTGATTCTGATATAAAATTTTCAATTATATTTTGTATTTATTTTTCTCATAAAATAACAAGTTATTAAAAAGAAGAGAAAGATGAAGACATCAGTCTATTGTTGAGAATACGTTTGAGAGATGGGTATTTGAGATGATTTAATTTTGTTAATAACTGTACTCCAAATTGCCTGCAGGAATATTTACTGCTTCAGCTTCCAATCTGGCAAACTAGAGCATCTAATGAAGGTGAGTTTTCACTAGGTGGAAACTAAGGTGGCAGGGTCTAGGGTTTTGGGTTGCTATCTGATTCGTGAATTTCCTATCTTTTATATCCAGGCACCATTGTAATATTTTGTAAAAATAAACTTATAGTTCTCTATTGTGTGTGGTGGTATAAACCTGAAGGAGAGATAAAGGAGGGAAGAAAAGGAAGAGTCTGGGCTGGAGTTAGCTTTCCTTGTTTCAACTATGAGGGAGGGCTTTTAGGTTGCTATATGATATAGTTAGGGGAAATAAGCTTACATCATGTTAAACTGCTAAGAAATTTACGTTTGCAAATTCTTTCATGTTATCATTGCTTTCTGGGGCCAACTAATTTAACATCTAACCTCCACATCCACACTATAGATAAGTTATCTTACCATCGGGGATCCTTCTCTGAGCTTGTATTGTCATGTTTTTTGTTCTTTAAATCAGTTAAAGAAATTGAATAGTTGGTGTCTTTTTAATTGGTTACTTTTCTACTTGTTACGTGCAATTTCGAGCATAGATCATTCTAACTTCGCAAGTGCACACTTTGGCTTTTGGTAATGCCAGGTTCACGAGAAGGATGTAATCGGCGTGACCCATCATCCTCATAGGAATCTTCTTGCTACCTACAGTGAAGATAGTACAATGAAACTATGGAAGCCTTGAATTTTCTGCATTGACCGATTTACTTCTCTCCTGGAAGCCACCTTTTAGCTCTGTATCATTTGTTACTCGCATTTTTTTGAAAAGCAACTTCCATTTGTCAAGGAGCCGCCTGTAACTGGCCAGTCAGAGTCCGAGAGGCAGGAACCGGTAGGAAGGGTTGATTTTAGATTGAAGACTGTCCATGAAAATGATGATTTATTGCCTGTATCATTTGGAAGAGAGATTCTTTGTTGTAGTTTAAGATTTTGAATACATTTCTTGTATAGTAAACTAGTTCAAGATGTCTGTTATATTCTCCTTGTCAGTCTGCATCTCTCACATTCACGACACATCGGAATGGCAATGGGGCATCCCTGCCCCACCCCGCCTCTGATAATTTTGCCCTGTCCTCACATCGTGTCTTGCGCAGGGTAATATTTCTCATATCATTCTCATCTTAAACGGGGACGGGGATTCTCGTGGAGGCATCAATGTTTAATTTTTGGTTTTTGTTTTCGTCTCGTTTTATTATGTTATCAAATTTTAAACTATAATAAAAAAATAATAGCTCATATGATCAATAGTTATAGATTTTATATAAGGTATAATTATAATTTTAAAAATAAAGTAGGGCGAACGGGACAAGCAGGATGGGGTAGGCAAATGTTATTTCTGTCTCATCTCTGTTTAAAATTAATACGAGCACCTTGTTCCTCAATCAACTCAGGAATTCTTGCGTTAATTGAGGGGGGCAAATTGCCATCCTAGACACAATAAATTATCTAGCCTCAAGTACACTTGAAGTTATCATCTCTGAACGTATTTCTTCTGAGCTGTTGTGATCAGCTCCATCGACTAGCAACCTCTCTTCCGGTTGCAGGGGCGGATAGTCGTGAAAGAAGAATTGGGGTTGGGCAGAGCCAATTGTAAGTAAACATTAAGCCTAACTTGAGTTGCCTTCAAATTCAAGAAAGCCTAACATCCAGCTAGAAAGAACTTAAAAAGGTGATTCAACCAGAAAGAATTTAATCGAGTGTGCCAAAAATTGACCTGTTCTTTATAATCGCAATAGAAGTGTCTCTGCAAGCGTTTCGAGATCCCTTCCAGCAATTTCAAGCACCATTTGACTCTCTTTTCAATCCCATATTACCCTTAGCTATTATCTCTAAACCCAAAAATACCCTCAATAACGTTCATGACCGTTTAAACCCTACAAATAACGCATTAACCTTGTCCTATTAAAAAAAAAAAACAAAAAAAACAAAAATCCCTCGTACTGGAAGTAAAGAAACAGGGACAGTTATCTACAGATGCCATCTTCTTCTACTTAGTATGCACTACACAAAACTATCTTCAATACCTAAACATTTCAGAAATACTACTTGGCTGAAGACAAAGTCTTTACAGACAAACTTCAAAAAGTCTTAAAAGATCCAATCTTTTTAAACACTGAAGACTTTCTAGCCACCCAACTTGAATCAATCTTGCAAAAACCAAGTCCAAAACTTCAACAAGGAAAACAACTACATGCCCAATACATTGTTAATGGTGTAAACATCACAAACAATGGCTTATTGGGTGGAAAAATATTGGGTATGTATGTTCTTTGTAATAATTTTGTGGATGCTAAGAAACTGTTTTATCAGCTTGAGTTTTATTTTGCCATGCCTTGGAATTGGATGATTAGAGGGTTTGTTAAAATGGGCTGTTTTGATTTTGCACTGTTGTTTTATTTTAAAATGTTGGGTTGTGGTGTTTTGCCTGATAAGTATACTTTGCCTCCTGTGATTAAGGCTTGTAATGGTTTGAATAATGTGAGATTAGGGAAGGTGGTTCAGGATATGATTTTGGAGATGGGTTTTGAGTTGGATATGTTTGTTAGTAGTTCTTTGATGAAGTTGTATGCTGAGAATGGCTGTATAGAGGATGCCAGGAACTTGTTTGATAAAGTGATTGATAAAGATTGTGTTTTGTGGAATGTGATGATAAATGGTTATGCGCAGTGTGGGGAATCTGATAGTGCTATCAAACTGTTTAAGTATATGAGGAGTTCTGAAGCTAAGCCTGATTCCGTGACGTTTGCTTGTATTCTTTCTGTCTCTAGCTCTGAGCCAATGGTTGAGTATGGGAGACAGCTTCATGGGCTTGTTGTTCATAGTGGGTTGGAATTTGATCCTCTGGTGGGGCATACACTAGTGACTATGTATTCGAAAGGCGGGCATTTGGGTGATGCGCGTAAGTTTTTTGATGTGATGCCTCAGATTGATTTGGTTGTTTGGAATAGGATGATCGGTGGATATGTACAAAACAGGTTTATGGATGATGCTTCAACGTTGTTTAATGAGATGATATCTGCCGGCCTTAAACCAGACTCGGTCACTTTAACTAGTTTCCTTCCATCAGTTACTGAGTCATTGAATCTCAGACAAGGTAAGGAAATTCATGGTTATATAGTGAGGCATGGTGTGATTTTGGATGTGTACTTGAAGAGTGCTCTTATTGACTTATACTTTAAATGCAGGGATGCCGTGATGGCATGCAAGATTTTTAACCAAAGTACAACATTTGATATTGTAATATGCACGGCTATGATTTCAGGCTATGTGCTTAATGGTAAGAATAATGATGCTTTAGAAATCTTTAGGTGGTTACTTGAAAAGAAGATGATTCCAAATGCTTTAACCTTTTCAAGTCTATTGCCAGCATGTGCTGGTTTGGCTGCTCTAAAATTGGGGAGGGAATTGCATGGTAACATCCTCAAGAATGAGTTAGAAGGGAACTGTCTTGTGGGAAGTCCAATTATAAACATGTATGCAAAATGCGGAAGATTGGATCTTGCATACCTAGTTTTTGGTAGAATATCTGAAAAGGATGCAATTTGTTGGAACTCGATAATCATAAGCTGTTCCCAGAATGGCAAACCAAAGGAGGCCATTGATCTTTTTCGTAAAATGGGGATGGAAGGAATGAAGTATGACTACGTGAGTGTTTCAGCTGCCCTCTCTGCTTGTGCAAACATTCCAGCGCTTCAGTATGGGAAAGAGATACATGGTTTTATGATCAAAGGTGCATTTGATTCTGATCTTTTTGATATGAGTGCACTGATGGAAATGTATGCCAAATGTGGGAAGCTAAATATTGCTTGCCAGGTTTTCAACTTGATGCAGGAGAAGAATGAAGTTGCATGGAATACCATCATTGCTGCTTATGGGTACCATGGTCGCCTTGAGGATTCTCTTGCTCTGTTTCATAATATGTTGGAAGAAGGAATTCAGCCAGATCATGTCACCTTTCTTGCTATTTTATCTTCTTGCGGCCATACTGGGCAGGTCGAGGATGGTGTTCACTACTTCCACCTCATGACTGAGGAATATGGTATCCCAGCTCAGATGGAGCATTATGCTTGCATGGCAGATCTGTTTGGCCGTGCAGGCTGTTTGGACAAAGCATTTGAAATCATAAAAAGCATGCCATTTTCACCTGATGCTGGTGTTTGGGGCACTTTGTTGGGAGCCTGTCGGGTTCATGGCAATGTTGAACTCGCTGAAGTGGCTTCAAGATATCTACTTGACATGGACCCAAAAAATTCTGGTTACTATTTATTGCTTTCACATGTACTTGCTGATGCTGGACAATGGAGGAGTGTGCAGAAGATACGACATTTGATGAAAGAAAGAGGAGTCCACAAAGTTCCTGGATGCAGTTGGGTTGAGGTCAACAGCACCACTCATATATTTTATGCTGCAGATGGAAGTCACCCAGAGTCTCCTCAGATCTATTATTTACTGAAGTGTCTCCTCCTGGAGCTAAGAAACGAGGGTTATGTTCCTCAAGCTATATGAACAGCTTGTTTTGGAAATAATTGAATCTTGAGAATTGGGCATGGCACAAGCAATTTTTAGACAAATGCTGGTAATGGGATAATGCAACAGGAACAAGATGAATGATATTTGTGGCTCGAGCATCTTCTTCATTTGATCTTATTTCAATCTAAATGAGGTTAGAACAAAAAAAATAGTTTTAATTATTGTTTACTGCTTATCCTTTACTTTTTTATGTGCCGAATAATGAAACTGGTTATTTTTATCTAATTTTCAGCTTTATAGTACTTTGTGTGTCAAAAAATGTTTTTTTAAAGCCTAAACAGAATTATCTGCAACATGACATGCTTACCAAGAACCGACTAAAGAGAAAGGACATGCACAGTTTACTCTAGTTTTTCCCCTTATTTACACACTGAGTAGGCACTCCCCAAGGTAACCCTATACTTTAACAATGTGAAAGATTTCAGTGAACAAATGGTGAAGCCTCGTTAATATATTACATTTTTGTTGTATCACTTACTTGGAGCTGCTCCTAAAAGGCTCCTTTTCTTATAAATTTTTTAAGTATGCATCAACATTTGCTTTGAATGCATTTTTCTTTAAAGTATTTGATGACTCGAAAAATTTGGCTACTTGGCAGTTGGCTCATACAGGATTGCTTCCTCCCGGGACACAGTTCCACTTTTTTCTAGAAACAGCTTCTATGAAACAAGATGTAGATGACATGTATGCAACAACTCTTGAACTTGCGATTAAGGTTGGTTTACATAGCCATAGTTATTATGCTTATGTATGTGCATGGCAGATTTGTTTGGCCGTGCAGGACGTTTGGGCGAAGCGTTTGAAATCATAAAAAGCATGCTGTTTTCACCTGATGCCGGTGTTTGGGGCACTTTGTTGGGAGCCTGTCGGGTCCATGGAAATGTTGAACTTGCTGAAGTGGCTTCAAGATATCTACTTGACTTGGACCACAAAAAGAATAACAAAAATTTATGAATCTTTTCGCATAAAGCGGTGAAATAAAGCATAAAACAACAACCAAGGATCTCATATAAAAAACAAATCATGGATCTAATTTAGTAATTTGATAAATTTTGATGTATTATTATTTTTTAGATTTTAATTATTGAATTTTGTTGACCTATTTTAAAGTATTTTTAGAGTTTTTAATGGTCAAAATAAAATGCCAATAAGGTACTATATGTGTTAGGGGTGATTCAGTAAGCATATATATTAGTTAATATTTTATGTTATGTATAAATAGACAATAAATGGAAAAACGGGATTAACCTACTTCTTAGGAATTATATCAGTGCTTTAGTTTTTTTTTATAAAATTCAGTTTACATATTAGTATTGGCATATATTTTATATTGTCATCTATAAAAGGAATATAAATATTTTCCATTTATGTAGAGTAGAAATATTTTTAATTTTGGCATATAGATTTTTTTTTTCAATGTAAGAAATATATTTGGTATTTATCAATAAAGTCCTTTTAATACATGTGACAATTTTTAAAATTTAAGAGTACTTTTATCAAATCAAATGTTTTGACAAAAAGTTTGTGCTAGTTATGGATTTTTTAAGGTATGCATCAACGTCTGCTTTGAGTTCATTTTTTTTTTAAAGTGATGCTCTAAATTTGGCTACTTGGCAGTTGGTTCATTCAGTATTGCTTCCTCCTGGGACACAGTTCCTCTTATTTCTAGAAACAGCTGCAATGAACGAGATGGGGATGATATCTCTTGCACTTCCATTCAGTTCACAGCCTCGGTGGACACTATGCTAGGTATGGCATCCTACTTGAATTTGGAACTGGGGTTAGGAAGATCAATAGCATAGATATTAGAAGTCTGCTGATATATACAGAACTTTTGAAGTTGATTTCAATGTCATTGCTTTGGAATCCAACATATAGAAGACTGCACAAGGAGAGAACAATAATAGTAGATTAAAATACTAGATGTCCATAGCTCCTTTACTGCAAGAATATTATTTGCCAAAGATTCTGTTTTAGTACTATTAAGTTGGGGACAATGCCGAAAGTGGAAAAGAAATGAAAAGGCAAAGTAAAGCAACACAAAGACCTCAATAATCAAGAAAACTCCTCTCAAAAAAGGCCCTATCCCTCTATTTCTTTTTGATAAATTTTCATGATCTTCTGTAGCTAAAAGAAATCTATAGATTATAAAAGCTAATTAGCAAGGGCCATGAAGCAGTCTGATGATTACCATGTTGGTTCATAGGCAGCACTCATGGATAAGAAACTTAATATAATAGAAACATGACCAAATCCTGAAGTGGTAACTAGACTAAAGTCGTTGGTGTTCTTAATTCTTTCCATGACATCCCTTGCCATTCAGAATTGGAACTTGGGTATTGTTTGTCCATGATGCATTCATTATGTATATGACAGATGCATGATGTCTGCAAAAATTCTTTTTATGTCTAATGAGCAGTGGTGCTAGCTCCGTAGTTGATACGAAGACGTTGGCAGATAAACAATTCCCTTTATTGCTATAGCATACAAAGTTGCAATCAAGGATAAGTTTTAGATCAACAATTCCCTTTATTGCTATTGCATACAAAGTTGCAATCAAGGATAAGTGTTGTTATTCTAATCCCACCATGCTTTGCTGCTTAAAGTGAGGACCAGACTCTGATTAGTTTTAAGAAATAGGCCCCATCTTGCATGGACATAATCTCCGTATCTTTCCAGCATAATTTGCACCTTGCTGTCTAAATCTGATTCTGATTTGAAGCATATTTTTTTTTAATGAACCAGCTGTCTGTAATAGCATGTGAGATTGTTTTCCACGGCAGTGCCGCACATGCGTCCGCACACACACACACACACAATTCAGGGAAGAAAACATATTATGGCTACAGGAGCCAACCCTTACCTGCATAGGAATTTTGGATTTGAAGCAAATCTGTTGAGTTGAAGTTGGCACCTAAAAGATCTATCCAGCTTTTGAGCTTGTTTGTTTGTTTCAGGGTGGAGAATGTCTTGTTCCTAAATAGAATGCATTTCCCCTTTCCCCTTTCCTCTCTGTTTTGCATGACTTGTGATGGAAATCAAGCTGTCTTTCTTGGCAGAACTGCTGTACGTTTTAAGGGACTTGGAGTTCCTTATAATTCTTTTCATCATTGAAGAGATATTATTTGCTGGAATTAAATCAAATTATTAAAGCAAGCTTTGAAGATTCATTCTCTTCTCTTTTCTTTTTTCTTTATCAAGGCTAAACGGTCCAAACCTCTCTTAAATTTTAAATCATTTGAAAATTGATCTCTCAACTTTCAATTTTCAATTGGACTTTCTTTCAATTATTTTTCATTTGAAATTGGATCCTAATATTAAGTTTCATCAATTCTCATGTGTAGGTGCAATTTCTCATCAGTTAAAGCTAACCACATGTAAGTAACGTGTATTTTTATCGTTAGAATTGATCGAAACCTAATTAAAAAATCTAATTTTAAATAAAAAATAATTGAAGAGATGTCCAGTCCAAAGTCAGAATTTGAGAAATTTATTTTCAAATGATTTAAATTTCAGAAGATATTTAACCTTTTTCTCAGCAAACAAATTAAACACACTAGTGTAGAGGTAGATCAATAGCGATTTACTATATGTATACAAACTTTGAGACAATTTTACTATACGTATACTAACTTTCAGACAACTACGTATTCATTTGCCATGACATGCAATTCTGTAAAACATAAAATAATGTTATTTGCAATATAATTTATCAAATTACATGACATTTATTAGAGTGGAAGTAGGTAAGCATACTGCATCATCGCATGTAGGGCCTAATGTGGGCAACAGATGTTATCCATATAAGATGCTAATATCTGTAATCCTCTAAATAAAGTTAGGAGATAAAAAAAAAAAAAAAAAAACCAGTTGGATGGTATAAAATAATGCTGAAAATATACCACTAATAAGTCATGATTAAAGTTGGGTGATGAATTGAAGGAAAATAATGTGCTCAACTGCCCATCTAAAGCAGAAACCTCTATCCACCACTACTTTCTTAGAGAAAGGGAATTGGTCAATGTCCAAGCCTTGGCCTTCCAATAGAAGAGTCGTGTGGGTATGAAAAGATGTCTTGGATATAAGAAACACACCCCATGAGAAAACAGACGTATCGTTGGATTTTCCTTCTAACATTGATGAACACAGATGAGAAAAGGGAGTTTCACAGGAAACAAACAAGAGCTGGAAAATGGACTCCATAATTATTAAGATGATGATGATTTTGCTGGTTGTGGTACTTCTTTTTCCCCTTATCTTATAACAAAGATTGTCTCATCAAACATCATAAAATTTTTGACTGCTGATGCCTCATTAGCTTGTTTTAGGATGCCAAATTGATGTCTTAAAATAGTTTTTTTTTTTTTTTTTTTTTTTTAATGTATGGAGAAAGATAAATCAAGGCAAAAAGATTATTATAGTTTGAATGTTGCTGCAGAAGTGAAAAAAATAAATAAAACTATCATACAACTAATCATCGGGATTTTGACCCAAAATAGAGGAAAAGCTAGCTATTGAGATTGGGAGATGGATTTTCAATATTATTTCTTTCGGAAATTCTAATTTCCCCACCAAAACGTTTATGAATTATTTGATGCAATAGCTATAACTTCTCTGAAAAACTATATCTCATTTATGTGTTCATGAGATGAAAAAAAGGATTATAGAATCATTTCCACCTTATTTTCAATCTGCAAAGAAGACTATTTTCTTAAATTTGTTTTTCATTGCCATAAATATTTTTGGATTTGAAAGAAAATTAGGGCTTGCAATCAAGCTTGATGAGTTGATTGCTTATAGATCTCTGGACTGTTTAAATCTTAGGAAAATCTGAGCAACATTTCAAACTAGGAGAATAGGGATTTTCTCTTTTAATTACCAACACCAAAAACACATTAGTACACAGAAGAACAAGGAAAAGTAATTAACCAGATCAGACTAAACCCTAGCTTGCATTACAATATTACCTTAAATATATTACATTACATATCCTTCTAAACCCTAGATCAATTAAGAACTACTACTTTTGTTGTTGCCTTAGTTGAACACAGACACATCCCCCACATTAACGACAGCAGCCCCATTTGGGAGGATATTTCTTGGAACATATCCACCAGTTCCACCATTACCAATTATAACTCGTTGAACATGACTATAAGTACCATTTCCTGCAGTTTGTAACTTCTGTTGCTGTTGCTGTTGTGTTTGGTTCTTTCTCTTCTTCTTCTCATAAGCTATCCCTCTAGCTTTAGCCTGTGCATCTCTCACTTCCCTCAAGTACAATCTCACAGCGCGTGCACCAAAAGGGTTTGTCTCAGGAAGTCCACCGTTCTCTTCAAAGGCGGCACGGAGGCGGCCGATGAGAGCATCGAGGCTGCCCCATGCTTGCTTGAGAGGGCAAGAGCAAGGGGACGGTGGATGGGGTTGGCCAAAAAAAGGACAACTTTGGTTATGCACCTTGGTCTTGCCAAACTGATCAAGATATCTCAAGAACTCCAAAACATGGGCTCCGCTGCACCGAGCTAGTGCTAGTGGTGGCCTGTGGTTTCTCAGGTACTGCCCGAAAGTGTTCCAGTCTCGTCGCTTTTGAGATTCGTAGCGACTTAATGGTAGTGGCATCGGTGGTGGTGGTGGTGATGGTGATAGTAATCCTTGCTGCAAGTGGGGGCTCTCCGAAGTTCCCGACGAACCACTCCTTGCAGAATTGCATGACATAGTGGCCGCAGCGGCGGCAGCAGCAACAGCAGCTGACATGTTACAAGTCTTGTTGAAGATGGAGCTAAGAGATTGCTTGTTTTCCTGAGGAATCACATAAAATGGGAAGGAGAAGAAGGGGAAAGAAAGAGGAGATGCAACATTAATGGAAGAGAAGAGAGACGTGCAAGAGAATATATAAAGCAAGGGCTCACAGAGAGGAATTGCGAAGAGAGGACTGGTTGATGTGAGATGTGGAGAAGGAGACAAAAGAGGGACCCATGCAAAGAAACCCACGTCGAGAAGGGATGACAGTTTGAATATCATGTCACAAATGTCACTTCAAGCTTTTGTTTTCACCTGTGCCTCTCTCTCTTTGTTTTTCATCTCTCGTTTTCAACTTTCATTTTAAGGGATGTCTCCCTTGATGGTTAATGACTTGATGGTCAAGTGACTGTATCCCAAGATGGTTGAGAAGTAAAATTCTCATTAATTGTTTTGTTTCAGAATCTCTAGTATTACAGGAAAAAAAAAAAAAAAAACTCGATCACAGTACAAATTGATCATAAGATACCAGAATATCATTGGGGCTAATTAGGATTAATAAAACAATTAAAAGAAAATATTGATTGATGATTAATGTTATTAGTCAATTTACACTTGCTCGTAATTTTCATGAATTCTTTGTTTTGGAGTTTCTTGATTTAAAGAAAAGGGAAATTAATATAACTATATTACTAGAGCTAATTATGATCAATAAAACAAGAAAAATATTGATTGATGATTGATATTATTGTTAATTTTACACTTGTTTGTAACTCTCATGAATTTATTGTTTCGAGTCTCTCGTATCACCTAGAAGAACTTGATCATCATATAAATTGATATGAGAACATCACTGAATTTAATTAATAAAACAAGAAAATATTGGTTGATGATTGATGTTATTGTTTAATTTACACTTGTTTGTAATTCTTATGAATTCTTTTCTTTAGAATCTTTCGTGTCAAAGAGAAGAACTCAATTATCGTATAAATTGGTATGAGTATATTATCAGGGCTAATAAAGATTAATAAAACAAAAGAAAATATTGATTAACGATTGAGGTTATTGTTAAATTTACAATTGTTTGTAATTCTCATGAATTCCTTATTTTAGCGTCTCTCGTATAATATGAAAGAACTTGATTATAGTGCTTGAGATCGTAACCTAACGGTTGAGGGTTTGCTTAATGACCACTCGGGTTCGACTCTCTCTGCGCATTCTTGTCACCCTCGAGGTGCTTTACCTGTCTACCGGACTTGTAAGGTGTTTAATGAATCCATGGATTAGTCGTAGTGCGCACGAGCAAGCCCGGACACCTTGTGAGTTATCAAAAAAAAAAAAAACTCAATTATCCTACAAATTGATATAAAGATATTACTAGGGCTAATTAACATCGATAAAATCAGAGAAAAATATTAATTAATGAATGTTATTTTTCAATTTACACTTCTTCCTAATTCTCATAAAATTTCTTGTTTCGAGTCTCTCATGTCAGAAAGAAAAAACTCAATTATCATACAAATAGAGAACAAGATGTTACTAAGACTAATTAGGATCAATAAAACTAGAAAAAAAATATATTGATTGATAACTGATGTTACTGCTCAATTTAGACTTGTACGTATGAATTTTGCAAACAAATGTTATGCTTGAGGGATGAAGTGAATAATAAGATGTTTTGTTCTTGCATTGAGTTAATAAGCCTTGTACGACAGCTATCGTTTATATGGACAGTAGCTTGACTGTGCCATTAATGAAATATTACAAGGGTAGGGTTCATGAATGGCCCGAAAAGATTCTTCTGTGACGACAAGATGTTTCACTGAAATCTCAGTTGTGTTGTGTCTTAACTCTACCCATCCATGTTGTATTGTACCTAGTCTGTGTCCAGATAGATGTGTCTCTTATGCATATGGTTTGAATCAGGAAAATATTGTTTCACGTAGCTTATTTTTGTCTCAAAGAATGGCACTGTTGCAGTAAAACTTAGTTACAGTATTCAGGACGCAATAATTTTAAGAATAAGTATATATAAAGAACCCTAAAAGATGTTCGGTTTTTACGATTTCTATCCTGTTTACGCACTCATATCATGACATTTTTTGTAATTTTAAGGAGGTGGTATTTTTCGTTATTTTATTTGTATTTTTAAGCATTTATTTCATTGGAGTTTTTATTATTTTTATATTATTTACACACTCGTATATTACTATTTATTTATTAATATTTTTGTAGTTTTAAGAAAGTGATATCTTTGTTATTTTAGTTGTATTTTTATGCATTTATTTCATTGAGAACGCTATTCACACAACTTTTAATGATTTTTTTAGTAATTTTGAGATTCTTTCAAGTATTTTATATGTAAAATTTTGCTCATGTTATTCTTTCATTCTTTTTTTTTTTTTTTAATAATTTTTATTTCGTTTCATAACTTTATTTGTATTATAATTTAGTCTCTAATTACTAAAAAGAGAGAGAAATAAAAAGATAAGAGGGAGGAGAGAGAGAGATCTATGTATGAATTTTTAGAATATTATTATTTGCCCTTAAAAAATTGATATAATTTATATAATGAATTATTTGAATTTTAAATTGATAAAAGCATGATATAAATATATATATAATCTAAAGATTAAAAGTGTTTTTTATATAATTTGTTTTAATTTTTTTCGAAAAAAAATGTAAGAAAAGTTTTAATAAGAATTCATGGATTTTTAAATTTTTTTTATAAGTCTTTAGTTAAGAATCCGAATATAAAAGAATAGATCATATTTTTTAGTAAAAAAAATTAAAAAAAAAACATAATGAATAATTAATTAAAAATAAAATTTTAAAAATATTTATATTTATATTTTTATAGGCTCATAATATAATATTTATCATCAAAATAAAATTATTAATTTTTCATGTTATGTTCGATCAGCAGTGTAATATGGGTAAAAATTACAGTGTCATATCGTCCATTTAAAAGCTTCAAGTAAATGTTCTTTGAAAACGTGGATGAAATGATATATCTATATCCATCTATCTGTCTGTCTGTCTCAATTATTACAGAGTTTCCTACGCCAATACCTTTTTTTTCTCAATTATTGATCAATTAATGTTCTTTCCATTAAAGAAAATTCAAAGTACTTTGAAGAGAACTAAATTTCTCGTACGATACTTAGATCATAATCTTCAGAAATTGCATATATATATATTAAAAAAAAAATCATCCAACCCTTTACAGGATCTGAACTTGTAATTTTCAAGTGAAAATGTCAAATCTCAACTTTATAAAAACAATAAAAAAATCATTGATTGCAGCACCAAAAGAAAGCTAACTTGGTAAAAAAAGAAAGGTTTGGTTTTGGTTAAAAAGAGCAATGATTCCAGGAAGCGTAAAATTCAGGTTTGATGGAGCAAATCAATTTGATTGACTGGGCGGGGAAGAGACTATATATTTCTCTTCCCTTTCCTTGTCTGCCTTTATTAGTTTTGGCTCCAAGTTGGTTTGTTTGCAATGTTACGTCTTTTCAAAACGTCAAATCCCTCAGGGTCCTTTCTTTTTATTTTTTGTCTGCTCGGCTGAGATTTAATAAATAAATAAATAAATCAAAGGGTGTAAGTAAGATCTCAGCTGCAATCCCTCTTTTCCCTTGCTCCTCCTTGTTACCTCTTTGACAGGGATGGTAATTTACCCCGTTTCGATGCAACCTCACCTAGCCCATCTTGGTCAATGTAGAAATTTTCCATGTTGATTGGAGAACGGGACAGAACAGAGCTCCCTATTTTTATTTTGAACTGGGTCGAGAATGATATTTACTCGTCTCGTTCAGTTTGTTTCGTTTTTTCGTTAAAATTATAATTATATCTTATACAAAATTTATAATTATGAGCTTTTAAGGTTTAATTTTTTATATAAATTATATTTTTTTATTATAATTTTTTTAAAAAAATTAAATAGGATATCAATACCTCACGAGAATCTTCATTTTGAAACGGAGATAGTATGACAGATTTTGTTCTGCATAAGACACAGGAGGAGGATAGGGCAAAATTTTCAGGAGCAGGCCCCATTGCCATTGCTACTCTTTCATTGTTTATCTACTGTGTTTGTTTTTTTTTTTCAACTGTACCTGATTGTCCTGCATGTATGCCCTCTTGGACTGGACTAGTTCTTGGTCCTCGAGGACCATGACAGAATTATTAGTAGACGGAACCAAAGCATCCAAGAAGGTTTTATTTACCATTTGGTAGTTGTAATAGGACATCCATGGTTATTTTGCCCTTTTCTTTGTTTTTCTCTCTTTGGATCTGTCATTCTTGTTTCCATCCTTTGCAAACTGTTGAATGGCAAGTTTTTTTTGGCTAAAGAAGAATGGTTGATCATGTCATTAACTTGGTTCTGATCAATTTCTGTATGGTCAAGTTTCCATGGAACTTGAACATAAAATATGTACTTGCAATGTTCAAATGTTAATTGTAATGGTCCCTGGATCAGCATATTTTGATGAGGCTTCTTGACGTCCCAAGTCCCTGTTGCCAGGAATCTGGTCGCATTCCAATAATCTGGACATGTCCTTTTGAGAAGCCTACCATGTCCTTTTATGAAACCTACCAAGTTTGCTTGACCAATAGCTTTCATTGTGTGTTACAGACATTAAAAAAGGAAAGAAGAAGCAAAGAAGCCAATCGAACAAGGGCAGTTGCACCTAGAAACTGGTCCATAGGGCCCAGAAAAAAGCAACAGAGCTGAGGGGGAAAAAACCTATCCACATTTTCATCAGATTTTTACATTCCACTCTTTGGAGAATGAGTAAAAAAAGCTCAAACAAAATTGCTTCCTATTTCACACGCAAAACTGGTACAACTTTCTGCTGTTTAAAACCCTTAGCAAACCACACCATAAATGCACTACCCCAGATAGAAGATATTTTAACTGTATAGACATTCAAGAAAAGCTTACTGAGATGGTAAGCCAAATTGCTCCCACTCCCCTCCACCACCAGATATATCTTTTACTTTTTGTTAAGAAGGTGAGCAAGGTTGCGAAGTTCCTCAAACGCATGCATTGTTTCTGCATCAAATCCTCCAGCAAACTGCATGAAGCAAGACAAGAATCAGTAACTTTTGCTATGCATTGTTTTCTCTCCCCTTCATAAACTCTATTTAGATATCCGCAGGCAGAGAAAAGTTGAATTTTTCGGTGCATACAACATACTTCCTTGAGAAAAAAAATCAGTTAGTTTTGGCTATTTCTTTACCCCATGTTCTTGGTAAATGTCAAACCCAATCAACCAGTTTGTGTGGGGGAAATTCAAGAAGTTCTGCTATGCATTGTTTTCTTTCCCCTTCATAAAAACTATTTAGATGTCCGTAGGCAGAGGGAAAAGTTTGATTGTTTCTGAGCATAACATGCATCCTTGAAAAATATCAGTCAGTTTTGGCTATTTCTTTACCCCATGTCTATGTTCTTATTAAATGTCAAACCAAATCAAACAGTTTGTGTGGGGGGAAAAATTCAAGAACTTCTGCTATGCATTGTTTTCTTTCCCCTTCATAAACACTATTTAGATATCCGTAGGCAGAGAAAAGTTGACTTTTACTGTGCATAACATACTTCCTTGAAAACAAAATTAGTTAGTTTTGGCTATTTCTTGCCCCCATGTCTACGTTCTTAGTAAATGCCAAACCAAATCAAACAGTTGGTGTTGGGGGGAGGGAAAATTCAAGAACTTCTGCTATGCATTGTTTTCTTTCTCCTTCATAAAAACTATTTAGAAGTCGTCTGTAGGCAGAGAAAAGTTGATTGTTTCTGTGCATAACATGCATCCTTGAAAAATATCAGTTAGTTTTGGCTATTTCTTTACCCCATGTCAATGTGCATAACATGCATCCTTGAAAAATATCAGTTAGTTTTGGCTATTTCTTTACCCCATGTCAATGTTATTAGTAAATGTCAACCAAATCAAACGGTTTGTGTTGGGGGAAAAATCGAGCATGTACACTGTTCAGTTCAATAATCTCCCTCTGAAAGCTACTTTTCTATATGGTACTAGCAGATATCTTGTTGGTGTAGTAAAACATGATGAAATAAAATGAACAGCTATGGTACTAACAGATATCTTGTTGGTGTAACAAAACATGATGAAATAAAATGAACAGCTATGGTACTAACAGATATCTTGTTGGTGTAACAAAACATGATGAAATAAAATGAACAGCTATGGTACTAACAGATATCTTGTTGGTGTAACAAAACATGATGAAATAAAATGAACAGCCACGAAATTACTTATCTACAAACCTGATGGATTCTGAAGGCAAATCTAACCCCTTGAAGGAGCATATAGTCCAGAGCAGGGTCTTTCTCTAGTGCTGCTGCCCTCGACTGGATTTCCGTAGCTACCCTCTTCATGTACTTCTTTGCCAACTTAACTGAGCCAAACTTTATCTGCAACACAGAATTAAGAATTAATGATGCCACTTGCCTGAAATGGAGCATAAAAGAATTTGCTGGAAATCTGCTAGTTGAAAATTTCCAGAAAGCATTTAGAAAGAAAATGGATGGAGTCATTCCTTTTATGAAGTCTTAATGCTAGTATTTCCCTTTCCTCAACTCTATTAATCCCAAAGCCACTTCTTTTCAAATTAAGACCAGGATTTGCTTGTTGTTCACTTCTAGCACTTTGTGTCAACCCTCTTATGAAGAGGAAGGAAGAGTTCATTGTACCCTCTCTGGGTCTAAATCTTGTAATGTTTAACTTGTAGAATATGTGAAAACTAAACTAAAAGGAATGTAATGATTTATTGAAGCTTACCTTGCTAATAATCCCATTGTCAAGCATCCAATCAGAGGGAATTTGGAATTCTTTGCAATTACGCATCAAGGACTCTCTAGTTCGTAAAAGGCTATAAACAGTACGTTCCATCCTGCAAATGATATCCAATCAATGTGAATTAATAACCAGGAGATTCAGTGCAAAAAATTACTATAAGACAACCACAGTGCAAAATTTCAGGTTCTTACTTCTCAGACAAAGCAACCATTTTCTTCAGAGCAAGGTCACACGGAACTCGGGGATCTTCTTTGTAATAAGAAACTTCAGACTCCAACTTCTTCAGATCACTGTACCCAAATGCTGCTTCTCTCAATGTGTCAGCTTTCTTTTCTGGCCAGTCAAAGTGCTTCAGGACTGCCCTTTCATCCACCTTCACATCAATGAAAGCATTATGAGGATGATATAAGATCTTCTTGTCTTCACTTTAAATACTATTTTCCCTTGTTAACTAACCCAAGAAATATAGATAAAACGGTGCATGGAGAAGTTTCTAACATTAAATTCCATGTTGTCTGGATTTTCAATGTCATTATAGCTCATGTAAATGCTTTGTAAGTTTATCTAGAACATGCTTCAAATAGTGTTATAGTAGTCGTTTAGTTGCTACAGCATTTGAATTTTTTCTTCCCAACTTGCTTATTCATTGCCTATGACTTCATAAAATCCTATGGAATCTTTTTACAAACAAGTTATTCTGTCGAGGAAAAACTTACAAGAAATTCAAGTTCATCATATGGAATCTTTTAGTTGCTACAGCATTTGAATTTTTTTTCCTAACTTGCTTTATTCGTTGCCTATGACTTGATAAAATCCTATGGAATCTTGTTACAAATAAGTTATTCTATCGAGGAAAAACTTACAAGAAATCCAAGTTCATCATCAAGCCACTTCACAAATGCCACAACATCTTCAATGTCCTGGTAAACAGCATTGCTGACCTCTCTAATCAGAGAATTGACAAATTCTCCTTGAGTTTCAACATCTGCCTTAATCTGAGAAAACAAAAAAACCAGAATTACTTTTAACCATTTGAACTCTTTTTACTGCACAGAGGTGTCAAACTCTTCTGGAAAGGAAAAATTCAGAACTTGTTTTTCATTTCATATATTCCATCTGATAATAGCTGAAAAGAAAAGAAAACTTGCATTCTCACACCAGCAAATCCAATCCCAGAATGCTGCAAAACATACAAGCTTTCATTTCTTTCCTCCATCGTTATGGTAAAGACAATACAAGCCAACATTCTTCAACACAAATTGTGAGCTGCAATTTAATGAAATAGCATCCAAGCTATGCCATAACATTGATTGTAACTGACCATGGAGTAAGAAGTAAGAGATCAGTTACCGCAAGCAAGTGTGATGATCGGTTTTCGATTTCGCCAATCATGTTGCTCCGAACATTCGCAACTTCTGAGGCATCACAGATTCCTCCATTTGAAGACTCCTTTCTGGAGTCTCTCTTCATCAATGAATGGTAAAACTCTACGACTTGAGGTGCTCGCTGCACCCCCTGCAGTGGTGCTCTTCACTGAGAACTTTGGAGGTTGCGGTGGTGGTGGTGGAGGAGGTGGTGGAGGCGGTGGTGGGAGTGGAACTTGAGCTGAACCTTCCTCTTTAGGTTCAGCAGAAACAGAACATGAGGGTCTTGGAGGAGGATTCGGAACACGCAAAGCCCTTTTCTCAACATCTAATGGACCTACAATTTTGTTGGTCTCTTGGCAGTTTGCAATGATTTGTGGTCTTTGAATTATATCCAACTCATACTTTACAGAACTTACAAGCTCTACTTCATTTTCTATTTCTTTTATACACATAAAACCATCGGATTGCCTTCTCCTGTTTGGTACCAAATCTTCTACACAGAACTTTGATCCACTTATAGAGTGCCTTCTACTTGGACTTCTCCCATCTTCCGAGAGGACCCAATTTTTATCTTGGCATTCTAAGTAGGGCAAATCTTCATCAGTAATAGGCCATTTCTTCAACTTTTTAATCAAATTTAATCTCCTTTTACTATTATATTCTAAGCATTCACCACTCTGACAAGACATTGAGCCAGCAGATTCATTCCTCCTCTCTGCCGATTTGGGGCTTGAGGCCTTATCAGAATTGATCGTTGAGCATGAATTTCGCAATTCATCTCTTAAACATGAATTGACCCACCTCAGATAGGCTAGCTCCTCAACCTCATTTAGTCTGCTCATCTGTAGACCCTCAACTTGTTTGCACAAATCTTCATTTGTATGCCTCAGAGAAGATGCCTCAGCTTTAATTTTTGCAACAATATCACTCTGATAAAATTCAAGACAGATTTTAGTACTGAAACCTGGCCATTTATATTAAACTTACTCTTCAGCCAAAAATAAAGGAGATCATGCTTCTATCAAATTAATATCATTAGTCCTCTGTTTGGTTTCCAATTAAATTCTTGAACCCATCATAAAAAAGTAACTAATAATTGATATAGACTACACCATGGATCAAAGACTAAATTGTTATTATCAAGACAAACAAACAATGCCAAAAGAATCAAACTTTAAATTCTGTGCTTGCATTGGGGTTGATTGAATGATAGAATACCTACCCCAAACAAATTAAATTATTTAAATATCCTGTCTTGATTAGTTCTATTTTGTTTTCTAGAAAAGAATTAAATAAATTTAACCATATATTCTACTCAATTTATCTTACAGTTTTCTTTTCAAGTCCCTGATGCTGAAAACTTGTAAATTTGAAATACTTAACTTCATTTTCTTTTCTACCACAACATTTTCTTATCATGCAAACAAAGCATACAAAACTAAAGGAACGGGGAGTTGATTATTTATACCTCAGAAGCCTTGGCAAGAGAAGCCAATTGAGATTCAATGGAAGAGAGCTTGCAAGCAAGATTCCTCTTATCCATCTGCAGCTCCTTATTCAATCTCCTCAATTCCACAACTTCCACTTCAAGATTCCCCACTAAACTCTCATTCCCTTCTCTTTTCAACACCTCTTCATTTCTCTTCTCTGAAATCAAACACAACTCATTCACCTGTTCACAAAGACCACTTTTTTCAGACTCCAAAACCCCAATTCTCTCACAAAGCTCATCCACCTCGCTTTTTCTTGCTTCAAGTTCCCTTTCAAGATCCACTACTCTCCCATTCCTCTTAAGCTCTGATAACTCTGCTTGCAACTTAAACTCCCTTTCTTTTGATTCTTGAAGCAAGCTCCTTAATTGATCCAATTCGACAAACAAATCTCTTGACCCTGAAGATTGTCTCCTGTGATTACCCTGGTAGGCTTGTGGGTGTATTTGGCTTCCTGTAACTGAGCAAGATAAATCACCAATGAGTGATCTTTTGACTCTTGGATGAGAATTCACAAGAGGGTTCTTTTGGTTTGTGTTGTCTGAGCTTGCTGGTGGAAGTTTCTTGGTCGTCACTGTGATTGTTTGTGTTTTGGTCTTTTTATCTGCTGTGAAGCCTTTTACTATATGTGAACCCCATGAAGACTTCATCTTTGAAGCATTGTTGTTGTTGGTTCCTTTAATGTTTTGTGACTTTGGTGCTTGGTTTTGATCAGCAAATCTTGTTGCTTTTGATTTAGTTTCAACTGGGTTTTCTGCTCTCATCTTGTCAAACAAAAAATGATCAAACTTTCAACTCTATAAAATGTACATAAAAAACAGAAGGGTTTTGATCATTCAAGCACAAACGAATCAAAGCCCACAAACTCTTTTTGAAGCTCAAAAACTGGTTTTCTTCATAACAAGAAGCTAAGAGAGCTAAAAATCAAAACAAGAACATGGGTTGGTCCTAAATGGAACAGAAAACTTGATTCTTGACGCTGCAAGAATTTGAATTTGAAGTGGAGCTATGTGAATGGTAAAGCGAGCAGTGCTAGAAATGGAAAAAATGAGTATTGAAAGAAAGCTCCAGTTTTCAATATCAAGAACTGATGGAGAGAGTGAACGAGTTTATATTTGTTTGTTGCAAGAAAACGTGGCAGCTTTTCTTTATGGCAAGAATTTGAACGTTTGAAATTTGAATTTGTACTTCTTAAAAAAGAAAACATTTTTTTTGTTGAGCGTTGTTAGGGTTTGAGGAGTACGAGGGAGAGCGTGCAACGGTCGTTTTCTGTGGCAGCTGGGGTCCACATTCCACATGAGAGAAGGAAAGACAAAGAAAGTCAAAACATCAGTCCAGATTAATGAGCCATAGGTTTTAAGCTGTTTTGCTCATTCCCTCACATAAATTAATTAATTGATATGCATTTATGGAGTAGATTATAAATTAATCTTTATAGTGTCGAGAAACTAATTAATTAATTTTTTTTTGAAAAATTAATTAATTATTTTTTATATTATATTTAATTTAATATTATTTTATTTTTTAAAAATATTTTTTTCTCATCAATCTTTTTTTATAATATTTAATTATCTTTTCATATAAAATTGATAAAAAAAAACTAAATATTAGTTTTTGACATTCATTTCTTAAAGCTAAGACTAATATATAATTTACTTTGATCCATCCCTATCAAATTAATTAAACATTATTATTTTTTATTTTCATTTTTATATGCACACTTTAAAATATTATATTGACTAGTTTCATATAATAATACAAAGTAGTTTTATCATACATAAATATATAAAATATATATTATATTATAAGGAATAAAAAGCTAGAACCTATACACAGAGAGCTAAATCTAGGTTATGACATATGACTTGAACCTAACCTATTCAAAGATAGCATACAAATAAGAGAGATAAAAGTTTGACTTGATTTGTCTAAAAAAGATAATTGTTGGTAATGACAAGTGAAATTTTATTTCTTTTACAAATATTCTCTTTTACTTTATGTTGCCTAATTCTCTCTCCTAATCACAAGTGATTGAATAATTAAAAAAATAGTTAACGATATGTACTATTCCTATACTATATTACAATTAATTAATTAATTAAGTTATTAAAGAGCTTGTAATACAATGATAATGATCTCTTACAACAAGAGTTCATAAGTTTAAATACTAACAGATCAGTTTTGCTAAGAGCTTTGGATGTGTGAATAATAAATAAATAAAAAGAAAAAAATTAATTAATTAAGCTTTAGACTAACTTACGTGTTAATTAATTGAATCATTTTGTTTAATGTGAGTCATTAGTTAGTGATTTTGCTAATGATACTAAGTAAACTACATTATCAAATGATATATTTTTTTGATGTATTTGATTCCGTTAGTTATTTTTTTATAAAATAACATTTATTGAAATTATATTTAAAAAGGACAATTGAAAAATTATAACAATTGAAATTAAAATTTTTTTAAAAAAAATTCAATAAATTTTTTATGTAATAACAATAATAATAAAAACTAACAGAGTCAATGATATCAAAAGACATGTGTTAATTGATTATGTAATTTACTTAATGCGATCAATAGAATCACTAACAAAAAATTTATATTAAAAAAAATTAATTCAATCAAAAAAATTCTATTAACATTTAACTTGATACAATAACTTGATACTTATAATAAGGTGACGATTTATTATACGTATTTTTTAAATTTATAGATAGTGAGGTATTTTTTAATTATTTTTTACATTAACTGAAACTAAGCTAATTACAATAAAAAAAATTGAATTAACGTGAGAACGTGGTTAATTTTTAATCGATCAGTATATTAACTCTTATGCTTAATTTTTAATCGATCATTAGATTGACTCTTAACATAAACAGTCAAAACTTGATACCACTAAATTAAAATCATAACTAATTATTCATAAATGCTAGAAATTAAACTTTAATTGTGATTAAATCAAGATAGCTTTTGCCGCTAAACCAACGTTTTAGTTGCGATCGTGAACCCATTGAAAAAGTGACAAAAAAGGAAAAAAAAAGTGGCACGAAATCCTTTGAGCCAATTTGGTCTGTTAAGCCCAAAAGGGTCTCCTTGAGCCAATTTCGGCCCTTGATGAACCTGGAGGGCTTGATCCAAATTCTAAATCAACAGCAAAGGGCCCAAGATGGTAACATATGGGCCAAATCCCTAGGGAATCTGAAACGACACAACAAGGAAGCCCATAACCCTAAAAAGAGCAAAAAAAAAAAAAAAAACATCGAGAATCGCCTATTTTAAAGGTTAACTATTTTTTGTTGATATGTCGAAGATATACTCCTTATCTTGATTGAATCATTGAATTCCCTCTCCCTACGATCTTAAAAAAGTGCAATTAAAAATGAAAACAACATATTCTCCTAAACATAGATAAAGTTTAAACTAAGAAAATAAAAAAAGAAATTAATCCTCCTTGATTCCTTGATTTCTTACTTCAAAACCAAGTAAGAAAGACAAACAGTCCTAAATTCAATGACAAAGTCACTGGCTTCACCAGTTCACCTTAACTGGGCTATTCCAGGAACTTGCATTCACCACTGACTCTAGTCTACCTTCCAAGCATTGTTATATCAAAAATGCCATTTCCCTGGCATCACTACTGAGCTTCTGGTTGTTCATCAGCACTCCATTTTCAGTTAGGAAGCCTCAAAACAAGCAATATATTGAAAAAAGGTACAACAGAATACTATTCACACCATTTTCAGTCTTCCCTATCAGGTGTTCAGAGAGGGATTGGTACAATAGATTACCAGCTCAAACAACTGCCTCACCAATGGACTGACTAGAACTGAACCCCACATAAACTTCAAAAAATGCACAAGAAATTTAACCAAGAACCGGCGATGATAGTCATAACAAGCAGAGAATAGGCAGAGGTTGCCGGGTAAGGTCAGCGTGTGCGATGAAGCAAAGAAAAAGAAAATAAGAACGCATAGGGAGCAATGAGGTCCAAACAACTAGGGAAACCCTGAAATTCAATCATGTATCATTAAAGACCAAATAGAAAAGAAAGCCATCAATAGCGAAGTTTAAACTTCCATTGGTAGCTGGAATCCAGCAACTGTGCAATTATTGAACAACTTTTAAGAACAACACTAGTTCATATGCAAAAACAAATAATCCTTCAAAACATGAGCAGACAAAACATAACAGTGATCATTACACAAACACCCTCCTCATTCCTTCTTTCCAATCCCATTAGACATGTTATAGATCCCTCGCCCCTGAGGTAAAAACAGATAACATGTTAAAAGCTTGTCTAAATGCATAGAACATCATTGACAGTAAGTTAGTATGTAGAAGAACAGACTAGACTACTCACAATAAGAAAAAGTGAAGTGGCTGCCAATGCTACTGGAATGGCAACAGAGGTGATCTTATCGAGAGGTCCTTTCAAGTATGTGTGCTTGTGAATGCTTTGGAAATATTTCTGTTTCTCAACGAGCTTCTCACGTGGTCGAAAAGGTGCTTCGGTCGACATCCTTAAATTTCAAATTCCAAGAAAAAATCCCAATCATTTTAAGCACAAACAACAAATCCATCATGTTTATACATGAAAAATACCACAGTGAATTGAGGCTTTCAATAACTGAAAGCACAAACAAACAGCAACCCAATTCACAGTAAGAGTACAGAATTCTAATTGGGCACCCAAAGAAACCATCTGACATGAATTAGATAATAATTGGGTAATTAAGGAAACAATCTTTGCATGAATTAGATGCCAATTGGGTGCTTACAGAAGCAATCTTTGCATCAAATTCCAGATCCAAATGAAACCTATTAAACTGCCCAAGAATCTAAATTCCGGTAAAAAAAAAAAGAAATAAATCAGACATCATAAGATCATAACCAAACTGTACAAGAAAAATTCTAAACTACCAAATTGAATAGAATCCAAAACCCTAGTTTTGAAATGAGAGATTAATCCAAGGAATCCTAATGAGAAACAGTCAATTAAAAAGCCAAAAAGGTTAGGGTTTTGAGAGAAGATATAGAGATGGATAGATTAAGAAAGAAAGGGCATTACCTTGATTAATAGAGCTTGAGAAAGTCTGGTTAGGGTTTGGATGCTGCGAGAGAGAGAGAGTGACAGCAGAGAAGAGGATTCTGTAGAAAACGGAACGAGAGAACGCAGCGAAGGCTAATTTGTGAGTTTTTTTTTTGTTTAAATTACACTTGTTGCCCTTTAGGTTTGGGTAATTATACTATCTGCCTATTTTGTTTTTGTTTTTTCTTAGTGCCCCATAATATTATGATTTTATTGAAAACCAAGAAAAAAAACCAATAAATTATTCCCTCCAGTTTTCAAAAACCAATAAATTAGTCTTTTTTAAACTTCAAAAACTAACTATTTTGTTCCTGTATTTTTAAATTTTCTTGTAGCTTAATTTTTTAATTTATTTTTATTTTTATTTTAAGAAATAAAAAAAAGGAAAATAGTAAGTAAAAATATGAAAGTATTTAATATAAAAAATGATATTTTATGAAATAAAATAATATTGAATTAAGCATGATCAATACTAATTAAAAGATTAAATAATTTATTTTTTAAAAAAAACTAATTAATTTATTTCTTAAAATATAACGATAAAGTTATATATATATATAATTGATTGATGAGAGATTTTTCGATAACATATAAAGACCAATTTTCTTCTTAATAGAGTTTTAGCTTGATTTTTCAAATTGTTACACATTAACCTTTATTATTATAATTATTGTTACATTTTCCAAGTTTTTCTTATTCACAGATAAAAAAATATTCTTAAAACGTCAATCAAAAATAAAGTCTCCGGATCGGTTAAAATTTTTCAATCCGTTACACATCAACTGTAAAATTCCCTTTTTGCTTAATCATGACTCTTTCCTTACGCTACGATAATTTAAGAGTGTTCTTTCAATGCTAACATGCCGCACCTTCAAGGGTTAACTCTCTTGCTCCTTCGGATTGGACATATCGACATTTGGAACTACTTAGCTTCCTAGTACAGAGGTTTGGGACACTGGTCTGTCCCTGGTAATCATATGGAGCTCAATGTGCGTACAGAGAATTATTTTTCAGGGCAGTAAAAAAACTTTTTCCAGGCATGTTCAATCCTATACACTGGACTAGATCACCACCATAAAACAGCTCATCTGGGCTTAGAAAAATTTGTTAGTTCAAAAGTAGGCAATGGTTTTTTTTATTTTTTTAAAACACCAAGATTAGAATCATGAATCCTGCGCTACTAATTATCACCCACACTTAACACAAACACAGACAACGAGAAGAACTTGAAAGAAATGGAGCTAAACTTTAGCTGCTCAAAGATAAACTTGACGATAAAATAACATGCTGTTTCCTATTCCCAAAGGCACAAAAAGATGGATCATACTCCTGCATTACCTTGAGCTACAAAAACTCAACGCCTACTGCATTAGCTAGTATTAAATAGGTATTCTCTCAACGATTTTGATTGATCTTGCAGCATTTCATATGAATTCAGCATGAGAGCACTGCATATATCAATCGGGTTGCATCAATTTATGCAGATTCAACATCTGAACCATCTAGACCTTCTCTATAAAGCTCAAAATCCTCAGGACTCCATCGGCAAATTAAGTGAAGCTTGAAGGTGGCCATCTTGATCCCTAACAAGCGCTGGAAGAAGTAATACATCAGCCACATAATATCTTTAAACAGAAGAAATGCCAAAAACTGTGAGTATGCTAACTAGCTAGCAAAATTTAGGCTGGGCCAGAACTAACCAGTATGCGAGAAGATTCAGGGGACAGAGGCTTCCCCTCTTCACTGACAACAAAGTCTGCAACTAGCTCTATCACACCTGCAGACCACAATTAATTTAATAACAGACCCCAAGTGCTATGTGTGTGTGTTTGTGCACACACAAGTGACAGCAAATAGCAGAAAGCAATTATGTACCCTTGTTCAACCGAACAGGCATCCCTTGCTTCCGCAAAAAGGGCTCCATCTCATGAGTAAACTGTTCCAGGGGACCTTCCTTAAGTTCCACCTTAAAAAACCCAGTCACAAGTTAGAATGTTAGAAATAAAGAACTTATACCTAGTACAGAAAAGTAGGTTCTATCATGCAGCTAAACCAAGCATTTATAACTTGATGAAGATGTAATAAGAAGAATTTGACCGCTTTAAAAACTGAGACTGCAAGAGGATGAAGCTGAAAAGTAAATTAAAGATCCACACTGTTCCTTTTCTTAGTCAATTACAAAAAGGTAAATTTATACTAATCATTAAACACGTGAGTGTCTAGTTCTTTGATTCAAAGCAGTATGGCATGGCTCAACCAATTCAACTAGCATGTCAGTTTACTGCCAGACATGAAAGATCTCACATACTGTTTCTGTTACAGTGGTTCCTGTCCTTGCAAAGTCATATTCCTCGTATTCATTAAACAACCTGCAAAAAGCCAACTAAAAACATTAACCCATGAGGTTGTATTTTAATCACAGAATTGGTCTGGAAAAAATGCCAGCAATTCTGTCAAATCCATCAAACTTATTTTCAAGTACAAGCCCCCAACAAAGAATTTGCAGTGTGATACTATTAATGATCAGTGTAATGTTCGCCACTGGCCTGTTATATATGGCACTGCTTTACATATTTAGTAGCAAGCTATGAATATGGCCATTTTATCACAAGGCACAACACAATACAACTTGAATTATTGATTTCTTACCGAGCAACATTACGTTTCCTCTTCTTTCTGTTCAAATAATAACATATATAAGAATTGTTTGAGTAATTTAAGTCTCTTTCTACTACATCGAAAGGATTATCAGAATAACCCTGCTGACTGCAAGACATCAGGACCTCTGTTTGGTTCCTCCATTTTCCAAACAATTATGGCCAGTAAAGGATATAGAATATCTCATAATAAGTACCAAAATTACCTTTCAACTTCTTCTCTTGGCAAGTTGGTAAGAAAAAGTCCAGCATCGCCATGTAGAAGCTGAGAGAAAAAATAGATAAAGAGAGGGTAAGTCACAAGAATTCTTTATCGAGATTAAAGAATGCAGAAACAATGGGCTGTGCAAATGTTCATGCTACCTTAGAAACTTTGTGAAGACCTGGCCTGACTTCATCAGCAGCAGATCGACCCAGAGAAACCTGCATTACTTTGTTTGACCCAAGGAAGAATCTGACAAAACCGTAACAGTAAGTTGGTAAGGTATAGAAACACCAAGTTCTCTACAAGTTGGTAAGATGTTGAAGAGCAAAGTGCTTGAAATTCCAATAAACTAAACTGTTTTAAAAGAATTCAGCAAAAGTTGTGGGAGAACAAAAGTACAATTTATCACATAAACTCAAGATGGCTAAACAGAAAAAATGAGGTAGTAAAGACATGCGATTCACATATATTTAAATAGCATCCCCAACACCAAAAGGAGTTTCATTCAACAATCAGAAGCAAAATATCTAAACCCAAACCAACCAACATCCATTACTATCAATTTCAAGTATAGAGGAGAAGACAGTCCCTAGGGGTTTGCTTTTGGCTACAAGGAAAAAAATAAATAAAATAAAGTTACCTGCTGGTCGATTTGTGCTGTTCTCTGAACTCCTTGAATTTGAGATTCCTCATGTTTTCAAAACTAAACACATAGATAGAATTGTACTTCTCCACAGCATCCCTTATCGATTTCAATATATATTCTTTATGCTCCCTCCCCTTCTTCTTTGTTTTTGATAATGTAACTACATATCACACAATAAAACCTCTATAAATAACAAAATCCATCATCCACATAGAAAGTTTTCCTCTTTTTTTGATTTCAAAAAATTATTTTTTATCCTTTTTTCCAGCAGCAACATAAAGCATGAGATGACATACAGACCTTTTAATCTTGTCTATATAATTCAAATATAACCAGGCTAAACAGCTTGTCAAACAATAAAAAGCCCTCAATCTATAATCAAGTTAAAAGACAACACATAAGCTCAAATTCCAAATTACTGAAACCCCAATTCAAAACCAAAAAAAAAAAAAAAACTAAACTTAATCCAAACAATTTTACAATCCCCACAATAACTCAACAAACTAGAATCATAAACTACTACTATCATCCAAATTAAGCCAAACCCAGTTGTCTTTGAAGCCTTTAAAAACAAAATCTCAAAGACCCACAAGTCAGTTTCTCTCATAGACTAAACTGACCACAAAACACAAAGACACATTCATGTATACGTTCAAAGAAGAGAAGAGCAGAGATAACCTGGCCTGTTACGCTTAGACTTAGGCATGGTTAGCTTACAAAAGGCGGCTCCTTTGCTACTTCAACTGACAAGAGAAGGTTATAAACGAGAAACGGAGCAAAGATGGGCGCTTTGCTTCCTTTGATTTTAGGGTTTAAGACGGAACAAGAAAGCGTTTTAAAGTGCTACAACTGTAATATTATTAAATTATCAAGGGCTTTGTTGTCACATAAAAAAGGCAGTAATCTGGTACAGGTAATATATGTATTCAAAACATACACCTGCACCGCTCCGCCAAACAGTCTCTCTATACAACGTATTTGGCTGTATGAGACTTGGAAAACCCATCTTTCTCTGCTAAATTTTTGTTCGAAAAAATGCGCTCCAAAGACAGAATTTCCTATTTCTATGATGGTAAGTGAAAGATCTTAAACTTTTTTATGTCTTTTGTTATTTTTTAAGCTGTTTTGTTCTTTGGAATCAAATACTGATGAATATGTAGCATCCAAATGTATTCTGTAGTGTTTTTTTCTGACAAATCTTATGAAAGTTTCATGAAGATGAGATTTTTTTTTTTATTTCTTTGGCATTGTAGGTGATGTGGGCAGTGTTTATTTTGGACCTAACCATCCCATGAAACCACACAGACTTTGTATGACACACCATCTTGTTCTCTCTTATGAGCTTCACAAGAAGATGGAAGTTTATGTATGTTAGTTATTTTAAAGATTTGAACTTTCTATTGTTTTGTTGTGTGATTTAAAATATGATATGGGGTGTTTTTGTTTATGTTGAATATGCTATGCAGAGACCCCACAAGGCATATCCTGTTGAGCTTGCTCAGTTTCATTCAGAGGATTATGTTGAATTTTTGCATCGGATTACGCCTGATACTCAGCACTTGTTTGCGGGGGAATTGGCTAGATGTATGGCTCTTTTGTTGTGAAATTTGGTGTATTTTTTCTTTTATTTGTGTAGTTAAGTGTTTCCTGTTTTTTCTTTAGATGTGGATGAGTTAGGGTTTATGAATGATTAGCTATAAAAGTGAATTTGATTTAGGTGAAGAATGGGTGAAAGTATGTGATTTTTACTGTTGAGAGAATTGACTACTTGATTGTTTTGCTATGAGGTCTAATGTGTTTGACCTAGTGAAGTTTGGGGCATGATTAGATATGAATGAAATATTAGTAACTCAGTCGACTGCTGTAATCTTGATTGATTTATAGAATGATCTTTTGGGACTTTATCTTAATCTTGCTATGATACTCCTTCTCTAGTGCATTAAGATGTAACTATGTGAAATTATCACGTGAACTCATTTATGGCCTTTAAGGCTTTCTGATTGGTGCTTTTGATTTGATATGTTAAGTGATCCTGTGTGGTTGATTTCTTTACGAGGGAAAAGGCATCTTTGCATGTTGGGATTTTGGGTACTTTAAATCTCATCTTTTAGGTGATTTTAGGCATATTTGTGTATTTGGTAATTCCAATAGGCTGTTGTAATGTTACTGGACTCTTGGAGTCTGAGGGGGTGGCAATAGACTATCATGGACGTTTGAGTTTCTCCATGTTCATGTGATTTGTTGTTTCTTTGGTGGTATCTTTGTATTTGGTTATATGTTTATGTCTTTCATGGAATCGCAAATGTACTTCTGAAATGGATGATAACTTGATTTTTAAGATTTTATTTCAACTTTCAGTTACATGTTTATCTTACCCAATCTTCTTTTCACAGATAACCTTGGAGAAGATTGCCCTGTGTTTGAAAACTTGTTTGAATTTTGTCAGATTTATGCTGGTGGAACGATAGGTAAATGAAAACAAGAGAAAATTGCTGTTAAAACATTGTTTGGGTTGACCATTCAGCTTTAATTACCATTCATCCTTAAATGCTGACTGACATTTTCTGACAGATGCTGCACGTAGGTTGAACAATCAACTATGTGACATTGCTATAAATTGGGCTGGTGGATTACATCATGCAAAAAAGTGCGCGGCATCCGGATTTTGTTACATCAATGACTTGGTTTTGGGGATTTTGGAGCTTCTGAAATATCATGCTCGTGTTTTGTACGTTGATATAGATGTTCATCATGGTGATGGTGTTGAAGAAGCCTTTTATTTCACTGACAGGTACTGGAACTTATATTCAAATGTGAATTTGGACTATGAGTGGAATGGTAAAGCCATGAGAAATTTAAAATTCTGTTTATTTTATGACAGGGTGATGACGGTTAGTTTTCACAAGTATGGAGATATGTTCTTTCCTGGAACTGGTGATGTTAAGGTGATTATCTAATGCTTTGTCATTCTTTTAAATTCTTAATGTCAAAATGGATAAAACATTATTTTTCTAGGCTAGGTTGTGCAAGGTTTTGAAGCTACTTCAAGCAACTGTATATTTGCATTGGGAACCTTCTTCTGTTTTCATACCAAGCATGCCAGTTACTCTACTCCTGTCTTTATCTTTTATTGAATGATGCAACATCACGTCCACCCTCCTCCCTCAAATTCAGTTCCTCTGCTCTGATATTTAGTGAAGGAGGGATGCAGCAACCTATGAAATATTCTGCTGCTTCCTTCTTATATTTTCCCTGTTTTCTACGAGCCTTTTATCTTTTGGTTTCTGAAATATCATTTTTGTACCATAAAAGTCTTGTACCAAGTGAAAATGGGAATGAAATATTGATATGGATCTTATTGAAGGAACTAGGAGAAAGAGAAGGAAAATTTTATGCTATAAATGTTCCTCTGAAGGATGGAATAGATGACACTAGCTTCACTCGGCTATTTAAAACAGTAAGTTCGGCTTTAACCCCCCCCTCCTCTCCACACACACACAAGAACTAGAAGCAAAGTGTAATAATTTGATTGATTATCTGTCTTGCAGATCATTTCCAAGGTTGTAGAAACTTATCAGCCAGGCGCAATAGTTCTCCAATGTGGAGCAGATTCGTTAGCTGGGGACCGCTTGGGTTGCTTCAATCTTTCCATTGATGGTGCATATCTAATTGTAATTGTTACATTTCTTTTTCTTCCCTTGTGCATTTGCCCAAACATGGAGTGGTTGTTTGCTTGTTCTTTTGTTGGTGATGCATGAATGGTCTTCAGCCAGTTGGTAATGGCTTAATTTGGTTGAGCATTGTGATGTTTGTTGTAGGGCATGCTGAATGTGTTAGGTTTGTGAAGAAATTCAACTTGCCTTTGTTGGTATGTTCTTATTTGCTCCAGTCCCTCTTAATGGTGTGCTCTTGTGAAATGTCAATGCTCACGAGAAGTGACTTCCCTGCAGGTTACAGGAGGTGGGGGATACACAAAAGAGAATGTTGCTCGATGTTGGACTGTTGAAACAGGAGTTCTTTTAGACACAGAACTACCCAATGGTATGCTACTATACTAATTTCGTTTCTCTAATTGAAAGGAAAAACTGAGCGTGGAAGAGGAGTTCTCATATATCTGCCTCTGTAAAGCAATGGTAAACATAACTGCATGATGTTCCATAGTAAGTTGATGTACAGTTCTTAGGCTATCTAGTGTTTCTGGGGTTGGGAAGTGGCATGGCATTAATAATATCATCTTATGAAAGTTTGTTTTATGTTATTTTTTAATGTCATATTAGATACAATTGGGCATCGTTTGATTTCTTGCCTTGGCAGAGTAGATGACTTTCCTTGCTGAATAAAACAGGAAGCCTCTGCCCTTTTTCCTTCTTTTGAGTCTATGCACTTCTGCTTATTATGTTGTTTCTATGCTTGTTAATTGTCCAAATACTGCTGTTCCAGTGACCCTTCACCGATTACTTGGTCTAGGTCGCTTCTCCATGTTGAAGCCCTTGGCAGATTCTTGGATGGGAAAGCTTTCATATGGATCTTTTTGGAGATCCTTGAACACTTTTCTCATCCTTTCATCTGTAAGGATAGCATAATTGGGCTTCTTTTCTTCACTCTTCCCCACCCCCACCCCCAACCCCCTCCAATTTTTGCATTTTTTGGTTGATATATGCTGCTAATCCTGGTTGGCCTCTGAATTAAACATCTTCTGCCTATTCCATGCCATTTATCATTAACACTCCTTAAACTCTCCATCATCATGCATATAGCTCAGGTACTCTTTTATAGCACCAGAAATTTATTGTAATCCAATTTTTCTTGCAGAGATTCCAGAAAATGAGTATATTAAGTATTTTGCCCCTGATTATTCATTGAAAAGTCCTGGTGGACTCATGGTATGTAACTATACTGAAACTCCCTGTGATTTCTGGTATGCTGTTAAAGTGAGTGATTCTAGTTTAAATTGTACTGCCTTTCCTGCATTCTTGCAGCCTGCCTAACCTAATATGTCTTCTTCTGTTTTGTTTGAGTGAGCAGGAGAATTTAAATAGCAAATCTTATCTTAGCACAATCAAAATGCAGGTACTGGAAAATCTCCGTTGTATCCAACATGCTCCAAGTGTACAGATGCAAGAGGTGAGTAACATCCAAATATTTGTTTAGTAGTTAAACTAACCAATCACAGATTCGAGTAGTCAAACCTTTAGTAATTAGTTAGAGGTCCTCACCCATTCTTATTTTTCTAAATATCCCATGACGGATTTAGCAAGTGTTGACTCCTTTCAAATATGGGGTATGTCAAAAGAAAGTAGTTTTTTTTATAAAGTTAGTGTGGAGGATTTGGAGTGCAGTGAGAAAAGGATAGACGCTATTAATCTAACATGCTAATATTTGCAGTTATCATTCGTAAGCATGAAATCAACATAGAGTAGCTGCTGCTATTTTTGTTTTTTGTTTTTTTTTTTTTTTTGGGATAAAATCAGCCTTTGGTCCCTGGCTTTGGTGGTTAAACAACCCCCAACCTTCCTGACACTTCTTCTTAATATGCTTCACCCACAAACTGATAGTAGTTTCCTCTTATTAATTAACAATAACAAGATTAAATAAGGAAAAAGTAGGGTTTCACTGCTCCTAAAATATTTCATTGTATTGGATGGAAGTCATAGTCCTGGTTGCAGAAATTATAACCTGGATACTGACAGAGTCTATCAATTCTGAGAAGATCTTTTAGTTGAAATCTTGATATATATCTGGTTTGTGATAAAGAATGTTCATGCTTAGAACCATGAAGGCTAAAATGTTGTATATTTGATGCCATGCAAAAGGATTAAAGGAAAGTGAGATATTTGTGCATCCGAGATTATTGACTAGTTGATGATGACTCTTATATCTGCAGGTACCACCTGACTTCTATATTCCCGATTTTGACGAAGATCAGCAAAACCCTGATGAGCGCATGGACCGTAAGTGGAAATACCCAAAAAATGATGTACACTTGCAGTCATGGCTGCACACATGGTGGAGCACATTGGTGCCTCTCACTTGTGCACCCCTTGCTCTGAATTTTTTGTTTTCTCATCATGTAATGTTTTTCCTTATTACTAATTCATTGTCACGTCTCATTCCAGAGCATACCCAAGACAAGCAAATCCAGCGCGAGGATGAATACTACGAAGGTGACAATGATAATGACCACATGGATGGCTAATAAAATGGAGTCATGCTATATTTTGTTCCAGTGGGAGGATTAGCTTTTGATGGGAAAAGGAAAAATGTAAATATGTTTTAAATTCCCTCCATAACCTGACGGTCCTGTTACACTGCTTATGGATTCTTGTAAATGGTTGTTGCCTCATTTGTAAAAGGTTGTTTCTTCTTTGTGCATTCGCACAAGCCAAAACCAGTGGTTTCTATGAGATAAATTGGGACAGAGAATATGTAGCACCAGTCTTCTTTCACATCCTCCATAACCCTCAACTTTGAAAGGGTAACCATAGTTTTATATAACTGTAGTTATATAATCGTCGTTATGTAATGGTTTTAGAATATTTTATTATTGTTATTTTAATATTATAGTAAGTTGAGATCTGTGATCGTTTTTTTAACCGTCTATGATTTAAAATTACGAGGATAACTATCATTGAATGGTAAGTTTTTTTCTACTTCATTTAAAACTATGAGGGTAGCTATCGTTGAATAGTAATTTTTTTTCTTCTTCGGCAAAGGATAATTTAGAATTAGCTTGTACCTACTAGAGCACGCAACAAATAGAAGGTGGTCGAATGTAACCAGCAATACGAGGTTTTGTTTGGCTGAGAAAAGAGACTATAACCTAGGAAATTACTGGAACTCGAGATCAAATCGTGCGTCAATTTGAAGCATACATATGCTTAACCCGATGAACCCTAAAATTATTCATTTCTCATTCTCTTTTTATGAAACTAAATTCCCATTTCACAAAAGCCATCTCCAAATTTTTTAAAAACAATTTTTAAAAGTAAATAAAAATAAAAATAAAAAAGGAGAAATTCCTAGGAGAACTTAAAGGTTACTATTTAGGCCCAATAAATTCAGTGGGCTTCTGATGAACAATCCTATTAAATCCAAAGGCCCAGATTACAGACATCGGCCTCTAATATGCAAACAGACATAACAGCTAGTTTGGTACCATGATAAGTTGTTTGGAAATGGTTGTCTTCAGGTCATGTCTCTACCACAACTGAAGCACTGAAACAGTGAAAGCGAGGGAAACGAAATCTTAAAAAGGAAATAGACTTTATAGTATTTGACCATTTTTCTCATGATTCTTTGCTCCTGGGAGCTCCTGTAAGTTGCCTTGGATTCTTTTCTAGTTCTCTTGGTTATATTTAGTTTTCATCACAAATTCAGCTTCTTGAAGGTCAGTTTTCAGCATCTTATCGAAAAAGATCAAATTTTTATTATCATAATGTAATTTTTCTATCATGGGCAAAGCTAGGGAATCATTTTTAGTGAGTTCAAGATAGAGTTTTGCTTGGTTTATGAGACTCGGTGGTGTGAATTGATGATATGGAGATGATAATTATGACAAATGGGCAAATGGGTTTCTCTAGTTTTGAAAGAAATAGAAATTTAACTTTTAATTGTGGCTGGAAACCATATTCTTCATGCGGGCCTTTGAATTCTTGGAGACCTCCAATTTTTGGTGTTCCACTGAAGAGCAATAGTGGGCAAGCAATGAGAGTTGTTGGTTTAAGAGTCAAGGCATTGTCGATGGAGGATTCTGATAATCGGTTGGTTGGTGGTGGTGGTGGGGTCATTGAGAAAGAGTTAGAATTTAAGCCATCTTTTGGTGAGTATTTGAAGGCTATGGAGTCTGTTAAGACTGGAAGAGAAAAGAATCAAGTACATAAGTCAAGTAGTTATAAGTTGAAGGATGATTTAGAGGGGAATGGTGCGCCTTTATCAGAAAGAGATGAAAGGACTGTAAAATTGAGGAGGTTTAAGGATCAAGGAAAGGTGTCCAAAGTTGTGGAATGTGATGAGTTTTGTGACAGTGCTAATGGATCCAGTGATCAAGAAGATGTAGTTAATGCCAGGATTGATTACAAAAGAGGAAGAATTAGAGAGTTCAACCATAAGGTGGATGGCAAAGAAAGTCTTGCTCATGGTAATGTAAGAAGGAAGATGGAAGGAGCTACAGGTAATGGGCGGTGGTTGAGGAATCGTACTAGCAGCATCGATTCAAACTTGGAGGACGTTGGCGTGGATGGCAAAGATTCCCCGGATATGTTTGGACTGAAGGGGAGAAAGTTTGAAAAGGAGAACATTGGTGTTGGAGTCAACAAAATGAATGGTGGACTTGTGAGGAATCGCAGTCGAGTTGATAAAATCACTGACAAGAGATACGTACAGAAAAATGGATTATCGAGAAGAAGTGATCAGGCTTTCCTTGAAAGAAGCTATGGTGATGATTTTGAAGTAGAAAGGGCTGCCTTCAAAAGTTTTGAGCAATCCAATGATGTTATTGGCAAGACAAAAGTTCCGATGAGGGAAATAGAGGAGAAAATTCAGAAGCTAGGAAACTGGTGTGTAATCTATGCTCTTTTATCTTCTCTCTCTTTTTCCTCGTAGCTCAACTGAACTTTAATTCTCCTTTCACTATAACTAACAAGATTTTATTGATATGTGTTTGCAAATTCTGTGTAACTAACCTATTTTGTATTTAGATCTATGCTGTCTAATTGTACCAGTCTTCAAGTAACAGAGCAAAGCAATCTGATTCATGTCAAAGAAGCATTTCCAATACAATATGTGTCCGTACCTGTTTTATTCTTACAACTTTCATGTACTGATAGGATAGCTTTTTGAATTCATTGGAATCTAATTTACCACTGTATCAAGTGGTTGAGAGATTAATGTGCTCCATCTCCTTCTCCATGTTTAGTTACAGTCACAAAAAGCATTTTTGTTGTGGTGGGACAGCCTTATCCCTGGAGAGATAACATCACCTGGGGGGCAACGGGTGCCACTGGCCTCTTACTTGGTTTGTTCTTTCCACAAAGAGGGTCAGTTCATATAAAAGTAAACTAATTATGTGAGGAGCAATTTTTTAAGACCATCAATGAAGGGAATGTCATTTTGTGTGGATGATGTTTTGTTTCAGAAAGTAATTCTTGAGAGCCTGCATTCTAGTGGAATTCCTAACTAAATTCCTAATATTTTTTTAATTTTCAAGGAATCAAATTTGTTCCTAAGATTTTCTGATGGTTTCTCATTCAACTCTTGTTTTCTTTGTCTTGGATTTATTAGCATGTACTGTTTTTGTATTTTTAGGTGTAATTTTTTATATACCAGTATAAATCAAGTTATAGATATTAAGTTTGGGTTTCCATCATAGATAGGATTAGACAATAGCTTTTCTTTTACAGTTTTAGCTCCTTACCTTACCTTGTTAGTTCTAGCTATTTTTATGTACTAATTTAATATGTCTGTATAGTTATCTCACCAATAGTTGTCTATTCTTGTTTTAACGTGGGTATGTGCGCTTGTGTTAACTATCTTGTGAACAGATAAGTTCTCTTACAATAAACACATATACCTATCTTTGTCGTGCCTCATGTGAACCAGTCTCATCCTTCATATAATGATGATTTACTTTTCATGCCAAGTTGAAGTAGTTCCTTTTGGCAGGTTAAATGGTGCTGATATTGATATGCCTGAGTGGATGTTCTCTAAGGCAATGCGTAGTGCAAGAGTTAAATATACAGATCATTCTGTATTAAGGATTATCCAGATACTGGGTAAATTGGGCAATTGGAGGCGAGTGCTACAAGTCATCGAGTGGCTTAACATACGAGAACGCTATAAATCCTACAGGCTAAGGTAACATCTTCTCATCTTCTTTGCACTGATGTTTGTATGCACGAACGGTAATACCTTTCTTGAGGAAGAAATAATGAAATGTAATGAGCAAAGGACTTTGTCTTGATACTTGTTAATTTTGAAAGATAATCTCTCTGAATCTCTTCCCAGACTATCTAGAATGTTCTATATAATTGCTTAAATTGACTTCATCATACTGCAGGGTGAATCTCTGTCCTGTAAGGAAACAGAAACCCACTATAATGCTTTGGAGTGTAGCTTTTTGGCAATATATATTCTTTTACCTTTAACTTTACAGAAAAATGCTTGTTCTGTTTCTGTATGTAGTTTTCATGAATCATACCACTTCCAAAATTTTCCACTTCTTGAATTAGTTCATAAAATAGTTAATTTTGATTGGTAATTTTGGCAAATCATCATATGTTTTGATATAGGCACGTTTACACAACTGCACTTCATGTACTTGGCAAGGCAAAAAGACCTGTAGAGGCACTCAATTTATTTCGCGCAATGCAGGTAATGCTCAAGAATTTTCATGTGATGTCTTGCTCCTTTCTCATTAAATTGCAAGGTTATTTCATTGAACGGTATAAAAGGAAATCCTCACTGACTTGAGTCGCTGCCTTTTTTTTTTTTTTTTTTTTTTTTATTCCTGTTCTCTCCAGCAAGAAATGTCTTTGTATCCTGACCTAGTAGCTTATCGTACTATAGCTGTCACTCTCGGACAGGCCGGATATATGAAGGAACTTTTTGATGTAATAGATAGCATGCGATCTCCTCCCAAGAAGTTCAAATCTGGGACACTTGGGAAGCGGAACCCAGGGTTGGAACCTGATATTGTTGTCTACAATGCGGTTAGTGATACGTGGCAGTAACCTTGTCATCTATAGCTGGAAAACATTAGTCTGTAACTTCTGCACTATATTTTTTTGCTTCAAAACCCATAATGATGACTGTTGGGGGTCCCAAGCATGTGACATGTAATTAACTCAGCAAGCCTGTGTTTGCGGCCATGTGTTCAAAGTCAGCATGATTACATGATATTTCAAATCTGCTATCAAGGTCGAAGCTAATATAATGGATATTTAAGAAATTCTTAGAGCTGGTGTCTTGCATCACCTTATGCTTATGTTCTATGACATAATAGCTCTGAAATTCTTGGATGACAAGCTCCTTTCACTGAATCTAAACCTTTTCAAATTATACCATTAAGCTAAGTTTCACTTTCATATCTCTGTTATAAAAAATTCAGAAGCCTATTCTGCAAGTTCTGTAGATATGACCTAATCTTGTTATCAACGTATCAAACAATAAGCATCTTTGTCAGATTGAAATGACCTGAGAGGGTGCTCTGTGGTTCCTGTAACAGCAAATTAGAATTGCTAATGTATATTCTTTTGAAAGGGCATGTTTTCCATAGTCTTAAGCTATCACATCCATTGCATTTCTCTTCCCACTAATTGGGTAACATCAGGGATGGACTTGTGCCATGACATGCATGATCATGCACACTATTTATTGCCCTTGCCATATTCAAGTTATTATCTGGTAACCATTTCGATTAACAAAATGACATTCCTTGTGTATGCAGGTCCTAAATGCTTGTGTTCGGCGGAAACAATGGGAAGGTGCATTTTGGGTTTTACAGCAGATAAAGGAAAAGGGTGAGCAACCTTCTACAGCAACGTACGGACTTATTATGGAGGTAATAGCTGCCTATACTATCCATGGTTCTTATACATCTTGCATATCAGCAGGACCCGTATCTTAGAGTCCTAGTAATACCTTGTTGTAGGAGTTTATCATTGTTCTGATAAACTGCTAGTCATGTTTGCTTTATCATTGTTCTGATAAACTAATAGGCATGTTTGCTGACTTGCTGCCATGACTGTCACTCCATATTTCAACCTTCATAGAGCTGTTCATAGAACTGGACTTTTAATCTAAGCGTATGGACTTTTTTGCTCTGGATATAAGCACATCATGAACTGTTTGTTCAAATCCTATCACCAACCTCTTTGGTGGCCCTCCCAGGGATTCACCTCACCTGTTGCCTGATGCATGCAGGCTGAGAGGATTGAACATACCCCAGGTTGGACCCAGTGTTATAGGTTTAATTCGGCCCGACAGACTTACTTTGGTTTGTGTAGTTTGAGGTTAGTAACCTAATGTAAGTACATCATTTTGGTTCGGTAGGGAGTCATGTGAACTCGTTGGACACTATTAATTCTCTGGTCGGACTTTTTGTTTCTCATATCAATTCTCATGGTCGTATACAAATGACAGCACCTTGATACTTCGCAATTAAGATAATTCTAAGGTTTGTTGGATCTTGACTCATTCTCATGTGTTCATGTGTTAGTTTCTACTATCTGTTAATGTTGGATTCCATTATTAGTTTTCATTTGAAAGAGGGGGTACAATTTCACAACTTCATGAAGTGAATTAAAGTGATAATTTTATATCATTTTCCTGCTGCTTAAGCTAGGCGTCCTACCTAGCATCTTTTCGGGTGGTTTTGGTGTGAGTTATCATTGTCATAGCATAGGAGCATGAGCTATCCTTTTGACCTGCCTACGTCAAGAAAAATGTTTCCTATGAAAATGCTCATGTTGTATTAAACAGTGGATTATGGAACTTATAACAGTTTGCTAGATATTTCATTTTCTTGAGTATGCATCTTAATTTTTTGTAATAACCAGGAGATGATAAAAAGATTTTCTGCCTCGTACTTGAGCAGGTCATGCTTGCATGTGGCAAGTACAACTTGGTTCATGAGTTCTTCAGAAAAGCTCAGAAGTCTTCCATTCCAAATGCCTTAGTATATAAAGGTGCTTGGACTGATCTATCATTTCTTCCATTTGATTTTGTAGAACCTCATTTTGAAAACAAATTCTTGTCACATACAGTTCTTGTCAATACGCATTGGAGAGAGGGTAAGACAGATGAGGCTGTATTGGCTGTTAAAGACATGGAAAGACGGGGAATTGTGGGTTCAGCTGCTCTTTATTATGATCTTGCACGCTGTCTCTGTACAGCTGGAAGGTGTCAAGAAGCACTAGCTCTGGTAATCTTCTTATGCTTAATCTATTACATTTCTGCTGTTCATGTGGACCCAAAACTGAATCTAAGGAAAACTATATTCTAGCTAAATAATCTACATGCATTAAATGGTGTGTTAATGATTAGTGCTTATGAGCACGAGGAGCTATATCACTGAAAAAAGCAGAAATCTTGTATATTGTTTACTTTTGCCTGCCCAGTGAAGTTTTCAGTTTACTACTGTTGAATATACAATGAAAATGAGTAATGCAAGTTTGTCTTTGGTTCAGTGAGAGACTGAACAGGCCTTAGCCTACACAATTGGGCTAGCCCTTTCCTAACCTGAATACCAATCACTTGAGATCTCCAAGTAAAGATTCCAAGTATTACTGCTGGAGTGCCCCTTTGGACATGTTTAATAGTTTGCAAGCTTTAAAGCTATCTATTTGGTACACTCCTTGGTGCTTTTGTAAAACTCCATGATATATAAACAAGTAGACCGCAACAGGCCTGGTGTTGCTTCAACTGTCTCCAATTTGTGTGTATATTATTACCACTAGCTTTTCTTTCAACACACAGTTCGTCACAACTTGCTTTCATTTCACAGATTGATAAAATATGCAAGGTTGCCAATAAGCCGCTTGTAGTAACTTACACTGGCTTAATTCAAGCTTGTCTGGACTCTGGAAACATTCAAAATGCTGGGTACATCTTCAATCAAATGAGGAACTTTTGCCCCCCAAATCTTGTTACTTGCAACATAATGCTGAAAGCATATCTAGAACATGGATTGTTTGAAGAAGCAAACAAGCTTTTCTACAAGATGTTAGAGGATGGCAATCATATCAGCGGAAGATCTGATTACAAGTTTCGGGTAATACCAGATATCTATACTTTTAACACCTTGCTTGATGCAAGCATTGCGGAGAAGAGGTGGGATGACTTTGAGTATGTTTATCGAAAGATGTTGCACCATGGGTTCCACTTCAATGCAAACCGTCATCTTCGAATGGTACTGGATGCTTCAAGAGCTGGAAAGGTATTTCGCAAATCTATTGTGATTATTTAAATTTACACTTGTTCATGAACATACTATTGAAATGGATATTTATAGCAATAAAAAAATAAAAAATAAAACACTAGGATGCCAAACTGCATCTACTTCCTGACTGTATAGCCTGATTCAAGGTGGTATTATATGAGAACAGTTAAAAGCACTTTTAGGAATAACATGGATGCTTTGTTGAATTCCTTACGAGGCATGATAGGATTTTATCTTGGTAGGACAATTTGGATGCAATCTTCATAAAACACTTCTAGGTAATTCATTTGTTAGAATCTGAATTCTGAAAATTTTACCACTGGTAGAATCTGAGAATTTAGAGTTATGGAAATCTAAATTTCTTGTTCTTGTCCTCTTCAAATTTTAGATGCAAACTTTCAAGGGAAATTGAAATTTCTTGCTTTATCCTTCCAACACTTTAGATTTAGATTTAGAGAAATTTTACAACGATCAAACAGCATCAATGGTGTTTCCTTAGTTGCTAATCCTCAATTCAAGATAAGTTAGAAATTGATCCCATTGTGATTGCAGGAAGAAGTACTGGAAATAACTTGGAAGCACTTGGCTCAGGAAGACAGGATTCCTCCACCGCCTCTCGCCAAAGAAAGATTTTGCATGATGCTTGAAAACGAAGACTTTAATTCTGCTCTCGCCTGTATTTCCGCAATTCCTGTTGGGGAGTCTCAAGCTTTCTCTAAAAGTGCTTGGCTGAATCTATTTGAAGAAAACGGCCAGCGGTTTAGAAAGGACACCCTTATGCGGCTAATGCACGAGGTGCGTGTGCGTGCTGCTCGAAGCAACTCGCCGAACCCTGTATTGCAAAATCTATTAATATCTTGTAGTAATTATAACAGGCCTCGTGTAAAGGTTCCTGAAATCAATCAAACAGAACTTTTGTGTACAGTTCAATCTGAAACATCTTTGAAATCTTAATGAAACTTACTTGTATAGTTAGAAAACTAGCATATCTTAGTAATGATGGGTAGGGTTTACGACCTGCTTTCTTCTTTTTGTTTTCTTTTTAAATGTTAAGCATCTATAGCCATACTTAGTGGATTTGAACTATCTTCATGACCATGCAGCATCTGCTGAAGTTAATCACATCTCATTTTGAGGGGTTTACCAATGGATCTGTAGTTTATTGGTATTCTTGCAAAAGCATGATGAATTGAAACTAGGTTTAATTAGTTCCCAATTTTAGAATACATCATGAACGTGAAAAAGAAAAAGTGAGAGGGATTTGACTTGGATTCAAGAAGGAAAAAAAAAAAACAAAATGGATAAACAATGCTAAACTCCTGCCCTGTAAGCCCAGCCCAGGTAGCAGGAATTGATTTAATGAACCACTAACCTCCCCCATGTGGCCATGTGAGGACTCAGAAGCATAGAAAGAGAACCAGCTAAGTGAGCTTAGACTGCAAGTATGGAGGCCTGAACATGCCAGTCAACATCAGTTACATGTTGGAGCAATACAGTTAAGAAAGAAAAAACAGCCTTGGTTTTGTCCCCTTCACTATCTAACTCACGCCCTAAACTGGCTAAGCTCCTGACCAAGGTAGTCAAACTTTTCCTTCCTTTCTTTTGTTTCCCAGCTCTATTCTGTTTCTTATGTCATTGTTGTATGGTAAAATTTAGTTATGGAAGATTTGAACCAAGTGTAGATGTAATGGGCTGGATGCTAAAGAAATTAAATTCTGGGTTTTGTTTGTTTTGATGATATTATGGGATATGAAAGAAATTTGGATTACCACTCGATGTTTGGTTACTTGGAAAGTTTAACAGGAAATGAAAAGGAAATAGGTAGATAAGTTGTGAGACAGACAGATGAAGAATATCATGGAATATATCTGATGTACTTGTCAAGATTGACAAGGGTTAAAATTTCTTGTTCTGTTACATTGTGAAAAAATGAGATTAAATTCGACTAAATTAGAAACTGAGTAATTTTAGTGCTGTTTTTTCTGTTTTACCTGAATCATTTCTTTCTTTATACTCCTCAAGAAACATTGTGTTAACTGTTATTGTGGAATTTTAAGGGTCATTGAAACTATTTTCATATAGTCCTGCAACAGAAATAAAATGGTGGTTTCAAGCAGCGGTGATGTTCAAGTAGAAACTGAATTGAAATATGATCGGCAAAGCGAATTGAAGGCATTTGATGACACAAAAGCTGGTGTAAAGGGGCTCGTTGATTCTGGGTTGGCGAAACTCCCACGCATGTTCATCGATGACCAATTCCAGCTCAATGGAAAACCAGAATGCAGCAACTGGAAGTTCAGTATCCCAGTGATAGATTTGGATAGCGTCGATAGAAGTGCTAGACAACGCACGGAGGTAATTGAACAAGTTCGAGAAGCTTGTGCAAAGTGGGGCTTTTTTCAGGTTGTCAACCATGGAATTCCAGTGAGCGTGCTGGATGAAACAATTGATGGGATACGAAGGTTTCATGAGCAAGACATTGAGGAGAAGAAATGGTTCTACTCACGAGATTACTCGAAGAATGTATTGTACAATACTAATTTTGATTTTTACTCTGCACCATCGACTAACTGGAGGGATTCCTTGACTTGTGTTATGGCTCCTGATCCACCCACTCCTGAAGAACTCCCAGCAGTATGTAGGTATGTAACAACTCCATCATGTATTCTGTATTCATCCAAGAAGAAAGTATCTGTGCAGCAACGAAGATCGATAACAGTACCATTTATTGATGTTATAATATTCATTCATAAATTTTGGAAATCCATTTTGTCTCAGACTTTGGTTAGCATTATTTAAATAGCAAATCAACGAAGGCCTAAAAACAACCTTATGCCATATAACATCAACTGGATTGGGAAAATTTTTCGAAACAAAACCATGCATATTGTCCGAGTTAACGTTCAAATTTGAAGATACCGATGATTGTAAATGGTCCGGTTAGGAATTATATTACTGTCATGGCTATCATGCTTCTAGCTGGGTTCAGTTGTTGTTGATCTGCTAAAAATTGAACCATCGCCTTGATACAGCAACATGTCCTGCTATTTGTCTGTGGAATTTGTTTGTCCAGAAATGCATTAAGAAAGGTCAAAACATATGAAATTTTCTTCCGAATTGTTTCAACACAGGTCTGATCTAAATGCAGGGACATTATACTTGAATACTCGAAAGAAGTGACGAAGTTGGCACTCACTCTTTTCGAATTGATGTCGGAAGCTCTTGGTCTTGAACCCAACCACTTGAAAAACATGGGCTGTGCTGAGGGACTTTCTTTACTAGGCCATTACTACCCAGCATGCCCTGAACCAGGGCTAACTATGGGCATTAGTGGTCATGCCGACAGCGGTTTTCTCACCGTGCTTCTACAAGATCATATCGGTGGCCTCCAAGTCCTCCATGAAAATCAGTGGCTCGATGTTCACCCCATTCATGGGGGACTGGTAGTGAACGTTGGAGATATGTTACAGGCAAGTCTAAATCACAATTCTGTTTTCTTTTTTTCAATCTGATAGATCCTTTTCAGTGGCATTAAACGTAGGTTTTCATGTCTTTGTGCAGCTAATCTCCAATGACAAGTTTGTCAGCTTGTACCATAGAGCTCTAGCAAGAGATACAGGCCCAAGAATTTCTGTGGCATGTTTCTTGAGAACACAATTTCCTGAAGAGTCTTCTAGGCTATATGGACCAATCCCGGAGCTGCTATCGGAAGAGAACCCCCAGGTCTACAGAGAAACCACCATTAAAGAATTTCGGCTACGTAAAATCTCAATGGGATTCACCAGGTCTGCATTGCCTCATTTTAGGCTGTGAATCTGAAACTAGCCCTGCTTGGTTTAGATTTATTTGAATAAGCTGAAACTACATTGCCTCATGGAAGACAGACTTGTACTATCATTCGAATTGCAGGCTTCTACATATATTCAAAATGCCAATTAGGGTTCCTTTTCCTTTCTTTTTTTTTTTTTTTCAGATTGTCCTGTAAACTTACTATTTTCATCCATCTTCCATGCGTATGCGCATGGACTGATCCTAAACTCGGAGATTTCAAGCCTCTCACTCTTGGAACTGAGAAAGCAAGCTTAAACCTCGTGGTGGCCACAAGGAGGTGTGAGAGATGGAATTTGAACCTGAAATTTCTAGTTAAAAATTCATGAATGTAGTAAAAGATGAGTATTTTCGGACTAACTCGTGCAGCAAAAGAAAATAAATATCTATTCAAACGATTTTAAAAATACATTTTTAATATTGACCTAGAATATTTAAAGGAATAAATTCGCTGGAGTGCTAGTTTCAAAGCTTTAAAAAAAAAAAAAAATGATTACAGAGATTTTTCTATTCTTTCTTTTGTTTTTATCCGAAGTTTATCCCTCTTCGTTTGGTTTTTGTGTTAATCCCATCCTTTAGTTAAATTTTGAACCAATAGTATTAATTTATTTTTATTTTTTCTGTCTTTATCTCATTCATCTACTCTATTTTTTATTTTAATATTGTTATTTAAAAAAACTAAAAAAATGAACATATATTCCATCATTCTCTCTAAAAATTGAAAAAAAAAATTTTTTTTAAAAAAGAGATGAAGTTAAAAATATTTTTTTATCCAAAATATCATTCATGTGTTTAAATTTGTCTATATGATAATAAGCAAATTAAGTATAAAATAAAATATTTATATTATTTAGTTAAAATTTTAAATAGAATCTATTAATATTTATTTATTTTGATTTTACAAATTTCTTAATTTTAAAAATTTAACTAAAACTCTCTCCATATTTAAAAAAAATGCTATAAATATTTCATTTTATACTCAAAATTTAGTCACTATCATAGAGACAAATTTAAATACATGAAAGATATTTTGGATAAAAAAATATTTTTAACTTAATCTCTTTTTTAGTTTAGACTCAAAATTTACTTACTATCGTAAAGATAAATTTAAGCACATAAAAGATATTGTGGATAAAAATATATATTTTTTTATCTTCACTTTTTTTTTAATTTTTAGAGAGGATAATCGAATATATCTTAATTTCTTTTCTAGTTTATTTTCAAATTTTATTTATTTAAATTTAATAATAAAAAAATCAAGATTAAGGCTGAAAGATAGAGCAGAGAAATGAAATTAAGACATGAAAAAATTAACAGAGTGACGAGATTAAAATATAAATCAAATATAAAAAGGTAAACTTAAAATATATATAAAAAAAATAGAGATTTATGATATAGATAAAAGAAAAAATACAGAAACATCTACAACCACTAGAAAAAAACGATGAGACTATACCTCCTTTATTTTATTCTTATCTTAAGTAATTTTCTCTTCTCTCTTCTCCTTTCCCATCATATTTTCATTTTTTGTTTCTTTTACTTTCTTTTATTATAGGTTTTGGATTCGCATCATAATAAAAGCAAAAATTCGATTCGGACAAAGTAAAGTTTAATAAGAAGAAAAATACTATATTATAAAATAAAGTATAAATATGTTAATATGTCTTTATATAATAGTTTGAGTTTTTTGATTAATTTTTTCGACTATAAACAAATTTTTTTATCAAAATACTTCCGACTAAAATGTAAAAAAATAAAAAAATCACTAAAATTTATGTTACCTATCTATTCTATTTTTAAAGTTTATTATTATTATTATTATTATTATTATTATTTTACATTTCAATTAGGGGGTGTTTCGGTAAAAAAAATTATTCATAGTTAGAAAAATTGATCAACATGATGGTTTAGAGACTTAAAAATTATTGAAAAACATACTAAATATAATTAAAAACGTAAAGATAGATTGAAAACTCACATTATTATATAAGAATAAATTAATCTATTTATCCTAAGATAAAATTTCATAGAGAATGGGGACAAAATCAGCTTATCTTTCATTTGCAATGAAAAAATAATTTATCATTCAATAGGGTCAAATATCATGTTTTAATTAAGAAAATGTTTGACTAAAAGACAATAAAGATGTAATTGTTATATAATTAAATTATTACATGTTGTGAAAAAAGTTTGCCACTTGGCTTTATGAAAAATATATTGAAAGGCGTTTGAAGTCACGAGTCCAGTGGTGAGATTGAGAGTCGCTCACCGATGATACTCGGGTTTAATTCTCTCGCGCATGCTTATCATCTCCGCGAGTACCTTACCCGTCCACTTGGACTTGCGAGTGTTCGGTGGATCCGGGAATTAGTCGAAGTGCACGCAAGTCGATGCGGACACCACGAATTATCAAAAATATATATATATATATTGAAAGAAACTTTTCAATAAAGAAAACCTGTTACCGGCGACCTATTTTTTTATTTATACTCCAAGATTCAATGGAATGCCAAATGTACCATTTTTTTCTTTTTGTATTCCAAGATTCATTGGAATCCCAAATGTAATATTATTTTTTTCACTTCAAGATTCCAATACAAAATGAAAAAATTTATTTAGAGTAAAAAATAATAAATTAATTTAGTTTTTTATGCTTTAATTTTTTCAATAATTTAATTTTTTTATCACTTTTTTGTTATATTAATAAATTTTTCTTTTCAAATTACCTTTCATTTAATGTTTTATTTCTGTCATTTGCTTACCTTTTTTTCTGTTTTCTTAACCAAAAATCAAAAGAAAGAGATTAATTTAACAGAAAACTAATAAAATGACTAAATTATTAAGGAATTAAAAGTGAGAATCTTAAACTAATGATTTTTTTTTTTCAAATTACCTTTCTTCAGTTTCTTCCACAAATATGAATGACAAGTAACCCAACGTTTCACAAGATTCTTGCTAGTCCAAGTCAAATAAAAAAATCTCATTTGCCCCTCCTCCTTGAATCAAATCGATAACAACATGGTGACAACAAGCTCAGCTGAAATTGATCAAGAATCCAACTATGACAAGACAAGTGAACTCAAAGCTTTTGATGACACAAAAGCTGGAGTGAAAGGATTACTAGATGATGTAATAACCAAGATTCCAAAGATATTCATTCATGACCAAAGATCAGACGTTTCAAGTGATTCTGATCAGTCCGCTGTTCCTGTAATAGACTTAGAAGGCATAGATGAAGACAGAAGTCAACATGCAAAGGTAGTTGAGAGAGTTAGAGATGCTTGTGTCAACTGGGGTTTCTTTCAAGTGGTCAACCATGGAATCCCAGTTAGTGTTTTGGAGGAAACGATTGGTGGGGTAGCTAAGTTTCATGAGCAACGTACCGAATTGAAGAGAGAATGGTATTCAAGGGATTATACAAAGACGGTTTGTTATAATTCAAATTTTGATCTTTATCAAGCCCCAGCTGCCAATTGGAGAGATACTTTAAGGTGTGATATGGCTCCTCGCCAACCAAATCCCCAAGACTTCCCTCATGTATGCAGGTTAGTTTGTTCTAGTTGATATGATCAGGTTGGATTCGTTGTTGCAAAAACAAAAGTTCTGATGTTTGTGGGGTTTGGTTCATAAAGTTTGATGCTTTTGTGGAGATTCAAGTTTGTTTTTAGCTGTTTCATTCAAGGTGTTTGTGTTATGTTTCTATGAAGGATATTGATGTTAATTGTTTGAATATGTGTGTGTGTATGCTACTAAAATTAATGCAAGACCTGAATATGTTGGCATGATCCATCTAGCTAGCTAATGACTTTTTTCCAGAAGTAATTAATTTATCCGATTAATCGATTTGCAGGGATATTATGATTGATTATTCGAAGAAAGTAATGATTTTAGCACGTACGTTGTTCGAATTGCTGTCGGAAGCGCTAGGGCTCGAACCTAATCACCTCAAAGATATAAACTGTGCAGAGGGACTGTTTATTCTGGGCCATTACTATCCAGCATGTCCTGAACCAGAGTTGACCTTTGGCACCAGCACCCATTCTGATAGTAGCTTCCTAACTGTACTTCTACAAGACCAAATTGGTGGCCTCCAGGTCCTACATGAAAATCATTGGGTTGATGTTGCCCCCATTCCAGGAGCTCTTGTCATAAACCTAGGAGATATGTTACAGGTAAGTTTATGTTAATTTGACTTTGATTAGTCTCTATCTACTCCATGTCTTGTCTTATGTGAAAATGCCCTAGTTATTGTGCATGTATTGAGAACCTTTTGCTTTGATCTTTCATGATTTGATGTTTTAGCACTTCTTTTTGGTTGCATTGAAAGTGTGGGCTCATGGACTTGTCAAGCAATGTTAAGTATAGCTTGGTGCCTGATCTACTTGATTTGATTGATGATTGGTCTAAATTGATCAAGATAGCAATTATGCTTATTAGATTTTAGACTTCGTTAATGAGAACCAAATCAGTCCACTTTTCGAGTCAAATACCTTACATTGCACGTTGCCATGGAGTGAACCACACAGCTTTTTCTTGTGTTCATCTATGTAAAATATAGGTTGTTCTAACCATCTACATAATGGCGGCGATAAGACAATTTATAACAGTATAGAATAGGGATTATTTCAAAAAATTTAGATAAATTTGCTTTACAAGAATTTAAAACAGGAATGGATTACAATTGAAAGAAAACTTTCACTAAAAGCCAAAAAGAATTTAGGAATAGTAAAATTAAAAAAGTTATTCTGCATGTCATAGGAACACAAGTTATACATGGCAACTTTAATGATTAAAACAAAGTAAAAATCACAAAACAGAGAAAGAAAACTTTTATTAAAAACTCAAAAAAGACTTGACAATAGTAAAACTAAAAAACCAATTATACATAAATTGGAGATAAAAAATCATACATGATAAAATTTTAATAATCGAAACATAGAAAAAATCATAAAACAAGAACTAAAACGGAAAAAAAACTTTCACTGAAAGGCAGGGCTTAAAAACAGTACAATTGTTTTAGTTATTTCATTATAATGATACAACAATTGTGAATGAGAGTTGCCACTTGCCATGTTGATGGTAACTAGACAAGTAATGCATGCTTTAGTGTTTACTCACTCTCATCCATCTCTGACCTATTCTGCATATTTTGATGCAGTTGATTTCGAATGGCAATTTTATAAGTGTCCAACACAGAGTGCTAGCAAAAACTGTTGGCCCAAGAATTTCAGTGGCATGCTTTTTCAGACAAAACCTTCCTGCTGAGATGGCCTCAAGACTGTATGGGCCAATCAAGGAGTTGCTATCAGAAGAAAGTCCCCCAATTTACCGAGAAATCACTGTAAAGGACTTGGTGACCCACTACTATGCCAAAGGACTCGATGGGATCTCTGCTTTAGAACATTTCAAGCTGTGAAAGCTGGTTTTAGGTATCTAAGTTCTGAGAAGGTAAACGCTTCTGATGCATCTTCGTGTTCAAGCTCTAGAATGCTCGTGAAACACTGTGTTCCTTTGTGTTGTAATAACTATTAAATGAGCAAGGTTGTCTTGATGCCTTGTATGTGCTCTGATTTATGTATTTTGACCTCAAAATTGAGCATCTCATTCTACTCGATTTACAAGAATAATCACTCTTTCTCTTGTTATGAATCCAGTTTTGAATGGCGTTTAGTACAGATGAACTGACATGTCATAAAAAAATTGCAACATTTGATAACATGTTAGGTAAATTTTATTTTTATTTTTTTCAGAAAACCATCAAAGAAGGCAGTTAAAAAAATTTAAAGATTAAAGAGTCGCTAGAAGAAGAAGAAGAAGAAGTAAAGGAGTTGTATTAAGAAAATGTTATGATTAGAGGGACAAATCATGCGATTAATCCTCAATAAAACCTCTCTGGTCTCATTTGCTCCTTGGTAGCATCGAATCAAGAAAAATATGGTGGTCAAAAGCTGAGGCCAGACTCGAGAATCCGATTAAGACAGAAAAAGTGAACTAAAAGCTTTTGATAACACTAAAGCTGCAGTGAAGGGACTAGTAGATAATGGAATAACCAAGATTCCAAAGATATTCATTCATGAGCAAAGTCCAAACTTTCCAGTGATTCTCAAATGGGTATTCCAGTTTTAGACTTAGAAGGCATAGACAAGGACAGAACTCAACATTCCAAGGTAGCTGAGAGAGTTAGGGATGCTTGTGCCAAATGGGGTTTCTTTCAAGTGGTCAACCATGGAATCCAAGCTAGTGTTTTGGAGGAAATGATTGATGGGGTGCGTAAATTTCTTGAGCAAGATAGTGAAGCTTGTGAAATACTAGATGTTTTTATGTGTGAAACTATTGTCATAAATCATGTCAGAGCTAGGGTGTCTTGACGCTTTCTCTTGTTACATGTGTTTTCATTGTACCATTCCATGTACATAGCAATAATATTTCCTTCCGGATTATGAATTTTTTTGGATCCTTTAAGGTATCTCAGGCCTAAAAATCCAGACTAATCCCTTATTGTTTTGTTGGGCGCACAAGACGAGAGCAGCTACCTAAAGAGTTTTTTATATACATAAGGACTCGAATTTGAGACCACTTGTTTAAACGACTAGAGTCTCTTTCAATCAAGCCAGCCCTCTTGAATTCTGGATTATGTATTTTTGACCTCAAAGTTGCACTCTTCTTTTTGTGAATCCAATTTAGAATGTTAAGCCAAAGAAAGTACATTTAGACATTCAAATTCATTTCACTCCTTGTGTTATTGATCAATTTTTATTTAGTTTTTATACATGATTGGATGGTGATTGATTTGGAGTCTTTTTCCCAAACGAACCTGAATGTGGCAGCCATCCAATTTGTGCACACCCCCTAAAATCAATGGGGTTCGGTCAAGCAAGCTGCTTTATGAGTTTGGTGGCAGTTTAGGCACTCTGGTTTTCCCACAGAAATTAATTTCTTTGTCCCATAGTAGCTAGTTGAATAAATGAAGGAGCAAGTTGAGTTTCTATATGCGCATGACTCCAAAATACAGTCTCCACAAGTCAATCTCACTAGTCACTAGCATTAATCCTCAGATGTATAACTTTATATCCTTCTAAAGGTTAGGCAAATAAATGTTCAGTGTGTTGGAGATACGCCAATCTACCTTTCTCATTAAATGAATAACTCTCTGGGGGATAATGCCATATTGCCATTAATGACTGAATCTGGCAACCAGATTTGTTTCCTGCATAGGAGAATAAATCTGTGTCTCTTAATAGCATGCGGTTTTGGTATAAAAACACTTGGAAGTTATTTTACAAACCTGATCTTATACCCTACTCTGTTGTTCATTAGAAACAACCGAGAGTCTCAAGAAATCTCTTTTTTTGTGGTTCTCCTTCTATATGTTTTGTAGCTCAGTTCAATGCTTAAGATGGAACAATTTGCTACTTGGTCGACAGTCTCAGCTCCTCGTGACAAGCAAGGTACTACTTCAGCTGGAATTTGTAGACTTTTTGTGCTTATGAGCTTTATATTTTCCCATGTGATAAGAGTCTTTCTGATTCTGACTTTTTCATAGAATATACATGGAAGTTCTGCTTGCTCTAAAATGGTTTTGTAGTTTGCCCTTGATTTCATATAATTAATACACATGTCGTCGATATGTATGGTATGATGGGATCAAACTTTACATGCTATGGAAAATGAATAGGAAATGGAAATTAATGGTTTTTGTGAAGCATAGCCTAATCGAACATCTCATTGCATAGTCGGTTGGTTAGATTAGTCATGATAATTTGGACATGCCTGCTTTTATGCATGTAAAATCCATACAAAGTTATTTCCAAATGTAAGAAGTCGTGCAAGAAGTCATTCTGATATTATTTCTAGATTTTATATTTGCTCTTATAGCAAATCATCGTTTTGGTACTTGAAAATGATTGTATAATTTATTTCTTAAGAAAAGGTGTGATGTGATTGAAGAAGACTTGAAGGTTATCTGTGATTGAATCTGATCAGATCCAGTCGATTCATTTTCTGAGTGAATGCCTCTATTTGTTTCAAGGATTTTGTTTGGGACAAGGGGGAAAAGCTGTAGGAAGGATTTCTTTAGGTTCTGTATTGATATTTAAGATTGTTGGTTTAAGTTTGCCATGGTATGGAAAAATTTGGTTCATGCTTCCTGTGCTCATGGATTGGTTGCATTCATATCAGCATTCTCTGTTCATCCCAGAAAGCAAAAGCTGCCACATAGCTCTTGATCTTTTAGTCTTGACCAGTTCTGTTTTCGGTGCACGGAAACGAATGACTTGACACCTTTTCTATGGTTTAACCTTTTTTGCTGTCCCTATTGATTTCGTCTTAAGGTTATGCAGAAGAGATAAATTTTGATGCAAGTCAGTATGAGTTTTTCGGAAAAAACGTAGCTGAGCTTGATTTGGAAGAGTTGGATGAAAGCACGGATGATGCTCCTGCTGATGCAGCCGGAACTGAAGTATGTATGAATCAATTAATTCTCTTCTACTCCACCTTAAACTGAAAATTTTCATGCTTAAACTTCTCAGCTACTCACATCACCTGAACTTTTGTTCTCATACAGTTGAACAGGATAAGCAGACCAAGAAGACTAGGAGATGCTACTGAAAGAGTTTCTGCTCCTATGGAAAGTGAGTGGAAAGTAGTGCAGCAGTTCATTTCCAGCTGATGATGGTAAACTTATCAAGTGATTTTTCAAAACCAGATTGATTTTAAGCTAATTCTTCGCAGCAAAATTCGTTATAGCACCACCAAAACATAGCCGACAGACCGGAACTGTGAAATGGTTTAGTAACCGAAGGGGCTATGGCTTTATAGCACCAAGTGGTGGTGGAAAAGATGTATTTGTTCATTGTTCATCTCTTAAATCAGATGGCTGCATACATCTAAAGCCTAACGCTTTCGTCGAGTACGAAATCATCGGAGGCCCTGAAGGAAAAACACAGGCAATTAATGTAACTGCTCCTGGAGGAAGACTGCTTCAAGACAGCAGAAAACTTGGTCCTGGACAGGCAAGCATCGGTGGAAGCAGCACCAGCAACAACAGATCCTTAAGTTTCTTTAGCTCCAATACTATCAGTTTCATTAATGTTGGACCTTGTTTTTGCTGTGGCCAGTTGGGGCATTTAGCAAACAATTGCTACCTTGCTGCCAAAGGTACTAGTGCATGGTTCTAAATGAGGAACACAGAAGAGTTAAATTTGAGGTTCCAATAGGTTTAATTCTGATTAGGAACATCTCATCTCTTTACCCTTTTCCTGTAGAAATTTTTATTGCCTTAGAAGAGGCTTATTTTTGAAAGATTGGACATCATGTCTACTGACCCAAAACCATGGCCCCAAATTTGTAGGCTTTTTAGCCATTCCCATCATGTCATTTGGCCTAAAAAAAGAAGTCCTCCAAATGCCTTTAAATCTCTTTGCACTAAAAAGTGATTTAGTATCTTTCTTGTCTCTCACAAAAAAGATTAAAATGAACACTACGGTCAATGTAATGAGTAAATTATGAACAAATCCCTGTATTTTCAAAAAAACAAATTAGTTATTTTTTTTATTTTGAAAATTAATTATTTAATCTCCTGATTATTATTGATTATGTTTAATTTAATATTATTTTATTTCATCACATGTCATCTTTTCTCATTGAAAAAAATAAATGAAAACGAGAGGAAAGAGGATTAATTTACAAGAAAATTTTAAATACATAATAATTAAATAATTAGTTTTTGAAACAAGATTGATTGATTAATTTATTTCTCAAAACTAGTGGAATTAATTTATAATTTACTCTAAATGTATGCTGCTCTTTCTTTTCCTTTGGGCTATAATTTTAATTTTTTATCTATTTTTTGTTTTGGTTGCTAGAAAAACTTAAAACGATAAATGTAATGTCCTTAATCGTTATCGAATAAATGGAATATTGGTAGACTATTTTAAACCTTGATCAAAACATGTTGTGTTTATAGCAATTTTGTTACGGTTTGATTTTTGTTTTCGTCGATTCGATTAACCAAAAACCTAATATAAATCGTTAAAAACCTAATAATCACTTTAAAAAAAAACACTTTCAATTCGCTAATTGGATCTGGGCTTTTTTAGCTATTGATGTCAATGTAATTTTTGTTAAAACCGGCAGCATCAGGAGCTTGTCGGTGGGTTGGGACTGGGACTATTTCCATGGCCATTTAGAACCCTAACTTCTTGGGATTTTTTTTGTGCCCGAGAAAACTCTGTGCACGTGTTGCATCTTCCTGCATTCTAGCCCCATTTTCTACCAGTTTCTGATGGAAAACGTGAAAGGACCATAAAGTCTAGACATGAAGAGGGGGAAAGAGTGCCTAAAAAACAATAGTACTGCAAAAAATTAAATTATGTTTTTTATCTTTTGCTTTTAAGTGCTTTTGGGGTGATCATGGCAGACACTTGGAAAGAGATGTATGCATGCAGGCCAAACCCTAAAAGGCCAAAAGGCACTGAGTAGGTGACCAGTTATTTTCTTCGTCCACTGTGTAGGCTGTAGAGAAGGGTCCATGTTTTCGCTTCACGAGTAACTTATAAATTAGTACGTTTTGTTTTAAAAAATGAATTAATTAGTCCTTCTTATTTTATGATCTAATTATTTAGTCATTATATAAGTTTTCTTGTACTTTAATCATTTTTGTTCTTTTTCAATTTATTTTTATTTTTTATCTTAGGAGATAGAAAAAGAAAAAAATTAAAAAATATGAAAGAATTAGGAGAAAAGATAATATTTTTTAAAATAAAATAATATTAAATTAAGCATATCAATATTGATCAAAAGGCTAAATAATTAATTTTTAAAACAAGAGAAACTAAAATAGATGGACTAATTTATAATTTACTCTTCTCTTCCCTCGTCTACGCGTGGATATATTTTTTTAGTAAGCAAATAATTCAGAATAATGTATTCATTTAAGAGCATATAATTAACAACACAAGAATTTCGTTTATTTGATTGTAAAATAGCATTTTGGATCAATTAGTGCGTGAATGGAAATTAATTTTTGTTTTTTTACTATCTTAAAAATACATCTTTTATATTTTATTACTTTCAAATAAATTTTTTTGAACACTAACAATAAAATTTTTGAACTCAAAAAAAGAAAAAAGCATAGTACAGCTCCAAAACATGAGTAAAACTATTAAACACTGGTGTCAAACTTTAAAAAATACTCCTGCGTAGTATGGATATCGATATGGTGCACTCAATTATTATTATTTTTTTCTATCAAAAAGAGTTGGATTACCGTTTAAATAAGTGATTTTGAATTCGAATCTTTATATATATAAAAAAAAATTTAGATGATTGTGTCTCTCTCATGCACTCGATCCAACAGTAGAAGATTGGTTTGAACTTTTGAATCTAAAATATCCTAAGATTAAAAAAAAATTATTTTTTTTAATATTACAATTTTTTTATTTTTAATACAAAAGGGAAATTTCAACTAACAAATCATAATCCTTTTAAAAAAAATCTCATAGAAATTAAGATCATTATGTTGTAGACAACATGATACAAAACCTAAATATAATAGCTAGATGTCTTAAAACCTTTTTTTATATATATATATATATAATCAAATCAAATGGGTTGTGGTTTTTTCTTGTAATCATAATTGCTAGGTTTTAAATTCAAAATTGAAAACACCCTTTTAACCACACTTGAGATGGAACGTGGCCTGCCTGTCTTAAAAATAAAATAAAAATTAAATTGAAATTAAAGAACTCGTAATGATGATGCCACGCATGTTTGCCAAGCAATTTGGCACAGTCTGATTTGCAGATATTGATTTTAAATTTTACATTTAAATAGTAATTAATAATTATTATTACATTATATAAACATGAGAAAAAGCATTCGTGCATATTCCGTCAACTACAAAATAAGGAACGCGGCTTTCAATCCACTAAATTGTAAATTAGTCCTTTTATTTTTTATAAATGAATTAATCAGTCTTTTTTATTTTAAAAACTAATTAATTAGTCTATTGACTAATGTTGACCATGGTTATTCTACTATTTTTTTATTCTAAAAAGCCCCTTTTCCATCAATATTTCTATAATTTTTTCCATAAAAAAAAATCAGAGAATAACATAAATTGAACAAAAGAGATTAAATAATTAGTTTTTAAAATAAAATAATTCATTCATTCATTTATCAAAACCAGAAGGACTAATTTATAATTTATTCTTTTCCATCAGCATCCAAGACCTCAGATAAATGGTTCCTGGAATTTGCAATTTCGTGTTGCGCTGGCCAAAGCCGGCAACTAAAATGGACGACTAGTCAACATTTCAACACTTTGTTGGTGGAGTAACCCCACTCTATGGGTAAATAACAGTTTGGTCCATTAAGTTTATGATTTTGTAAATTTAACCAACTCTCTGCAGATTCTCAGGCGCATCAATTCTTATTCTTATACAGTTATACTTCTAGTTCGTGGTTGTTCAAGCCTCTCTATCCACTTATGTAATGGGCATAATTTATACAACTTGGAAATATATGGGTAGGGGCGTCCAAAATTTTTATGAAAGGATTAAAATCATCAAAATCTAAAAATTGGACAACCATGAAGGTAATTTACCATATAAAAGCAATTAGTTTTTTTTTTTTCTTACTTTATTTGTTAAAGACATTTAGTTAACATAAAAATTGGTAGAAAAGTTTTTTTTTTTTTTTTCTTAAACTGCTTATGAAAGAGGAATTATTTAATTGCATAGTTTGAGTTTTTAGAGTATGATGCCCTTCCTCGTCTTTAGGTGCCTAATTATCTATTGTAAACCTTTCTTCATTTAAATATCACCCATAACTTTAAAGTTGTGTTATCTTTTTATAGGTTCGAGATTCATATCTATGAATTCGAAAGGAATGAAGGGTGTGAATGATCAACAAAAATAAAATAGACCCTATATGCAGGAATTGGGCCACTGTGTATCCCATCCCTAAGAAAGTAAACGAGTAGATTAAATAGTAATCCATCTTGTTTTAAAATTAATTATTTAGTTTCTCTAGTATTTAATTTAATATTATTTTATTTTAAAAATATTTTATTCTTTTATCAATATTTTCATAATATCTATTTATTTTTTATTTCTTTTATTTTTTTAAAACCAACGAGACAACGCAAATTTAAAAAAAAAACATAAAAATAGATAAAAATAACTAAATAATTGATTTTTTAAATGGGTCAAACTCTCACGTGTCCTTATATAATAGGTCAAATATCTAATTTGTCTTTAAATCCAAAAAGGCCTTCACTCCGTTCTTATTATTTGAGCTTGTTTTTAATCTATCGTTTTAGTCAAAATTTTCGACTAACTCATAAGAAATTCATATATTAATAGATATGGGTCACTTGTACCAAAAAAATAAAAACAGTTTTGTCCACTCATATATTATATGCAAATTACATACTTAATTTTGTCAAAATTTTAACTAAGAGGATATATTAGAAACCAAGCACAAATAATAAAGATAAATTTGATGCGTTTTTTTTATTCAAGGGCATATTAGAAATTTAGCCTATTATATAAGAGTATGTAAATATATTAATCATTTTAAAAAAAAGAACTAGTTAAAATATTTTTTAAAAGTAAAGAAACTAATTTATAATTCACTCGATGGCAAACCAAAGCATAGAAATGGTTTCATCCAGCCATAGTGGACCTTTAGACTCCTTTAAGAGCCAAACTAACGAGTTTGATTTGGTCAAAAAAATTATACATTTTCGCTATTAAGATCTCATAAGTTTGGTGCATGTCCATCATCAACCAATAAGCATAATAGCCTAATAGCCCACTAGTTCTCCTAGTCTATCTCAATCTTAATCACTACTTTTCTCAATGCAAACCACACACATATATATATTCAGAAATTTACATCCTTTTCTCTTGATAGACCTCTTGTTTTCTTCCTTTACCTAACCCAAATTCTTTAATCATGTACGTTTCAACTAGGTCAAAGAAATTTAAGAAGAAATTAAGTTGACAGTGCTATTCAATCAATGAAGGATTAGTCTCAAATACTTTAGGGCCAACAATAATTATTTTGAATAATTTTAAATTATAGGCATAAAAAATATAATCTTCAAGTTCTCATCACTTCAATTGGTATTTGAATATTTGACATTTTTGTTTGGATAATTTTTTTTTTTCTAGAACGTAGAGATTCAAAATTGAGATGTATTTAAAACAAGGAAGGACACGAATATTAGTTGAGATATAATAATTCAAGCTCTTTTTATGTTTCTATGTTTCTTGAAATGTCAGGATTAAAAACAGATTAGCAGTAATAGTTAATTATTTTCCTTTTAAGTGGAAAAACCTAATTGAAAATTTCTATTCTTCTTGTCATTTTCCTGAATTAGTGAAATCATGAGCATAATAAGAAGGGATTTTGAAGTCACTTAGATTAGGCTCTTCTTGGCGGCAAACCGATAGGGATATGATTGGGGACTACCTAAGCTATATAAAAAAATTGAAGTGGCTGCAAATCAAAAGTCAACACCAAGTTAGGTACTAAACAATTGAAGTATTGAAAAATAAAAGGTCACCTAACCTAATAAATTACTACTACTAATTCTACGAGTATGTATAATTAGTCTATTCAGTTTTGAAAAATGAATGAATTGGTCATTGTTGTTTGAAAAGTTAGTTATTTAATCTTTGACCGGCATCGATCATATTTACTTTAATACTCTTTTTTGTTTTAAAAAAATTTATTTTTCTATTTATATCTATCTTAAAACATTAATCTGATTAACACTTTACGTACCCATGCTTAAAGTTTATTTTAAAAAAAAATTATCCCAATATATATTTTTTACAGAAAATATTTTAAAAAAGTATAGACAAAAGTAAGGGTATTCACTATTCGGTGAAAATAAAAAAACTGAACCGAACCATGCTGAAATATCAATTTTAGTGCGGTTTTTTATTTTAGAAATTAAAAAAAAAAAACGAACCGATATATAACTTCGTTTTAGATTTCGGTTTCGGTTTTTTTTTAAAAAAAAATTAGTTAACCGAATTATTAATTTTTTAAAAAAAAATTCATGATTGAAATAGTTGAATGGTATCTTAAGTGGATTCATGTTCAAAAAATATTTTATGAAATTGAAGTAAATTATATATTAGTTCAATAATCAATGTTGATCATGCTTAAATTAATATTAATTTATTTTAAAAATTTTAAACTTTTCTCATCAATTATTTGATTTTTTTTTTTTTTACTTTTTTGTATTTCTTAAAAAAAAAATCAAAATAAATTGTAAAAATATAGAGACTAAATTTGTTTCTCAAAACTAGAGGGATTGATTTATCATTTATTTTATAAAACTTCAAGAGTTGAAAATGTTCTTCAACAAAGGAACTAAATTTAAACATTGATCATACAATATTTTACGTTGACCAATTTAATTGTAAAATTATCGAAACAAATATAAAAAAATAAAAAAAATCTTGAGGATTAATTGCGAGTGAAAACCGAATTATCGAATAAAAAAACGGTATATTTCGAAACTAAATCGAAAAACCGAATAATAATTCGGTTCGGTTTTGGTTGTTTTTTTGAACAATTCGGTTAACCAAAAACCGATAAAAAAATTTCAAAACCGAACCGAATTACCGAACGAACATCCCTAAACAAAAGATGTTGATACAACATAACAATTACTCTTTTTGTATGAAAAAAGATCGTTCATTTTTCTATTTATATATTTCCTAGAATGTTTGTCCGATCAAATTTTTTTTTTATGCGATTTCTTAAAATACTCTAATTAAAATCCATTTTGTAAAAGATTGTTCAAATATAATTCTTTAAAAACATATACTTTCGTAAAGTATAAACAAAATATACCGATATGACATAACAGCTTAATAACTTTTTTAATCTATATAAAAAAAGTCAAGGAGACAATCTCTTTGAGATTGAGGTAATAACTTTTCTTAACTTGTATAAAAAGTCAAATATGACAATCTCTTAGTGTGGAGAATATATATATATATGTAAATGTCATATTGTTTCATCAATTCTTCTATATTTTTTACTTGTTTTTTTTTTCTATTTCTTAAAATAAAAATAAACTAAAAAAGAACAAAAAGATTAAATTACAAGAAAAATTAAAACATAAAGATTAAATAATTAGCTTTTGAAACAAGACAGACTAATTAATTCAATGTTAAAACTAAAAGAACTAATGTATAATTTACTCTTCTTCTTTTTTCCAGCCTCATCTAGGAGTGAGACAACCAGCCTTTCCATATCTAGACGGAAAGGGTATGATTCCTTCGAGCATGGATAGTCCAAAACTATAAAAATCATTGCTTGAACAGGTTAGACCATGTTGCAACTATGCCAACACATGTGCAACATTATTGCCATAATGTCTTCTTTATGCCACAAAATATTTATACTAACAATACAACCAATAAATGAGACGGTCCAAGGTGGAAGGCAAAATATTTAATCAATTGATCTTATAATAACATTATAACCTATGATCAAGACCAATAAAAAGAAGGGAAAGAAAAGTTGTTTATTTTATGAACATCATGAAAAGATTAATGATAAAAAAAGATGGTTTTTGAAATAAAAAATAACAATTAAGCATGATCAATACTGATAAGAGATTAAATAATTAATTTTTAAAATAAAAATTATTAATTAAATTATTTCTCGAAACTAAAGAGATTAATTTATAATTTACTCATTTAAAAAGGGGTGTCATTTGCATGATTCTATTCTTGGGTATCTATTTCTTGGATGCCCATCAATTCTTTCAAGATTAGGATAAAAGAGAATGGATTTTAAATTCGAGTAGTAGATTTAGTTTCGATTAATGAATTAGTTCGAAAATATCTCATTATCTAAAAAAAAAAATTTATAATCCTTACATGTGTATAAAAAGAACTTAAATATAATCGATGTATGTGTATAAAAAGTTCTTATATATATATATATATATATATACACACAAACGAAATAAAGAATATTTTTCATATCAGTTTATACATCAATTAGAACTAAATTTTCAGTTTATATTTGCATGATCTCTTAGCCTATTACTCAGGAGAATTAAAAGAAAAAAAAAAGGTAAATTAATTTGTTTGCTTTGTGTCAATTTTCAAGTTTTGGAATCCTTTTAGAGAACCGACAAAATTATTATTTTCTTTTTTATTTTTTTCTAGAGGGGATTCGGTTTATTTTCTAACCCATGGTAAATCGACAAACATTCTAGTACTTTCATGGGCATTTAATTGAGTGGGTAGAATTGGGTCCCCAAACAAAAACAATTTTTAATTGGGTTGTCTATAGACATTTCCAATTTACCCTTCTCTTATTTTTTATTTTTTGCATTTGAAATTATTAAAAACGAGGACCTATTTGTATTACGATGACTTATTTTTTGTTATAAATTTTTGTGGTAGGGATTAATTGGGTAATGTTTGATAAATGGGAATCCAATTAAGATAATTTTTTGTTTGGAGACCTAAATGAGAATCACATGATAGTTGAGGGATAAATATGTCATCTTCTTCTTTTTGATTAGTTAATTCTAATAAAACCACCATTAATACAGCTTTTAATCGCGTAAAATATATAAACACTTCCTATAGAAATGATAGAGTAAATTACAAATTAGGCCCTTTAGTTTTTTCAAAATGAATTAAATAATTTTTTTAGTTTCAAAACCTAATTAACTAGTCCTACGTTTTTACATCTATTTATAATTTAATTTTTTAAAATAATAAAAAAATGGAAGGCTTGATAAAAAAATAATACATTTTTTAGAATAAAATCAGATTGAATTAACAATGATCATCATTGGTTAAGGGATTAATTAATTAGTATCTAAAACAAGAAAGATTATTTGATTCGTTTTGGAAAACTAGATAAACTAATTTATAATTTACTCGTAAATGCCACACGGTGTTCTTTTTGCCGACAAAAAGAAAATTGAGGGGAAGAAAAAATTGATCATTAGCACGAGAGGGAAGAGCTAGAAAGACAATAATACCCTTTGGTTGGAGAAATTAACAACGGAATAGCAAAAGATAGGTTGTATTCGTGCCAAGATTGTGTATTTCGTCTAAACCAAAATTCAAAGGAAACAAATTCATGCATACTTACTAAACTTGAAATATTTGAATTAATGACTATCTTCAAATAAATTCATAAAACTAATATTTTATTTTTAATTCTTTTGTGTCAAGATTTAAATCTAAATATATTTGTTAGGCAATAAAAAACTATATATCTTTGTTTAATTTGATTGACAAGTGGATATATTTGTCACATTATTATCACCAAAGTTGATTTAAAAAAATATATATATTTTTATTCAGATATCTCTATTTTATATTAAAAATATAAACAATCATATTCAATCAACGATCTTTTATATGATGTTTATAGTTCTGGTTCAGAAGTGTTACGTATTACACGTAAATAATCATATTCGAAACAAAGATAATAAAATTTAATTTTTAAAAATAAATATAATTTTAGAATTTAAATTTCATTATTACTATAAAATTTATCTGAAAGTAATTCGTCAGCTACTGCACCAATGACTTGATCGTTAAAGACAAAAAGAATCTAATGCAAACAAGCTCTTAGTTTTACCGTTAGTTAGTATAGTTATTTCACTGGTTACGGTACTAGATGATGACTTTTATTTTTTTGGTAATATGTGACCGGTGAACAACTCATATTAAAAAAAAAAAAATGAAACCATACCATCTAATGAGAAAAGATTATATAAATATTCTGAATATTTTATATACCACAGTTTGAAGCATATGAGTTTGCTCCTTGTATTACTAATTAGAGTTCGAATTTTATAAAAGATGATAATTTTTTTTTTCATGAAAACGTCGGTTTCGATACAAAAAACAGGAATAAGATGTATAAATTGACAACTCGGGTAAAAGAGAACGTACGAACAGATTCCGCCATTCAAGCTGTCCCTTCTTCTTCATGTCAGGCCCACTTCTGTCTTTGTCTTCTCCTCCGTGGGACAACCAAAAAAAAAAAAACAAAAACAGAGAGAGAGAGAGATGTGTTAAATTTATTTATATATATATATATATATATATTAAAATGGATTTTGAGTTTATCCATATTTGATATAATTTGAATTTTTTTATTAAGATTTTAAGTTTTTTATTTTTATCTAATTTAAAAATTATTCTTTTATATTATTATCATTTCAAATCCTAATATGTCGTATAAGCATATATGATAAACTCTAATTAATAATAATTTGACACACCACTAACCTAATCATCCAATTTAAGCTCAATATGACACATGATAAATCATTATTGGTTAGAGTTTGTCATGTGTATTTACGTGACACATTTGAATATGAAACAAATTGAACAGAAAAAACCTTAGGATCCGAATAAAAAAATTCGAATTATACGAGATCTTAATACGTATAATTTTTTTTTAAAATATTTATTTGATCAAAAATTTAAGCTGAATGGTTTTTAAAATACTTTTATTTAAAGTTTGTTTTCTAAAAAATGGACAATATAAATAAAAGATACTAATATACTATAATAATTAATAATTTTTTTAATCTATGTAAAAAATCAAAATAGATAATTTTTTTTTAAGAATAATTATATTTATGATGCATTTTTTATGTTTTGAGAAAAAAGTATTAAATTTAGCTGAATGTTGTACTCCATTCTCTCATAAAACTTATAATTTATTAATTATTTTTCTAGTGAATCTCATGTTTTTTAAAGATGAGTATTAAATTTATCTGGATGTTTTATGTACTCTGCTCCTTCATAAAAAGCATATGATCTATTTATCGTTTTCATGATGAATTTCACAAAAGTATCAAATGTAGCTCACAAAACATGCAATTTATTAATTATTTTTACGGTGGATCCATGTTTTTAAATAAAAACAGTCTTTGTGTCCTAAAAAAACTGTCATATTCAATTTTCACATATATTAAGAAAGTTATAAATTATTATTCCATATTAGCATTTTTTGCTCCTATTCTTTTTAAATATGATTTTTTTTTAAGAATGATATTTAAACAATATTTTACAAAATCAACTTTATTTAGCAGTATTTTAAAAAAATTATACTAAAAATTGTCATATTTAATTTTTTTTTACATATATTAAAAAAGTCATCAATTGTTATTCCATATCAATATTTTTTGCTCGTGTTTTTTAAAATTTTAATTTTTCAAGAAATGTATTTAAATAATATTGTACAAAATCATTTTTTATTAACTGTATTTTAAAAGATTATATTAAAAATTTTGATTACTCAAATATTTTAGCACGCATGTAAATAAAAGATAAACCATTTGTTTGAGAAATTTAGAAAATACCATACGAGATCCCATATCTTTGGGAAAGAATAAACTATACCTACGTATTAATTTATTGTAAATTTTTTTAAAAAAATACAAAAAAGCTGACAGCGAAGCAATGACACGGTGGCATGTAATTCGGGAAAGGACATGAGTTTTAGCATATACCAAAGAAAAAACCTTTGCCCCGCATTCTCCGCTTGAAACTCGTATGCCTATCATTGGCTCTCCCCTAAAGGCATTTCTAAAAATATTCCTAATACCAATCTCAAGGCATTGCCTATTGAGATTGGTTAACCAAAAACAATCACTATCCTAATACAATTTTGAATGTTTATATTAGGAGCCAGATGTCATCATCACTTTCCATCTTGATTTTGAATGCAAGATGTCGACATCCTTAAATCGTCGAGAATGATTAATAAGGAAAATTTTATAATACGTAAAGGGTAATTAGTAACATTTACAGATAGTTACTTCTGGATTCACTTTAAAAGAGAGATAGACACATAAAAAAGAGAGAAATTATATCTATACTTATTAAAAGTGATAAGAAAATTTCCACGTCCGCTTAAATTTTTTTATTTTCTCTCTCTTTTTTGTGTGTCTATCTCTCTCCTCAAAGTGGATCTAAGGAGTAATTACTGTACATACCACTAATTACTCCATATGTATTATAAAATTTATCGATTAATAAGTCATCGTTTTAGTAATGAATGAACTGATCTCTAAATAAATTTTATGTCAATACTTAGAATTTGAATCGTAAAATAACATTTGTTAAAATAGATTAAACTTTGTTATTTATATTCTGAATAAGATTGGTCATATTTTCGATTTGAGATATGACCGTTCGACTAAAAATAAAAAAAAATTATTGAGAATGAGACATGGTTTGAATTGATATATAATATTATAGGAAAATAGTTACTAGTCTAGCAGCGAGTGAGTTGATCGCTCTATGAAATTTTCAATCAATGTTTAAGATTCAAATCGTAGAGTTGTATTTATTAGAAAAAAATTAAACATTGTTGTTTCGTTTTGAATTAAATTAGTTATATATTTAATGTAAGATATAAATATCAGAGTCAAAATAAAAAAAAATTGTGGAGAATGAGATATGATTTGAATCGATATATAAACTTACTCACAAATATTCTTTATTATTGAATTAAAAAGTTGAGTACATACGAAAGAAGTTAGGAGATAAGACCAAACTAAGCTATAACACCTCATGGCATAACAAGAAATTTCTTGGAAATTCTATGAAGTCTTGTACTGATAAATAAGAACATACCAATCTACCAAAATCCAATCTAAAACCCAACCTAAATGGTATTTAACCTTAATTTATAATATCAAAAAAAAAAAAACCTTAATGACAAAAAAAAGAGTAAAAACGCCAAATCTCTTACGAATTTTGGTTCATTTGAAATATTTTGATCTTTTTGAGATTTTTTTTTAAGATTTATTCTATCTTTTAATTTTTAGTTACTATTCTTTCTTTCAAAAAAAAAAAAATCAATTCTTAACATTTTGAGTTAATTTTTACACACTTTGAAAAAATCTAATTTATTTTCTAAAACAATCTCATAATTTAAAAAGAAACGAAAAATTCAAATAAATTTTACTAAATAATCACAGTCGCTGTGAAGCTATTTATTTGATTGATATTTTTTCATTAAAAAAATTATTGCAAAACTTGTTATTTTAATTCGACGGTGAAAACATTATCAAACTCACTTATAAATTAATTGATATTAATTTTTTCTTCCAAGGATATTAAGTTACAGCCGTACCGACTTTGAAATTAGGGTTAAAGAAAATAAAAAACAAAAGTGGAAAAAGAAATTTTTTTTTCTTCTAAATTTACGTTTCAAACCTCTCTCTCTCTCTCTCTCTCTCTCTCTCTATCTCTCATGTTCTCACTTTGTTGACAACATGGAACGCACAGAGATTTCTCCGCCTATTACTACAGCTCTTCCCTTTCACATTCAAACGCACCTTAACATCCGGAAACACCTGTTTCTTTCCTCTGCACTTTTTGCTTCCTGTACGTTTCTCTCCTTTTCTCTGTCTCTCTCTAAATTTTTACAATTTCCTTTTCTCTCTCTTTCTTAAAATCTTTAATTAATTTATGTAGTTAGTTCTCTTTCTCGCTTACGTTTTCTTGGTCATCTTTTTGTGGGTTCTACTTCGTTTCTCCTGTAAGTGCATGTCCTTAAATTTCAAGCCCTTTCTTCCCCTTTTGTTGTATATTTGTGTTTATAGTCTGGATAGATCTTTTTGTGTTTTTGATAAGAAAATTTGGCTTTTTTGGGAAGTTTGGTACTGGCGTTGCCCGTTTTCAGGTACTGTCTTGATGTTAAAATTCAAGTGTTTTTTGTCTTACCAAACTGTTGCTTTCGAAAATTTGAGCCTTTTTATTCCTATTTTGACTGACTGGCTGGCTCTTTTTTTGATAAAGGTGTGGTTATTTGAAATGGGTTTTAATGGATTGGTGTTCTTGGATCTTGGGGAATTTGAAATGGGTTTTGCTTATGGTTTTTCTGGTATCAGACACGCCGTTACAAACAATTGCAATGTCTTTTTTTTTTTTAAATTTATTATTGCTATTTTTTCATATAAAAAAAATGATTTTTGAAAGGCGATTTTTTTTCCTTCTATGTGTGAAATGGTATTTTTTTGGGAAACTTGACCATTTGTGTTTCTTGATTATCTATGGTGGACATTCTGATATCAGATATTTTTTTTTAAAAAAATTTCTGGTATCAGACGCGCCCTGACAAACAATTGCAATGTCTGTGTTTTTTCAATTTATTATTCCTATTTTTTTGTTTATATATAAAAAACGAGGTTTGGGAAGTCTTTTTTTTGTTTACTGGTTTATTTGGATCTTGAAATTCTGCACCCTTTTGTCTCTTTTTACTGGTTTTAGATAGTAAAGATTTGAATATGAGGGGTGAATTTTTCTGGGTTTTTGTTTTTTCCACATTTTTGAATTGTAAAATTTTTGTACCTTTATTATTTAACCTTTTTCTTTCTTTGTTTTGGCTTCAAATACTTAATTAGGGTCCAGCTGGTCTTCCTTTTGCTTCTGATTTCACCTTTTTGGTATTTTGGTTTCTTCTGTTTCAAACCCAATTATTGCTAATGGTTTGAATTTGATTTCATTGCAGCAGACTGGAGCAGAAATCACTGATACAGAAGCTTCGTTTTGACAGATATATACTGATTGGATTTTGAAGGAGACTCCAAATGCTAAGTTTTGGCAGGACCAGAACTCAGCCAAGGTCCAATAGATCAATGTCCCTTGGAGGTCAGTTTCATGGCTCTGCATATTGATATTGAAATGCACCCTCTTTACTCCCTTGATGTTACTAGTGATGCAATTGTTTTTTGCTTATGTAAAACTTTTGATTGCTTTCGGGGTTTAATTTTTGGATTTCCTCATTCTGTTGCAGGTATGGATTATTCAGATCCAAAAAGGAAAAACAATGTTGTAGGAAAGATTCTTTTGGCTGCTACCCTAACAGCTTTATGTATAATTATGCTCAAGCAATCTCCAACCTTTAATTCTCCAAGCCCGGTAACTCTTGGATCCTTTATTCATTCTCTTCCTGTTATTTCAGTACTCTGTTGTGGAAGTTGACTTCAATATGATTGAGAGACAAGATTTTTTTTTCTTTTGCCAATTTGATTGCCTGGATCTGATCAAAAGATACCTGGTTTTCCCCCTGAAGCTGCAGAAATAGCATCTGAAAACTTGAAGCATGTTCGTTATTAGCATCTAGAAAATGCAGTGTCATCCCTCTGTATAAATTGTATCACCACCTTTACCGCACCAGTAAAGGGCATTTGGAATTTTTTATGACTTTCAAAATCTGGAATCATTTGTCCAAATCTCAATTAAGTTTGTCCATTGAATTACAATTTGAGGTTATGACATTTTCTTATGTGCTTTCTGATTTGTCAATTTGTTTATTTCAGTTTGCTTTGCATGAAGAAGGGGTGATCCATGTCCTAGTGACAGGTGGTGCTGGCTACATTGGTTCTCATGCAGTATTACGACTGTTGAAGGACGGTTACCGAGTAACCATAGTGGTATGTTCATTACGTGAAATATAGTAACTTCCTTTTGGGACCTTTTATTGCCTGTGATGTTAAATTCTTTAGATCTTTGAAGTTAATGGTTTTCATATTTTTAACAGGACAACCTTTCTCGAGGAAACTTAGGTGCAGTCAAGGTTTTACAAGAATTATTTCCAGAGCCTGGGAGGCTTCAATTTATATATGCTGACTTGGGAGATCCTAAAACTGTATCCTGAATATTTGATATATAATTATATAATGCTGATTTTAAGTTGTTTTCAAAGACAGGGGAACTTGGATGTTGCAACTGTTTCCTTTACCAAAATTTCAGGTTAACAGTATCTTTTCACAAAATGCATTCGATGCTGTGATGCATTTTGCAGCAGTTGCATATGTTGGGGAAAGCACCATGTATCCTCTTAAGTAAGTTTTCCTTGGGATAACGACTTTAAATTATTGCTCTTTTATTATGTAAATTAAGTTGGAAACTTGTATTTTCTTTTATTATGTATTTCACTTTTATATAGCTGTATGGATCATCTCTTAACTATAATCCAATAACCTCTATTCATATCGAAATCAATACCCTTAATCATATGTGTCCTTAATGATGTTATTTTTGTCTCTGTTGTGCAGGTACTATCACAACATTACATCAAATACCTTGGTGGTGTTGGAGGCAATGGCTGCAAACGATGTAAAGACTTTGATATATTCAAGTACATGTGCAACATATGGGGAGCCTGAAAAGATGCCTATTACTGAAGAAACACCTCAGGTTTGATTCTAACTGGCATCCTTTATTCATCTCTTTGTTCAGTCTATAGTTTCATTCAGAACAAGAGAGCGCAAGAATGATAAGCTACTGCTCGTTTACTTCACATTAGGTTACATGCTAGGTGACTGATTTATATTTGTCCCCTAACTCAGGTACCTATTAATCCATATGGAAAAGCTAAGAAGATGGCAGAAGATATCATCCTTGATTTTTCTAAAAATTCAGACATGGCAATTATGATATTGAGGTTGGTATCGATCACCCTTGTCCCTTTTCTTGAAATTGTTAACTTTCCAATAGTTGATCTATTTTTTATTGTTATTTTTGGAGTATTTCTCAAATGCTTTTCATTTAATTTACTAGTTGATCTTATTTTCTGTTGTTGTTTTTGAAGTATTTCTCAAATGCTCTTCCTTCAGTTTTTGAATTCACTGCAGAAGATGAGTCTTTGAATACAATATTGATAATATAATCTAAAGCAACATCTCTGTCCTGAAATGAAAGTCTAATAATAAGAATTTCTCACTCTTAAAGGTATGAATTGATGAATGCTTTTCTAATCAACTTTCAGATACTTCAATGTGATTGGATCAGATCCAGATGGCAGGTTAGGTGAGGCTCCTAGACCTGAACTGCGTGAGCATGGACGAATTTCTGGTGCTTGTTTCGATGCGGCTCGTGGTATCATTTCTGGGCTGAAGGTATTTTGATTTTGATTTGACCTTGAATATTTCCCTCTAGATCAAAACTGCAACATGATTGTTGATTATTTCAAGGCTATGCTGCAAAAAAGTAGAAATTTCAGCTTGCATTTTGGTAGAAATGTATGATTCTGCAATTGTTGGTGAAAAAAAGGATTTTCTTCATTTAATCATTTGGAAAACAAGTGTAGAGCACTGCCCCTTCCTGCTTGGTTATTGGTGTTGCTTTGATTTTCAGCGCCTGGTTGGCTTAGTTTATGTGCCGATTTCTTATTTGCTGAAAATTTAGACAATTTGGGAATTTTGGAATCAGGTTATTGGGACATTCATTGAGGTTTCATACCAGGAGACTGCTTATATGTGCCTGCTTTCATATGAGTTGTGACTTTTTAACAAAAAAACTCTTGCCCTAATCTGTTGTTATTTTTACATCTCGATGAATGAAATTCTCAGAATGTGTTTATGTGTTGTTCCACTTTGCAGGTTAAAGGAACAGACTATAAGACGCACGATGGAACTTGTATAAGAGATTATATTGACGTTACTGATCTTGTTGATGCTCATGTTAAAGCACTTGAAAAGGCAATGCCTGGTAAAGTAGGAATCTACAATGTTGGCACTGGAAAGGGTGGGTAACCAGTTTCATCGTTCACTGAGCCATTTTTAATTGATCTCGTGTTCTCAAGCTATTGTTTTGTTTTCTTGTTTGTATTATCAGGTAGATCAGTCAAGGAGTTTGTAAAGGCATGTAAAACGGCAACTGGTGTAGATATCAAAGTAGACTTTTTACCTCGTCGGCCTGGCGACTATGCCGAAGTGTTTAGTGACCCATCAAAAATCAACCGTGAGCTGAACTGGACAGCAAAACACACAGATCTCCAGAAGAGCTTACAAGTTGCATGGAGATGGCAAAAATTACATCGAAACGGGTACGGATCCCCTTTGTTGATGGCTTCTTGAACATTTAGGGAAGAGTTCGTAGCAGAAATTTGATTCAGACGTCAGACCCTGCACAGCACTGACTTCAGCTGTGTTTCTATTCTCTCTTAGAAGAGGGGTTTCAGATTAAGATCATTTTTCACCTTTTAATATATATAGTGTTAGGATCCGTCAATTCATTACATGTATTTGAACAGATAATATCTAATAATATGATGCCCTGGTGAAGATATAGCTTCTATTGATTCTACCCATCATTTTTTGTAGTTAATCATGTTCAGTAAAGCTGGTTTTTCTGAGAATGGGGACTGGATGGTTTGCCTCCAGAATCATTTCATTTAGCTAAGTTTTAACCTAAATTTCTTTGATGAGTCTTACCATAGTCAAACCTTGAATTGGGGTATGAAGCACTGAAAAAGAGATTTAAAACTAGCAGGTTTTGTTTGGTAATATCGAATGATAGGTGGGAATGAGAATAATAATTTTATATTTATTTTGTAGGTATTTATTTGGTTGAAAGAAATGTAGTAAAAATATATTTTTTTAAAATTTTATTTTGATTTTTTATTATCGTTACAAAAACACTATTAAAATAAAAGCTCCATTTTAATTTTTTAATTTTCATATCGGTTTTTATATTCTTATTTTAAATATTTTATTCCTAATAATCAAAGGAAACCTAGAGTTATAAGATTCTACTAGTTTATAAGAATGTCCACGGATTTGGTGTTTGACCTTGCCAATTCCTGGTTGCTCTAGTTCTGAAAATAATTTTGAATAGAAAAGAGTGAATTATTGTTTGATGGCTGTGTTTATAGTGAAATAATAGCTAATCCTTTTGGTTCAAAAACCAATATTGAGTCCCTGTATTTTCATATTTGTTGTATCTTAGTCCTTCTATTGTTTTTTCATGTCAATTTAGTGTTTTTTTTTCCTAAAGTGCCTTCCATTTATAATTAAAATTTTCAATCTCACCTGCTATAGATAAAATTAGTACTCCCGCTGTCTCATAAAGAGAGTCATATTGGATTTTTTCATCTCACAAAGAGAGTTTTATTGGATTTTTGAAACAGAATAAGAACATGCATTAAATATTATATTAATTCATATATATTTTTAATTGTATTTACTGTATTATTTTTAAAATTAAATGTAGTTGAACAAAAAAGAAAAATATGAATTCAATTTTTAAGAGGGTAAATTATTAAAATCTGGCGCTTAATTTTTTGATAAAAGACAAACATTTTAGACTGAGGGAGTAATGCATTTAAAAAGAAACTTTATAAATTTCAGAAAGAATTAACAGTCAACTTTGGTCAAAAAACTAATTTATGATTTTCAAAACTCGGAGGACTATCATACAACATCATAAAAAATATAGGGACTAGATTATAATTTTCTCAACAGAAAAAACCTAGAAGATTGAATGGAATAATAAGTGAACAAGTCAAAAACTAAATTTTTGATTTTTTGTTTTTTCATGTCCACTTTCAATAGAAAAACATAGAAGAATGACTTGAAAACAGTCAAGCAGCCATGAATGAGAGCTATGGCCTGCACTGAATAAAAATCCCAAAAAGTGGTTGGAAATTTACAAATAGAAAAGGAAATGTAGATAAAAAAATCCAGTACTTGTTTGAAATGTATAAATAGGCTCAAGGATTTCCACTTGTAGCTGTACTAAGACAAGGCACAAAAGCCAAAAGCCAAAAGCCAAGATTGTCTGACAGTAGACACCAGGATTTTTGTGTCTGCAGGCCATTCAATCAAATTCCAAACCATCAAATCCTCTCAATTCCAAGATTCTACTTTTTTTCAACACTTGAAAATGGCTGCAAGCAGCTAGAATTGGTGTCCTTATTGCATGATCTGGAAACATTTTTAGAGTGCTAACAGTAGTTCTGCACTAGAACAATTGGCTTCCTGTCTTTTCCTTTTAAAAATACAGCTACCAAATTTGTCTGAACTTGCAGCCTGGAACTGAGAGATCATCCTGAAAATGAATGCTTCAATGTCTGCAAAACTCTTAGTAGTTTCAGCCCTCCTGTTGTTAGTGTCATTGGCAACTTCTGATCCAGTTCTTGACAACTTTCTGCAATGTCTTCCTATTCATAGCCATCCTTCTCATCCAATCTCTCAAGCAATCTATAGCAACACAAATCCCTCTTTTGAATCTATTTTGCAAGCACGGATAAAAAACAGTAGATTTTTGACCCCTTCAACCCCCAAACCGCTTGCGATCATCGCAGCCATCCATGAATCCCATGTCCAAGCGGCAGTTATTTGCGCAAAGTCTAATGGCTTGCAAATCAGAGTCCGGAGTGGTGGCCATGATTATGAGGGCCTTTCTTATGTATCAATGGTCCCATTCGTCATCCTCGACATGTTCAATCTACGATCCATCGACGTAGATATAGCTGACGAGACGGCCTGGGTTCAATCTGGAGCAACTCTTGGTGAACTTTACCATAATATTGCCAGCAAGAGTAATATTCATGGCTTTCCAGCTGGTGTTTGCCCTACTGTTGGTCTAGGCGGTCACTTTAGTGGAGGGGGTTATGGGACTATGATGAGAAAATATGGCCTTTCTGTGGATAACATCATTGATGCAGAATTAGTTGATGTCAATGGTAACATTCTTAATAGGAAGACAATGGGGGAGGATCTCTTTTGGGCAGTCCGAGGAGGAGGTGGAGCAAGCTTCGGAGTCATTCTTTCTTGGAAGATCAATTTGGTTCAAGTTCCTCCTAGAGTGACTACATTCAGGGTTGCTAGGATCTTAGAGGAAGGTGCAACTGATGTTCTTTACAAATGGCAACTAGTTGCTGCTAAACTAGACAAAGAACTTTTCATAAGAGCAATGCCACAAGTTGTCAATGGAAGCAGGGAGGGTGCCAAGACAATTAGCGTCTCTTTCATTGGCCTCTTTCTAGGACAGAGTGGAACACTCCTTTCCTTGCTGGGCAAGAGCTTCCCTGAGTTGGGTTTGCAGCAAAAAGACTGCAGAGAAATGAGATGGATAGAATCTGTAGTTTTCTGGGCAAACTTACCAAATGCAACCTCCACTGATGTTCTACTCAACAGGACACGCCAAGCAAGCTTGTTCAAGAAGAAATCTGATTTCGTGAAACATATCATTCCAAAGAAAGCTTTGGAAAGCATATGGAGGATGATGATCAAGGCAGAGCCAGTATGGATGCAATGGAATCCTTATGGAGGACGAATGGATGAGATTTCGGCAACGGCGACTCCATTTCCTCACAGAGCTGGAAACCTGTTCAAAATCGAGTACTCCACAACCTGGAGTGAAGAAGGAATTGAGCCAACAAATCATCATATAAGTTTGTTAAGAAAACTGTATGATGCAATGGCTCCTTATGTCAGCAAGTATCCAAGGGAGGCATTTCTCAACTATAGAGATCTTGATATTGGCAGAAATCCTAGCAATCAGACCAACTTCGAGGAAGCTAAAGTTTATGGGAGCAAGTATTTTAGGGACAATTTTCTGAGGTTGGTGAAAGTGAAGTCAATGGTGGATCCTCATAATTTCTTCAAGAATGAACAAAGCATCCCAGTTATTTGGCACAAATAAAATCATGGATGGTAGTTTAGAAGGGGGAAAACAAAAAACATTAGATTGTGTCATTTTCGGACAGTAATCCTCCCAAGTTGATTTGGTTTTTATTTTGTAATACTTTAGTGTTGTCTTTTCCCAATAATTGTGTAGAGCCTTTACTTGGCTCAATTTTTTTACCCAAAAGAATTCAGCACTTATGTCTGAAAAAGGTTTTTTTTTTTTTGGTCGGAAGATTATAGATAGTGTGCTATATAATAAGAGATATTTTTTATTTGTTAAATAATAAATAAATAAATTAGAATCATTAGTATTGGAATTCGTTTTCACCGAGAGAAGTTATCAAATAAAAAATTAATTTTGATAAACAATCTTGTTATTTAAAAGTTAAATTGTAAAAGATTCTTCTAAGCATGAACGAAAACAGAAATATGCTTATGAGCTTAAAAATTCTTAATTTTTTCTCTTAAATAATATGATTTTTTAAAAATCTATCTTTTTTATTAGGATTTCATTGAAAAATTAACGAAAATCCTCTAAATTCTGATTATTTTTTCTACCAAGTTAGAAAAACATGTTTAATAATAGAGAAAAGAGAAAAATAATGAGAGGAAATTGAAGAGTATTTTCATAAATTTCTTAATGAAATCTTAAGAGAAAAAATAAATTGAAAAAACAAAACATATTATTTAAGAAATAAAATCATAGATTTTTTAGTTTAAAGGATATGGCTCAAGTTTAGGCATTTTACAATTTAACCCATTCAATTTGTTGCTTGGCCCAATTGGATTGGTTGGGCCATGTAGCTCTGAAAATAACAACCAGCCCAGCTCGTATTAGCCGTCAGTGATAGGCTTCATGGGCTTTCTTTCACCATAACTGGAATAAATATATGTAATTAGATATTAAATACACATATTTATAATTTAATATTTTTTTTAAACTTTGATTTTGATTTTTTTTTTGAACGAGTTATTTTTTTCAAATAAAATCTATTTATATTGCTTGAAAAAACTAATTAAGAGTGGGTTTTTATATTTTAGAAAAAACCTTAAGTTTACAAGTTGATGATGGAAACTTATCACCAAATAGTCTCCGAAGGAAATTATTGTTAGGATTTCCATTAGTTCATTTTAGGTTCAAATCGTGGAAGGATGCAAATGGATTTTTTTTTCTTTTTTTCTTTATGCTAGAATGCAACGTGATTTAGAAGTTAGGTAAGACTATCCTTGTATAATCTAACCCATAATAGTCTCATTTAGCTAGTTTTTCGATGTTGATCATTCGTAGATGTCACATGATAATATTAAAAAGTAATATACATCTCATTAATTTTTTTTGAAAAAATCAAATGTCCGATGAAAATGTTAATTAATATAAGATAAACTGTTACGTGATCTCTATATGCTTGTTAATATTGAAAAAATGATCAGATGACCCTTTTGTT